TGACTCCCACCCCCAGCGATAAAGAGAAGTGTCAGAAGTGTTGGTTGGTTGTGGTAAGAAGGCTGGGTTCACCGCAAAACAGAACTCAGGATGGATGATCAGAAACAGTAACAGTCATTGGATGATTATTGAGGAAGAAGGCTAGAGATATCAAATTTTTCTAGAATTTTTGAAATTGTCCGCTGCAGGCGGCACAAGACACAGAGCTGTGATAACGTTTTTACATATCCTTTAATAGGAAATCAGTTTCAACCTCCATGTCTCGGAAATGACTCTCATCAATGGAGACTCACTAAAAGCGTTCCAAGTGTTGTTTTTCAGATTTCGGCTTTTTAGTTTCGGTGACGGTAAAAGTGGTTCAGTATAGTTTGAAATGATTTCCTGATAATTTCAATAGCGATTCTCGCTCAGTAGCCTCTTGTCCCTTCCTGGTCTTTGTTTCGTCTCCTCCTGATGCCAGACTTTGCCCCCTAGGGTTTTGTTTGAACACTGTTTAAAAGTGTTATGATCAGCCGAGTCAGTTCAAATAAACTTTATTCTACATTACTGGTTGAAATAAAAGACTGAATTCAATGTTTTCGTTAAAGTCGTTTTCGTTTTCAGCCATTAGGATATGTAAGTTCTGGTCAATCCTCTTTGGCAGCTGTTGTCAAAAGTCTTAAAAGAACCACAGAACTCTAACATCAGATCTTTAATGTTCTGGTTACAGTGCTCGATTAGCCTTATCACCGCTCAGTCCTAAAGAACTCGACAAAATTCAAGAACGACGACAAAGTGAATTTTCACAGGTTGGGTTCATTATCAATATATTATGTATTTCAGTACTACCCTGCGATCAGAGGTTTATCTCTTGTACGGCTTTTAGCATTTATGAAAGTCGTTCTCGTCGCTGGCAAACTAACTACGCGAAACCATGCAAGAGAGACCCCGCTGCTCGCGGGGTATTTAAATAGAGCAGTACAAAACGAGAACGTAAAACGTGAGGCCGGACAAAATTCTTGATTAACACCGTTATGTTTAAGTGGGGATGGTGATTCGTTATTCTGTGAGCCCCTGTGAGTAACTGGATCAGAAATTACATCATTCAAGGCCTTTTTAATTTCATCAGTATTGCCTCAGTTTCAGTTGAGCGCTGAGTGTTTGTCAGTCAGAAACTGGTCGGCACTCACCACGCTCACAACCATATCCGGTCTCAGCGCTGGCTCGGGCTCTTCTATAAAAATCCCGTTGTGTTTATCTTTTCTCGCTCATTAGAAGAAACTACAGAAAACCTAATCTGTTATTTTGTTTTTTCAAGTTGTAAAAGTTCGAGTAAGAATTAGGAAAAACAAAATTAAATTAGCTTGCGTGCATGGAGTGTTAAAGTAGGGACAACATCAGCAGATTAGTATTAAAGCCACTCCGGCTCTATATAATCCACAGGAAAAGAAACAATCTTTTATGAGTGATTGTTATTATTAGGAAATACCAATCAGTGCCCTTTGGAAAATCTACTAAAATATCATTTTACACGTCACACTTTTCAGTATGGCTTATCTGAAGGGATCTCTAACTCTTGGGTCAAATTGAAAGCCCATGCCGGCATGATGTTACAATAATTTGCAACGGTTATTTTTTACCAGCTGAAGATGGCTGAATAGATATCAGCCTCGAGCCACAAGGAACATGCCCATAAGTTTCAAGTTTTATAGGCAATAGTAGATAATACCACTATTTAATTCATTTATGAATTAAAATTTGATACTTGTTAACCTCCCTTTCACACCTGTTAATTCAGTCCCCTTTGAAAAATCTTAATATTACTTCCGCGAAGGCGTTAACTCTTTTCATAGCGAAGAAATCCTACAAAAAAAGTATACTTTATTACTTATTAGTCTGACACCAAGCCCACGCAGCCTGATGTTCAACGTACACGTCAAAAGAGGCAAATAACTTTATTTTTCCAGCTGATTTATCATTTTTTGAAGTTGCAGTTATTTTTATTTTGTCAGCTAATTGATGTGTTAACGTTAAGTTGGGAAAATTTTATCCTCGTTAATTTTTCCTGCCTAATGAAAACTTTATTTTCACTTCAACTATATATATCTAAAGGAAGGATAACTGAAATTACAAAAGCTTTACGGAAATAAAAAGGCCTTTTTTCGGTTTGGCAGCCCGCCTTTACTTTTTTCTTTTCACTGTTAAATTATAATCGGGTGAACCATATGAGCAAGTGTCGGCCACTAATGAAGGGCGAGACCGGAAACGTCTGGCGTGATATTTTGAGGTACAGTACGAGGTGTTTGTCTTTCATAGGGAGAGTTTAGATAGTTGAGCAATAAATACTACTTTGCTGGGAGTGTTTGGCCTGATGATCCGTACTATTATTTAGACAGGGGCACCCAACGAAGATATAGTTCAAAACCACTTAACATAGCATTGTTGAACGTATTTTAGTATTTAAAGGGTAGGTATAGGCATATTTTCATCCCCTAAAAACTTTTCATCTGTTCGGACTTCCTAGCTGAAAGTCTAGTGATCCGAGAATTATAGGGATCAAAACTTACCTTTTCGAAAATTTCTGCCAGGTAAAGGCTCCCGAAAATTCTAGGTGGCCTTTTTTAGGGTAAAAATTCGTTAAAAATGGGTTATACCATTTTGAAGATGTTCGAAAATCCTAGGAGAGGCAGGCAAGCAAGAAATTTTACAAGAAATGTTCCGAAAATTCTAGATCTCAAATCGTCTTCCAAACAGATATTTTCCGAAAATTGCCGTTTGGTGCCCCTGTTTAGATAGAGAAAATTAACCTCTTGCTTTAATTTTTGTTTGCAAAATGCTCTATGACCTAACACAGATCAGACAATCTGAAGGAGATAAATTTCCAACAAAATCTCGGAGACTTGACTCCTAGTGATTATAAAACGCTTCAGTTATACATCAGTCTTGGTAGTGTCGGTTCAATTAAGCCTCAAAAGTATTTACAAGGTAATAATAATAATAATAATAACGACCACATTTTACAACAGTAGCTTTCACAAGAAAGCTAACGATAAAGCCAAAAAGCAAAATCTCCAAGAAAAATTAACCTTCTTAACAAATGAATATGATGCACTTTAATCACATTGTACCATTTCTCAAAGACCTAAATGAAGTAAGACTGAGGCAAAATACTTTCATTTTCATGGCAACCGGAAAGGGCTGTGTCTAACGAACACAATTGCACAATATTCTTTTTTTGCGCAATCAAGACTTGACTTATACCATTTCCCCAAAATGTTTCACTCCGATGACTGACTCTTTTCTGTCTGTCCAATGAAGGTCCATCATTACGGTAAAACTCGTCCCACACTAGATCGAGCAATGCTTGAATTTTACCTCTGATTTTTAACATGTGATCGACTTTCGCGCTCCATTGCAAAAAAGAACGCCTGATCGCAGAACCTGTATAAGCGGGTAGTAACCGGAATCAAGATGATCGTTGGGCGAATTCTTCTCGCAAGTTGTGTAAACAACGATACAAATAACAACCACAACTTCGACATTCATAAAAATGTTGTATACAGTTTTTATCGCTTCTTCTCGATTGCCAAGCAAAAAAAAAAGTTGAGTGCTGATGAACCATGCAGCTGCAGCATCACTCGCCTTTTTTAATTTTTGCTGGGCTCATGCAAACTCTATAAATCTCCCCGGAAGCAAATAAACTTTCCCACACCCACATAACACTGAAGAATACTTTTAAAAATAAAAGATCACTTGCGGGCTCTCAGTGAAAGTTTCTGTGATTGAAGAAGAAGTCGTATAGAAGCAAAGATCGGGCAAACATTGCTACAAGGACTTTATTACCGCTCAATCTTAGTTGCAGGATAAAGTCATCTTGCGACACTTGCTTTTTTTTTTTGCAATTATTTGCAGGGATTATATCGTAGATGAGACTGATCAGTATCTCAGAGGGTAGGGAACATGGTGTAATAAAAGACAATGCAAGTTATATTAATACTCCTGACCCTAGACCTACCCACGTCGGATCGGAGTCAACTACTCTTTCCCACAAACCATAAGTGACGACTGATGGGTCCTTAAAAGGAGAAGACTAACCTGATATTGACCATCTCTTTTCCCGACTGCTCCTCCAACTCTCTTTGTTACCTGTTAATATTTTTTGATACCTTTCACATCACACTGTTTCATCTAGTTATCTAGCGCAGGATTCTCATAGTTTATTGTTAGTTTATTTGTCACTATCTCCGTCTCTGTTTTAGGACTGCATGCATGTAAACTTATTTAATTTCAGTTTTGTATCTTGTTTTAGTTTTGTAGTTTTGTCTATATATAATCTTCATTTCGATATAAAATAATTTCTGTCATTCTGACCACAGGCCGTATAAGCCCCCGGCTTTGGCTTTACTGAGTTTGTACTATATGAGCGATGGAATAATAATAAAAGTTAAAGGTTTACCCAGATCTCTTCGTCGGCATAATTTTCACTTGTCAACCTTGTTCCCTAGTCTGGCCTTTTCCCGCTCGGCTTCCATTTTCCAAGGGAAAAGCCCTGGGATAGGACACTTCTGCTACAAGCTGACGTTACAATAATCCCACCCCCCTTGGAGTTACAAACTACTGTTGCTTAACACTCCTCAACAAAGTTTGATAAGGATTTATCTACCAAATTTCTTGAAACGATTTTTTTTCTTTTCTCAGAACTTGTAAGAAATTGCTAACACAAAATCCTTATCTATTTTCTTGTTGGTCCATCTTTCATGGCACGCACAGAAATCAGAGTCAATTTTTTGAGCGATCGAAAGCGAGCCAAAGGCTTTTCCCACCCACTCCAAAGCCAGAGAAAAGTGCCCTGGGGACGAGGTTTAAAGCGAGCGACGAAAATTTTCTCTTCTGAGTGATGACCCAACCAAAACGGACTTATGGAAAGTTTAAGAGGCAGAAGAGGAATCATTGACGTTCCCAAGCTTCTAGTTGTTTCTTCCGCGCGAGCGTGGGTTGTCTGTGGCCATTAGCCGGATCTACCCGATCTTGTCCGAGTATCTCCGAGAATTCTTTCGAGTGGAATCGTCATCAGTTAGCCGAAGTGAAAGTCAACATGGCGGCAATTTCGGATGCTAAAGGAAGACTTCATTGTTAATTTTAACAGGTGATTTAAAATGTTATGCCTGAAACATATCGAAGGAAGAACTTATGACCCGTCACTCCAGCCAGAAAAAGTTTTGCTCAAGCCAACAGTTACACGTTTTGGTCGTTGCAATGAAAGCTCAGATGTTGTTATCGATAGTTCAATCTCTCCCCTGATGATAAGTCGTTTACACGCCGAAATTCGTTTCGTTGATGGAAAATATAGAATTGATTGCAAAGGAATGAACGGAATGATTGTAAATCAAAAGAAGCGGAGTTCAGTTGTGCTTTGCGAAGGAGATGAGGTTGTTTTCGGTGGCATCGGTGTTAGGAAAAAAGTTAAAGAAGGACAGATAGTGCGGTCTTATGATTCAGAGCTGGTATATGTTTTTCTGGAGGTACGTCCCAGCAGCTCTGAAGAGCCAGATTCTCTTGGTGAAGGCACTAGTGATGGTAAAGTACGCCGTCGAAGCAAACGAAAACAGCCTGTATCGACAAGTGAAGAGTTATTATTAAGGTACAAAGTGTGAAGCGCAGTTGATTACTTTCCCCTCTACTGTGGAAATGGGACACTTCCCCCCCTTTCCTTTTCTTTTTCTCTTAAGCTACTGACCCTCCTTACAAGGTTATATGATATAGAAATAAAAATTGTCTTGAATAAGGTTTCGTCTTTCAGATAAACGCATTTTGGTATATTAACAACTTAGACTGGAACTGAAATTAAGGTGGCTCGATAGGGTTTTTCAGGGTCGATATGTCCCCAGTTTGATCAAAGTGCCAAGAAAATGGCTGCAAGTGAAATAGGTAATGGAATCATTTCATTGCTATGACAACTCCAATGTCCATGACAAATTTTCATCTTCATCTAATACATCCGTGGTGGTAATTTCTCCAAATCTTTGTTGACAGTGACATAGGGACTACATGTATTGACCCTGAAAAACCCTACCGAGCCACGTATTAACAAAGGTCCTACGCGTGCCACCTGAGACTGTACGAGTTCCCCACTCACAGGTCATCAACCAAAACTTTACAGAAGTGCACAGACACCCCCCCACCCCAGACCTTCAGTGAGAAGGCATCTTCTCCTTATTCAGTGAGAAAATTCCTTCAGTTTTCTTTAATCTTTTAGTGACCTCCCAGCGGATAAGAACAAAAAGTCCAAGAAAAGAGGTAAAGAGGTGAGAAAATGCAAACTTGTTATCAAAACACACCCAATGACAGCTATGGGTCATATTGCTTTGCACTGGTTACACACTTATGGACCTGAAAATTTGTAGGGATATAAAGCTTTTCAAAACTAACAGATGTCACTACCAGTGATTGTTACGTCCCTGTGTCATTGCTTTTCTTACTGGATCATTAGAACTCATGGATCATAGAAAATCTACTTTTGAATCTCCTGTGGTCTTCTATTTTCGTGAAAAGTGGCTTGTATTTTCAATTATTCAAATTTATTTTTTGCAAATTTATGGTGTGAATTTTTCATGCACTTCATGTTTGACAGCTGTAAAGTAATATAGGATGCACAATACAGGGCCGTAGCTAAGTTTTTTGTAATGGGGGGGGGGTATTATTATGAAAGTGCTGAAGGCATGAGCCTTGCAGGGGGGTCCGGGGGTATCTTCCCCCAGAAAAGGCTCAAATTTGGAGGCTATGAAATGGTATTTTCAACGCTCTTCATAAGATATGTCTCCCAAAAATTGACCTCAAATAACTGTGAAAAGGCAGGCATTTTCAGTGCTTACAAGAGCTTATTTCCCAGGTCCTGTTAATTTGAAACACACTGTATACCCAAGCACTAGTACACTAAACATTTCACAATACTGCATGATGGTTGGTTAACTAACCTTGTGCTTACTATTTGCACACACCATGGGCCAACCACTTTCTCTGCCATGAAAGTGGCAAACAATTGCAAGTCACTACATTTAAAATAACCAAGTCCAAAGCAAACAAATCCATCCACAGACTTGATTTGTCTGGCTCAACAGGTCCATGGGGGGGGTAAAACGCTTTTTTAATACTTTCTTCCCCCTGCCCCCTCTCAAAAAATCGGAGAAAATGCATTTGGTGTGCACTTTCTGTTACGGCTATGCAATAGCTATTTTGAAGAGGGCACCCAACTTTCTTTCGAGTAGTGACCTATTTTTTGCAAAACCCAATTAAGCAATTTTAAAAAAGGTTTAGTGTTTCACACTCTTTGAATTTTTTCATAATTAAAAACACAGGTTTCAAAAGATCAGGATGTAGAATGTGAAAGAGATAGTCACAAAGAAACCAGGGATAATGAAAAAGGTACTTTTCAAGAGAATATCTTATGTATGTAATGCTAAAGAGAGATAATAAAATAAGAACTTAAAAGATTATTTCTTAAGAAGTACCTAAGAAGTTGAATACCTTTGATATAAATTATTGAAAGTTTTTTTAGTAGGGAAGGCTAGGTATTGTGGTAAATGTATTGGGATCACCACAAAAAATACTACTGATAAGAGACAGATAAACTGCAAATTCAAAGATATGCATGACAGTTGATCTTAGTTAGCATTAGGAGGTCACAACTGTGAGAACTTTTGTCCTTTTGGGGTGACAGAGGATGCCATTGTTCCACTTGGCCTGAAAAATGTTCAGGAATGTGACTACGTGAGTTCTCCTTTTTGCATTGACAAACTAAGAATATGACCCAAGTTGTTAACATTTGTTGACAAAATCAACTGTTATCCAAATTTTTGAATTTGTGGTCTTTTTGTTTTGGTAGTATTGAATTAATAAAGGTCCTGTCAGTGTCCTGTTGTATAACTGTTAGGCCCCAATTGATTGTGCTAGCATAATTTTTGCCATCATTTGGAAAAGTGGGGGTGATTTTTGCACTACTAGACTACTAGTAGCACTACTAGACATATTTTTAGGATTTTTAGAGGGAACATTACCAAAGACATGGCTTGCTTGCTGTCAGAGAGTGATTGTTTTTAAGTTCTGTCCATGGTTTAGTCTATGTTCTTATGGGATCTTGTGTAATTTGTGCACCCCTTGATTGAGTCTCAGTCAACGCTATTGGCTGATACTCGATCAATATGTTGGCGGACTCTCGGTTGCCATATCGGTCCACATATCGGCTGACTCCTGGTCAATCTCTTGGCTGACATTGGCTGTCCGACTCTTGGTTGACATGTTGGCCTATAGGTCGAGCGATAGCCAACTGAGAGTTGGCTGATGTGTCGACCAACAGATCAGCCGATTGTGTTGGTCGTTATGTTGACCAATAGTCAGGCGACATATCGATCAATAGGCTACCGACATTCAGCCAATACTTCACTGATACGGTATAATATTATTTTGTGTCTTCTCAAATTTTTGTTCTGTCCATGGTTTAGTCTATGTTCTTATGGGATCTTGTGTAATTTGTGCACCTCTCAGTTGAGTATCGGTCAATGCTATCGGCCGATACTTGATCGACATGTTGGCTGAAATGACTGCTGACTCTTGGTCGCCATATCGGCCGACTCCCAGTTGACTCGGCTGACTTTGGTTGGCTGACTCTCTGTCGACATGTTGGTAGACGGACATATCAGTGGATTGTGTTTTTTAATTATTATTTCATTTATTCCAAAGTAGAACAATTACAGTAATTATCACAAAGCATACATGCACACACGGACTACACACCTAAGCACACATGCAATTCTACAATCACTACATGATTGTGTTGGTCGGTATGTTGACCGATAGTCGGCAGACATTGATAGGTTACTGACATTCAGCCGATACTCTACTGGTCCCAGCTGTTCGAACGCCGGTTAGCGCTAACCGGGGGTTAAATTTTAACCCGTGTTTGTTCTTCTTTTAATCAAGCCTTTTAATTAAGCTTTCTCTCAAATGATTCTCTCTATTCTTTTTAGAGTATCCAATCATCAAATTGTAGGCAAAGTGAATTAAACTGGATTCACTTTTTAAGCTCTCATATTTGAGTTCAAACTTTGCACTAACCCTGGGTTATTTTAACCCAGCTTTGAACAACCCGGCCCTGATACTTAGTCGATGATATATTTTGTGTCTACTCAAATTGTAGTTGTTGTGGTGTGCATGAAGCAATTTTTAAGGGGCTTTGGCGGATTTTACTAGTTTGATATTTTTGTTTTTTGGAAAAAATGGGGACTGCTATGGCATCACATTTAAGAGGTATTCAAGGACAATGTAACATTAAAAAATGCGTAGAACCATGGCAGAAATCCGACAAACTGACTCAGTGAGGCTGATGTGGGATGACATGAACAACAGAGCAGAAACTATTTTCAAACCTCCGACCGCGATATCTTATGCATAACACTGAACCCCAGCTCCCTTGTCCTAATTTTAAAACACAATCGACTGATATGCCAGCCAGGTGTCAGCCGGCATACTGGCCATGTATAGGCCGACATATTGGTCGACATGTTGGCCGACACTTGGTCAGGTGTTGATCGACATATTGATCAACATGTTGACCAACAGTCGACCAATATGGCGATTGCGTGGTAACTGATACTCGGCTGACATATAAAGATATCAGCCAATAGTGCCATATCAGTGTCGATAATCGACCGAGAGGTGCACAAATGACACAAGATCCTTCTTATGTCTGGGGGAGGAGGGAGGTTACCACAACACTGAGGAGGTAAAGATTGCATTGTTCTCAGTTCCTGCTTTCACTAGCAGCAAATTGATGGCGTCAAGCAACTTGTAGATACAAGAAGAATAGTTGTTTGACAGGCTGGAACTTGCTCAAATTGTAAGAGATCGGAGCCTAAGGCAAACCAAAGGCAAATAGAAGGCCAAGGGGCCATTTGACGTGAGAAAAGTCCCATTATAATTTATGATCTCATATTTTAAGAAAAAGAGGCATAATTTTTCAAAAGGAGCTCAATTATTATGAGCACAGTTCACTAAAAATCAAGCTCTGATAGCTAATGGCATAATAATAAGCTGCCTTTACTAGCACTGCAGTCAATAATGTCCTACACTGTGTTTACTATTTTACAACATTATCATCATCTTTCTTTGGCTTTTTTAATTTTAATAGGAATGGTTAGTGGCCTAAAATTACACCAGCTGCCTTAGAAAATTAATATCTGCTAAACATTTTTCCTTGAGCTTTACTTTTCTGTGATTTTTGTTTTGTTTTAATTTTTGTTTTTGATTTTCCCTTGAAATTAAAATATGTTATTTTTTTGTGGAAATTTAGATGGGAGATCCAAAAAATACCTGGCAGATCTGAATGAGGAGCTGTTATGTTGTATCTGCCGTGAACTGATGGTCTTATCTCACGCACTGCCATGCTCACACACCTTTTGTTACAGCTGCATCAGGGACTGGCTTAGGTAAATATTACATTTGAAATATTTTTTAGTATTTCTCTTGTGTTGTTTTTCATCATCTTCTCGAGGTAAATGAGTATGTTAATTTTGAAACTTTCAGATATTATTTCTATATTATTGTCAAGTATTTCCAAAATTATTTTATTTTATCTACTTAAAAAGTTAATAACAACAGAAAACATTTTGAGAATTATAATCTAAAATATCACATTCATGTGTTTAGTCATTCAGGTGACTGTCCAAACTGTAGAGCAAGCACTCAGTTGAAATTAGCAGTGCCAGTCAAGGTAATGTTGTCAAATAAATTTGTTATTCCTGTATCCCTCTGTTAGTCAAAGAAACAGCTCTCTCTTTTGTGACATTAAATTGTTTTGAGGTATTCCTAGTGCATACATGTACAGTAGGCTTGGGACAAGCCCTGTTAGTTCCCTATCCATTGTGCATGACTGCAGTCACTCTCCACTTTCATCATGTTTGCCCCTGCTCGCCTGAAAAACACGGCCACATAAATTGATGACTGTGTTTAATATTATTTAAAACCACACCGTTTAAAGTCCTTTTGAAAGGGTTGATTCAGCAGCATCACTGTCTTCTAACGCCCCCCTGCTCCAATCAACAATTTATAAGAATCGCTGTGTATGTTCCATTAGCTGACTTTCTTTGGTGCAGGCTTCAAATTTACTGTTTTTACAGGGTTCAAAATAAAATCACAGCTTTTAGCCTCTGTGGGCTTTTTATGTCAAGGCTTATTTTCTCCCAGCTGTCAATAATGAATGAGCATATCCTGTCAATAGTCAACATTGTGATTTGTGACAGTAGATAAAGGAATAGTTAAATGTTCAATGTCCAGGAAACAATGTCAATGCAATATTATTATTCATGAAAACATGTTCATAGAACTGACATTTGGGAAATCAATATCAATAATTATCGGTATCACCAATTTGAAAGGTAACCATGTTTGGATCACATACTTAGATGAAAACTGATTGCCAGAAATACATAAATTAGTTCTTATCTAAGTTTTTTTTCAAGAAAGAAGACTGTGATGTGTGCTGGAATCTCTCCTTGCTGTAGACATTCTGATAATCAATAATCATTAGATAAAGCTGATAAAAGTAAAAACAGTTTACAAGTTTGTATTTAGGACTGGAGCAAAGTTATTACTATAATATATTAATTCATTCGCCTGAAGCAGAATCGCTTCTCAAAATTCCATTATCAAACGGTTCATCACTCCATTCTTCTGCTTCAGAATTAGTCATTCGCTGTGAACATGAGATCTCTTTTTCAACTTTAGTGGCACACTTTGAATTTCCAAGCCTTCTTTTACTCATTTTAAAACATTCCTTGGCTGCTTTGTTGTGTGTTATGAAATATTTACACCAACATTACAGCAATTTCAATTTCAGTTGGCTGATCAAAGCATGACATTATCTATTTCCTTGGTAAAAAGTCGCTGGAAAATGTGGTCAAAGTGCTGGCTGCTGTTTTAAACCCTGGTTTTAAATGCAGTATTATCTGTATGATCTTACAACATATACTTCTTGATCTATTGTTTGACATTTCAGGTGCTGGACAATACAATTGATAAGGTGGCTGCAGAGGTTCTTACAGAAGAGGAATTAAAAGAAAGAGAACTTAAAAAAGAGGTTGGGTATAGGGGACAAATCCACCTATTAATGGTGTATTTTCTTATTCCATGACTTCTTTTGTTCTTAACAACTTGAATATCTAAAATTTATTTTAATAGGAGATGTCTGAGGAAGTTAAAAAGAAAAAGGTTGAGGTGTTAACAGTTTCTTCAGAAAGGTAACGGAATAAGATTTACAACTGAGCATGCAACAGAAGTGAATTATTTTTGTATTACTATAACCATTAGTCTTCAGGGCCCAGTTGTTTGAAGGCCGATTAGCGCTAACCCAGGGTTAAATTTTAACCCAGGTTTCTTTTTCTTTTTTTCAAAAGCATTTTTCAGGCTAATTTTCTCGATTCTTTTTAGAGCATCAAATCATCAGATTGTGGAAAAAAAGAATAAAACTGAATTTGTTTCTTAAGATTTCATATCTAAATTGAAATTTTTGTACTAACCCTGGGTTAACTTAACCCTGCTTTGAACAACCCAGCCCTGGTGGTATGAGAGACTTGGCCAGGAATATAGCTTTAACTATTATCAGCTACTAGGTACATACTACAATAACTTCTTATGTCCATTGTTATTGTACATGTAACACCAGTCCTGTTGATTGAGTGTTTGGAACATACCTTTGTTGATTTTTGATTGACTTGTTGACATTTTTACAGTGATAGTGACTCAGATGATAGCATTGACCTGGATTTTTTGCTGTGGGATGGAGTGGTATGTTATATTGTAGTTTTAGTTTAAGAGAAGCAGTGGTGCAAAGAAACTCTACTAAGTTTTCCCACCCTAAAAAATCCTAAGGACAATGGTTTTGAAGCAGTTTGATCCTGTTTCTTTGTTTCTCTTCCTGTTGATGTGAACTTTGTTTAAAGGTATATGTGGGTTGCAAATCAATACCAAGGAAGGTTATGACTGTGGTGTCATTGGTGGTATTATTGACCCTCTCCCACATGTATTTCCCTTTGCAGGTACTGAGGCACAGTTTATGTAAAAGAAAAAGAACAATACATCCAAAAAGTAGAGCCCAAGGGGAACTTTGTTTGTTTCCTCTGTTTCGTTTGTCATGACAGTAGCTTCAGAAAGACCTATTTTTTGTTAATACTGGTCTGAATTGCTGCCATTTTGTAATATCTCTTTCAGCACTTTCATTTGGACCACTGTTACAGTGTTGAGCATGCTCGCAGTGGTCGTGCCAGGTGCAGAACTTGCTTTGCCCCTATTGCTTTCAGGTGATCATATTATTCCTAGGATATTTCCTTGCACATTATAATGTCACAATGACTATCAACTCAAAGTTTGAATATAACTAGTGTGGCCATGAAAGGTTATTCTTGAGTTTTTACTATCTGCAACTTTTTTGGGATTGATAATGGTTGCCAAAGCTTAATGCACCCTGTTTATATTAGTTTAGTATATCTCACAATGTGGTTTTAGCTACAATACTTTGGTGACAAATGCTTTTTGTTTACGTTTTTGGCATCTCTCAAACTTTTAGATGGCTTCAATGAAAATGAAAATTTGTACAGGACTTTTGTACTCTATGACACGTGTAAAAAAAAGCCTACAGAAAATACATGTATTCAAAAACATTTCTGAAATTCATTACTTAAATCATTATAATAAAGTTCACATATAACGCCCACTCTGATTGGTTGATAAAGGGTGCTTTATGAGAGTATCAAACATGGAGATAGTTTGTATTGAAAATTAGAAAGTAATGCGTGGGGAATTTAATGGATTCTTTATCATGAAACAAATAAAGAAACCTTGACTGTTCCCTGTTCTTTTGTAGAGCACTTAGAAAGACTGGCTAGAGCACCCAAGAAGCACTACATCTTGTGTTTTCCCCTACACTTCTTTTGTGCTCTAGCCGCCTCAATTTCCGTGTGCTTTATAACAGAACAGAGCACAGTCATGGCCTCCTTATAAAATTACTTTTATGTAATATTATTTCTAAATCTCTCTATTATTGAAATAATGGAGAGATTTAGAGTCACATTTACAGCAAACCAAAAACGTGAATTTCTACCATGTTTATTTTTCTTACACTGTTCATTACTTCTACCCCCAATTTATAGTAGCTTCATGTTAGTCTCATCCATAATTGTGTCTTTTTTCATGTGTGAAAGACATCGTTTGCTCCTCTGATTGGCTAGAGCTCATTTGTGTAAGAAAATTTACGTCATAGCATGACAGTATGTATATAATAAATACTAATACTACAACATAACAATAAAGGTCGGAACTCACTAAGTGACAAGTTGCAGCAACCCACTCTGGCAACACATTGCAGCAACATATCGTGTGTTCTGGAGAAGTTATGTGGAAATTGTTGTCTCAGCAACAGAATTTTGTCGCTGCAACAAGTCGCACAAAATCAAGTCAGACTGAATTGGTGCAACTTGCTGCAGCGACAAAATTCCCCAGTTCACACGAAGCAATTTGTCCCTCCAATGTGTCATGCAACTTTTTGGAGCAACTTATCGGCTGACCTGTACACACAGACTGATTTGTCACTGCGACCTGTTGCAGCACATGTTGCCTAGTGTGTTCCCACCTTAAGTAATTGCAGTGGCATAAAATGTGATTTATTGTTTAGATCTCTTCGATGGATTGTTGACTTCAAAACAAGATGGGAGCATTTACCACAAACCCACTTTCATCATTTGGAATGTTTTTTACCTCCACCTTCTATCACATATGATTATGTAAGTAATTAAAATAATTGTTGATATAAATTTAAAATTATTGTCTTCTGCTTATGCCCTAATGTGAGTCTGTAAAATTTTTAGTATCAGGAATAAACACTATCACAGTGCTCAACTTAAATGTATAGTCTGAGCATTTTTGTCCAAATTGTGACCAAATATGGCTCAACCAGCTTCAAACTGGATTTTTTGGCAAACTTTTCACAGGGTTTGAACACGTCTTGAAAACCCTGAATTTTTAGTGTCCTTTTTCAAGGCCTTGAAAGTCCTTGAATTTTAATTGACAAACATTTTCAAACCACCAAAAAACAGAATAAAATTGGCTTTGAGGAAATGAAGGTCAGGCATGGATGGCTCGTGATTCATAAGGCTGAGGTCTAAGATGGTTACCAGTGCCTTTGCATTATAAAAATGGTTGGCCTTAAGAACAAAAGCCCATTATTATTTGGAACATTTTCATAGTTTATTTGGAACCTGCGTAATAAATTACGTCCTTGCAATTTAAAAATCTGGTCCTTGATAGTCCTTGAATTTGGTGTAAGAAGAAGTGTAGGAGCACTGTTTTCAGGGGGAAATGGTTTAAAAACAGTCAAGCACAGAAGAGAATTAAATGCAAATGTGGTGTGCTTTTTTGTAGATTTTATCTTTTCTTTTCATTCTCGGTAGGGTAAGGGTAATTTAACGTAGGTTTTTCCATTTTCCTTGATAGTAAATACCATATATATTTTGATACATTTAACTCTGCAGCTTGCCTTCTCACCCCAACTGTCAAGAGAAGAGAAGAGACAAGTGAGGGACATGATGGAAGCACGCTAAGTATTTTAACATTGCTTTGCCTTTTATAGGCAAAAATCCAAATTTTTCCTAATTAGCTAAAGGTAACTGTTACCATGTTTTTTCTGCCACTTTACCAAAAAAAATAAAAACTTTTTGCAAGGAAGAAATCTGCAACTGCCAGAAATAGCTTGTTCAAAATATTTTCTTGCAATTTATGGTCATTATGTTGTATGTATTGCTTTCATTCATACCAAAAACTTAAAGTTTTAAAATTTGCCTTTCAATGCAAAATATATAAGTAATTATTTCAATCAATCTCTTCATATAAATGGATTGCAAAAGCACAATAATATTTCCCAACTTTGTACAACTTGTGCTGGTTGTAGTACATAGTAATCATTATCTTTATTATCAGTCTGAAAGACCTTGTAATAAAGTATTTTAACACATGAATTATCTTTGTGATGTTATTTATCTATAATGTCTGTAGAAGTCATGATTTTTCTTTCTTGTCTTTTCCACTGTAAGAAACCTACAATATTAGAATGTTCTTATAGGTATTAACAACATTATTTTTGGAAAGATGTATTATTTTTCTGGACTGAGTCATACCTAAAAGTAATTGTTGTTTTATGACTCAGTCTGGAAAAATACCAATGACCTTTAGCTGGTTGAAACTATTGGAGTTACATTTTAACATAATTCAGTTCCTCTTAAATTGACCTGGGCTGAGTTGTCATGGTAACTAAACATCAGCCTTTGATCATCTCAGTCCAGTAAACTTTTTCAGGCCTAAAACATACGATGGGACTATTTGTACCAGTTGTTTGGAACATTCTAGACCAGGTCAGCTTACCCATAACTAAGAAAAGCATACCAAGGGGAACAGTGACTCCGAAAACTTATGAGTTACAGTTGGACCGCCATTAAGCAGCCACAAATGCACAACGGAAGAAGCATTACTGGTCCACAATCGGTTGTCACATTCTATGTTGCACTGGATTTTCCTTCATCATTATTCTTAAAATGAAGCCAAACTAAGTGTATCAAGCTCTTAATGGCAGCTTAATAGAGGTGACAACAATGGAAGAACTCTTGTTGGGATGGCTAAAAGGTGGCTGTGGCTGCTTAATAGAGGTTTAATTTCCCATTCTTTTCTACAATTGTTTTAGGACTTTGATTACTAGCTGCTTAATAGAGAGTGGCCAAATAAGAAGGAAAGAGCCAAACGCAATGAACACAAATTGGAATGCGAAAAAGGTGATAACTTTACTAAAATTGTCTCTACTACTCTTCTGATTGGTTCAAAAAACAAATTTTTACGAAATCTTCGCACAGCAACATGCATTATTAATCCCTTATTTTCTAACCAACTTCCTTGTAACAAAATCTCGGCTGAGTCTAAGTAACACAGAAATCCTATGTGAGGAATATTTACAACTGTAAACTTTTCTTGGCTTTTCTTTGCAAGTCTTATGATTGGTCGAAATCTTTTAACTGAAAAAAATGGAGTTTAAATATACTGTGTTTCGTAGACTGCCTTTTTGTAGGTTAATTTATGCATTGTATGTATGAAAATGAAAACATTCCTATGTGAGGAAAGCGTATAACAAAAGAAATTGCTTCCTGTCTAACGCAGATCATTACTTAATGGAGGTTCAACTGTATTCCTGTTTTACATCACATCATGCTTCCCATTTAAATTTATCAAATAACTAAGATAGCACGTGCACTTTGATTGGCTGAGAGAAGTGTTTGCATGAGAGTATGTAAACATGGTTGTGGTGTCAACATGTTTTGCTTTTCACGCGTTACTCACGCAACCACGAATTTGAAAACGTTTTGAAGTTCAAAACTCGACAAGTTTACTTTATTTACCCATTCCTTCACCGGCTGAAACTTGGAAAATCGTTACAAAGAACATTGTTCTTAATGGTTCTGAGGTCAGTTGCATAAATCTTAGTCTCAAACTTAACAATAATTGTTAGGTGTGAGACTAAGATTTTATTATTGATGTTCAGCCCAGTCACACTCTTTATTTTTACATAAATAACATCAAATGTTACAGTTAGATGTCAGCAATTAATGAGTCTCTGTATGCATACTTGCTGACGTTGTTTTCATCACGTGTTTTCCATCAAAACCTTCTGTTTTGCATGGTAGCGCTTCTATCAAGTTCAAGCAAAGATGACGACAGAAATGAGAATATAACCCTTGACAACTTAACCAACTGAGAATAGATTTGATGATGGTTTGAGTACCAAGGATTCACTGTGCTGTGTGAAACTCGTACATTCTGTAGTTAAGTGTTCAATAAAACTACTCAGTTCTTCAGGTTCTCTGTGAGGAAGTAAATGGCCAAGGCACGTTATTCATTTGGTCTGATTTGGAGACTAATTTTTTGCTGATTATCCAGACACTCCCTAAGTTTATTCTCTGTCATTGTAAGTCGCTGTTCCAGAATAGATACTGTCTGCAAATGAAAACAAAACAAAACAAAATAATAATGATTTCAGGTAAATAAATTACCAGTGCTGTTAGCAGGAAATGGCAAAATTCTAAGTGTATGAGTGGTCCTTACTGAAGAATATTTACTGTATATGTTGTGGTTCAATTTTTAGTTGGTTTAAATTTTATTTTCCTTTGTTTCAAACTGATTATCATACATTACCATACCACCATGATTACCATACTCCAAAACAAAGGAGAATAAAATTTAAACCAAAGATAAAATTGAACAACAACATTATATATCAAACCTGTGTTAAGACATCCAACTGTCCTACAATGTGTTCTAGTGTCATGCTGAGCTGGGGTGGTATATCCCGTCTTTCCAGGGGAGTAGTGAGAGGAGGTTGACTAGCAGGGACCCCTCCCAGGGCATCAAACTCTCCTCTTCTGCCAGTGACCTCATCTAGTCTGCTCTGTCTCTGAAATAACAATATTTGTGTACAAAATAATTATTTTTACAGCCATTCAGCTGACTTAGAACAACTATGCTCCTGGTATTGCTATCTCTGCTAGTCAACATGCTTAAAAATGAATGGATTAAAAATTTACCTGAGGTATTGAAAACATTGCTGGCCCAACTTCTACAACTTCTGGGTCACCAACAGCAAGGTTCCTAGGCTCAGCACCTGCTCTGACCTGCAAAGATCATGGGCAGAACAAAATAAAATATCTCATCTGACCCTTTCATGCAGTCAATAAGAAACTTGTCACATGGAATGGTTAAAATGAAGTTCTTCAAATCACTTACCTCTGGAGCTGCTGATTTAGGTAGAGTTCTTGGAGGTGGGTCATGATTGTGAGGAAGTGTCACAGGTGGAGAGGCTGCTCTTTTTCTGTGTGAACGCAGAACTGTTGAAAAGAAAGCAAATAAGTTATTTGTGGTTATAACATTAAAGGCAATTGCAGACAATCAATTTAGAATATTCACAGAAAAATAAGATTATTATTATCAGTACATGTTATGATCCATTTTCTTACCTTCATCATAGTCCACTTTGTCAAAATTTGTTTTCCACACCATAACCTTTGGGAGAAGAAAAGTGTTGTAGTACAGTGAAAACCCACATGTAACAACCTAACTACAGTTTTGAAGTCTGACAGAAAAGATTTTTGTAATTTGGGGCAGTTATTGGCAAAGTTTGGTCTCAATTTCTGTGAAGGAGACCGCCAGTAAATAAAGGTTAGACGTTCGAGTTGGGTCCTTAAATATGTACTTATTCAGAACTGTGCATTGCAAACCTTTACAATGATCTGTACAAATGTACTTTATTTAAATCTGTTTTTTGTTGTAGGAATTACTAACAGAAGCCTGTACTTATTTTGTAATGACAGTTCAGGACAGTATTTTCTTGTATGTCGCTTTGCAATCTCAAACTAGTTGGTTAAATTGTTTATCATATTTTACCTGTGACCACGTATAAGAACCTGCTTGATTTTGCTTGGCTAAACAGGTTCTTATATTTTTGGCTTAAAGCAGAAAAATTCTGCCAGCAGGTTCTTAAACTACTAGGTTCTTCCAGGCAAGTTTTCACTGTATTGCAGGAACCATTGTTGGTTAGGTATTGTTTTTTTTTTTGCTATTGTTCAGCATATTTTCAATCTAATTTGCTTTACATCATGGTGATCACACCATGATGTAATTAACACCATCAAACTTCCAAAAACAGGCATATTCTGAAATTATTCTTCCTGTGCTTGTCAATAATGCAGGACCTTTTTGAGTTAATCGCCCTAATGAACCTGCAGGAAATATAGGCTTCCTTCATTTGTAACTCATGAATACAGAATCTGGCTATGAAGGAGTTATTGTATTATGCTGGGTGATTTAGCTGCTAGTCATCACTAACTCTACCGATTTATTTACCTGTTCATCTGAGCTTCCTGAAGCAAAATATTCACCATTACGTGAGAATATAGCACATGTTGCTGGACCCTAAAAAGTATAAGGAGCATCAAACACTGTTAAAAGTGATGTATAAGTTAGTGCAGGTCTGTGTAACAACCCAAAGGAAATTATTTAAGGAAGAAAATGATTAAATATTGACTAACCTGATGTCCATGAAGTGTGTAAAATAGCCGGCCTTCCATCAAATCTAAGATCTAATGAGAGAGTGTAAAGCAAAATGAGACTGCTTTGTATATGTAGTGTTTCAAACCAAAGTCTGTAAGTGCAGTGAGGATGGCTAGAGTGGGTTGCATCCATTGATTTTGCCAACAATGTAAAGGTTGCTACCAAAACACAACAGGTGGATCTCACATCTTGCTGCAGATTTATCTTTTGAAGAGTTATTTGTTTCACCAGAACAGAGAGAATTCAAATACATAAAGATCACTATTAATAATTAAAAAATGCATATATATATAAATCTCTTAATTTGTTACCTTGAGAGTGGTATCACTTGATGCAGATACAAGATAATTTCCAGATGGATGAAACGAAACAGCATTCACAGCATTTGTGTGTGCTAAAAAAATGGAAATAACTAAACCGTGAGCAGAGGCCCTTTAGTCTCCGCACTATCTGAGAAGATCAAAGGTCCTTGACCTATGTGTCAGTTAAGAGTTATCAGTACTGTTAAGCAGCGCGCAAAGAAAACTGTGTCCTGTAGCCCTGGGCTAGTGGATTTTTCCTTCGGGCTAGTGAATTTTGTTCTTAACTTGCCCAACGGGTAAGACAACAGGCAAGACAAGTACTTTGAGACAAATTTAAAATTCATAATAAATTCATGTGGAACACAACCCCCTTTTCACCCCCTTTTGAAAATGTGAAATCTGGAAAAGCAAGTATAACACTACATTTCATGTTAGACTATAATTAATGTTGTAAGTAAGGCTTCTAAGTCTCCTAAAGCTTTTTACAAATCAGAGCTACAGTGTAACCACAACAAATAATAAAGCAAGTGATTAATTAATTAATGTTAGGTACAGCTTGCCCGAAGGACTGATTTTCTTTGCACCCTAGTGAAGGTTTATACAACAGTCTCCTTATGTCAAAAATCAAGTGAACTTGAGTGTGGTTACCTTGGTAGTGTTGAAGAAGTTTGTTCATTCGGATGTCCCAGACCTGAAAAGAAAATGTCAAACTTCTATCATTTTCCCGGTAGATCTATTTAAGACTGGTCACACTGGATAGTTAATATTTACTTGCACTCAATTTTCAAGGATAGAAGAAACACACACACACCTTGACTGTGCTGTCTGTTCCTCCTGCTGCTATGCATGTTCCACTGGGATGAAACTCTACAGAATTCACATATCTGAAGAAAAGTAATTGAAATAATAATACAATACAATACAATACAATACAATACAATACAATACAATACAATACAATACAATACAATACAATACAATAATTAAAGGAAGGCTGTTAATGAGCCTAGTAACCTGCAAAGACCAAGCATCCTTGATCAGTATGTTGTCATTCCATGCTAAATAGTCAGCCATCTCAATGAGTTAATGAACTCACTATTAAAAAACAGTTTACATTCTTTCGTTAACATACCCTCCTGGGTCATAGAAGCTGTGAACACATTCCTTGCTTGTCCTATCCCAGATTTTGATTGTCTTGTCATCACTTGCAGATACAATCATGCGACCATCTGGTGAAAACCTGACATTGTTTATAGCAACAGGAAAATTGTTGTCAGTCATGTTCAAAATTGTCTCAAAAGTAAACCTCAACATTCAGTGGAACGACACTGTGGTGTGATTAAATCCTACTAAATAAGATTTATCAATTTGATTATAGTAACGTACTGTTATGCTAATATTTAGATAGTTGTCAGTTTATATTTACCTTGCACAGCGCACCCAGTTCATGTGAGCATTTAGAGAGTACTGAAATTTCTGACGGTGAACAGTCCATACCTTTTCAAAGAAAATCAAAAAGGTAATTTGCTATATTCTCTTAAACATCTTTGGTGAGGCTAACTTCACCATATGATAATCATGTTTGATTGATGAATTCAGGAAAGCATGGTCTCGCAGCACTCATCTTACACTCTGCCCAACTTGCACATGTCATCCCAGGGTTCGTAGATTTTTGGATCCAAAATTCAAGACTTTTCCCAGACATTTTTTCAAAACAAAAATTTCTTTTTCCAGAGCCCTGCCTAACCATCCCCCTACCCGCCGCCTTAGCATCCCCTCTCTTGCGTTATCACCCCTACTGATTACCTTCAATCCCTTTTCCCCTGCCTTACACACTATGCCTACGTATGACCATCCCCTTACCCCTGCATTGTCATCCCCCTACCTTGTGCCTTACCATCCCCCTCTGACATACCTTACTATCACCCTCCCGTGCCTTACCACCCCTAACATGTACCCTCTATCCTTTTTCCCATGCTTTACTTCACCCTACGTCTATGCTTTACAGTATTTTTACCCCTTGCTTTACCATAGTCTACTCCTTTATCTTACCAACTCTTTCCCTCTGCCTTACCACCCCTTCTTCTTTGCCTCACTATCTCCCACTCCACCATCTTACACAACTGTACTAACAAATTACCTTGACAGTTTTGTCATCTGATGCTGTCAGAAGTGATTGGCCATCACCAGAGAAGTCCACACTTCTTACAGTTGCTGTGTGAGCCTTGAACACGGTACTTTCTCCTTTACTTTGGATAATGAAAAAGTATCACAAAGTTAACATCTAAATTTCATGGTTGCCATAGCTAGAGGTTTCTGAAATTCCCGGACATTTCCATGACATTTTCCTGACAAAATGTAAAATTTCCCTGACAAACGGAATAAACAATCCATCCCCTCCACCCATATACACTGTATTTATAATGCTTTCAGCAAGGCGTGTGCAGTGTGCATGAATGGATACTTCCTTAACATAACATGCAAAAAAGAGTGATTTTGTTGAAAACCCAACATCAGCTTGTCATTCAAGTACATGAACAATATTCTACCAAATGAATACAAGTTGATTCATGTCTGTCACATGCACAAGTGAATTTTAAATGTTACACTGTAGAAAACAACAAAAGTAGAGGGAAAAAAATAAACTACATGTTTACAAGTCCTCTTAAAATTCCAATTTTCCCTGACTTCTTTCAAAAAATTAAATAATTTTCCCTGACTTGAGGTGAAATTCCCTGACTTTTTCCTGACCTTGAATTATCTTTTTCTTCCATGACCATATCTTAACCTATGGCAACCATGTCTAATGATTCCTATTAACAAACATCCTTTGCAATAACTGTTATCAATGCTTGGGCCATCCAATGACTTTATCCTAGGCTGCACTCTAGCAGCACCCAGTGGCTGCTGGTGCCTTACTTTTGCTCCTGGGTGACTAGAAAATCTCAATTTCTTAGAAATTATCTGCTGGGCACCCTTCAATTTTTCTTAGAACACAGCCTTGTTATCAATAATGTGATACACAAGGCTCTTGCTAATAACATGGCTTAGTTTCTCTGGACATGGACAATAACTCACAGTATCTATAGACTACGAGTAGTCCCCCATTTTTCCTCAGGGATAGTAGAGCGAGCGAAACGCGAGCGCCCGTGAAAATCACCCCACGCGAGAAAAGGCGACACGCGGCGGGGAGAGAGAAAAATGAGGGACTACAGACAAAGCCCAAGCTTTTGACCCTTCACAGCCGACTGATTTTGGAGTGTAAAATTTGTACCCCCTTCGAAAGCAATTAAGTGCATCCAATGGGATTCCTTCCCTTATTGAGCTGTCATTGCTCTTGTCATCGGTAAACTGCGGGGGATATTTATTGCAAGCAAAAGAAAACCTAGATACTAATTTTCTTCACGGCTGTTTCGCGTAAAGAACTTGTTGATAGTGTAGGCAACACACGACTTTTACTCATGGCAAAATGCTGCTTGTTTCAATGAATTTTTTTTCTCTGACGGGTAGATTATGCTCTGGAGGAAAACAATTTGACTGAGCAAATGTGATTTTTGCCGCTTATTTCATACTGAGAGGCCGTGACACGCATATTAATTTTCTGCTGTTATTGTTTATGGTCGGCATGATTTGCCCTCTCATGCAAGAGCATTTTCTTTGACCTCTTTTGAAAAGTAAAGCTCTTCAATGTAGCTAAATATGGGTTTTGGGTTGTTTAATTTCTCCGGCGATTTCCTCCTGGATCTGAACAATTTTAAGCGATTTCCTTTTTGGCCGTGAATGTGACGGTTTCCTGCAATATTTTGTCACGCTGGGCCCAGCTCGTTAGCATTTTTAGCAGGACGAATAGTGATATCCAAATCTCGAAGAATGGATTGCAGCTTAGACTAAAACTACATCAACTATGGAGAACTGCGATGTGACTCAGTCATGACTGCTCACGAATTTTAACTGCCGCTTGTTTTTCTGGAGATAATGTGAGTATTTGGACTGGAGCACGCAATTCCTCCCTTGGTGATAACTTTTGAATTAGCTTAACAGCCTTGCGACTGTTCTATTATTCCCACTTTGTGATCAGGCGAGACAGTGGTTTCCGTTCTCCACCCGAACCTCATCAGTTGCCGGGTTGGCTTTCTGCTTAGTTGCTTCTACAAGAGCAACGCTAGTTATTTGTTCTGTGCTGTTATTTGTTCTGCTCTAGTCATCTGTTCTGTAAATTGTGATTATGTCGAGCGTTGATAGCGGCTGGCGCGTTTTTGACAGATGTTGACAGAGTTCCATGGAAGAGCCAATCAGAGTTTTGCGTTGTGAGAGCAACGCATTAGTTCAAAAGCTTGGGCTTTGTCTGTAGTCCCTCATTTTTCTCTCTCCCCGCCGCGTGTCGCCTTTTCTCGCGTGGGGTGATTTTCACGCGCGCTCGCGTTTCGCTTGCTCTACTATCCCTGAGGAAAAATGGGGGACTACTCGTAGTCTACAGTATCTATTACTTACACACTTGGGACCCACAGTCTGACAGTTTTGTCTCTTGATGCTGAAGCAATCAAATGTCCAGATGGAGAAAACTTCACTGAAAGTACAGCATCCTGAGAAAAAAAGTAACACATAGGTAATTTTGTTAACTACATAAAACACTTTTCTTATATTTAGTCAACAAGTTCGAAACTTGTGAGTCCAGAGATGTACAAAATATTTCACAATGACATCCTGAGAATGAAGAAAATTGTCAACAAAACTAGGAAAGGTACTGCAGGATCAAGTTTTGCATCTGCAGTCAATTTCGTCATGATTGTTGACCAATGCACAAATCCAGTGTTTCCATCTTTTGAGAGAAAACAACCATTTTTGATATGTGTCAAGCCTCTTTTCAAAGGTAAGGTTAGAATTTGCCGGGGGGGGACTCCCATATAAAAGTGACGAGGATACTCATCAGCAAGTGAAAATTAAACCCCTAAAGGGAGACCAATGTGGATGTGGCTCATGCTTAAACTGAAGCTAACTGACCCCAAAAGACCCTACTAAAAACAGAAGAGCTAGGGATTTAAACAAGTGGAGAAATGTTGTGTTCTTTTTAAATGTTAGATATCTGTGTGGTCAGTTTCAGGACATTTTTTTGAAAATTTCTTTATGCACAGCCCAAAGCGATACCTGAATGGGCAAATATGGTGACTTTCCATCCCAAACACCCTAAATGAGACCAAAATCTGCAATTTACTCCCCTAAGCAATACAATGAGCACCATCCCTGTCACTTTTGTATGGGAGTCCCCCCAGCGGTCTTTCATAAATCTTGCTCATTAATTTTGAACATGGGAGGTTTTTGGAACTCAAGAAAGGCTTTTAAATACACAAATTAAAACTACACTTTACCTTTAGAATAAATTCACCAATTATTCATACCTTATGTCCAACAAATCTGTAAGCTCGCATGTGTGGCTTAAAATGCCAAATCATCAGACTGGAGTCCATTGAACCAGTAACTGCAAAAATGAAATCAAAGCAAACAATTATTCCCGGATCAGTTTCCAAAGAGGTATCTTCGAATTCTAAAGCCGACAGTACCCTAAGTTGGGGGGGGGGGGTTAAGGAATTAGGAGAAGGAAGGGTATATGAAAAGCATAGTTATTTTTGTGGATTTTTTTAAGCGTGAAGGTCCGTGAACATGATGTCACTGGGTTTAGCAGACGTTTCGTATTGTGTATTTCAAAGTCTCATTGTCTGCATTACCTGATGGAAAACGATTAAGAAACTTAATATTATGATAACTTTACCAAGCTGCTTCATGTTGGGATTGAAGTCAACACTTGTCACTGTGTCTCTATGACCTTTGAAATGTCGCTCGAGCGTTGGATCCTCCTTGAACAGAATCAAAACAGTAATCAGTCAATTATTCACATATTGCAATGCATTATCTATTAAATAATAAGGCAGATATAAAGACATAGTTCTTACTAAATTCTGCATTTAAACAGACATTTAGCAAGACTTGTGCCACTGCAATAAGTCAGTGAATAAGTTCAGATTTGGGCTAAAATATACCAAGTACATACCAAACTCGAAGCCATTTCTAACGTTTCTCTTTATGGCAGCAATGTACTTAATTGTCAAAAAGAAAAGAGCAAAAAAATGTTATAAAAAGTTCTTCGTCGTTTCAAATATGGCGGCCGTTGTTGTGGTAATGGAACGACCGCAGTAAACGCGGGAAAAGTGCAGGCTCAACTATTTAAACATGGCTGCCAGGGCAATGCCAGTCCATTTTTGAGTAAGTTTGGATAAATTAAGAATTCAGAGTTGAAAATGGATAGAAGAGACCAGTATAAGACTACTGGCAGTGACATAGCATCGCAAAGAAGTAAACGAAGGGATCAGGAATCTGAAATTCGAAAGCAAAAACGCGAAAAACTTTTGAGCTCGAAACGCATTCGTTTTTCAGAGGTGGAGGGCAACTGTAATGTTGAAGAGTTTACGATTGAGCAAGTACAACAGTTGGCAAGGGCGATTCAGAAATCTGACAAAAATAATCTTAACAATCTTAAAAACTTACGAAAGGCATTTGCTCAAGGTAGTGAGCTCATAAGTGCTTTTTTGGGGGTAGAAAACAGCTTGCGATCCATGGTGGGACATTTGACTGGAAACAATGCTCAGTTTCAATTTGAATCAGCTTGGTGCATTACTAACTTAGCTACGGGAGATCACGAGGATACTATGAAAGTGTTGAAAGCTTCCGCTGTTTACTTGATTACTTATCTGAGTGGACAGAATGTTCAACTTCAAGATCAATGTGCATGGGCATTAGGGAATTTCTCTGGTGATTCCCAGGAGTGCAGGGATATTTTACGTGCACAAGGGATTATTGCACCAATGGTCAATCTTTTAAAGGTATTTAACCTTAGGCAGCCGTGAATAATAACTCTTAGAATATGTTCTCCAGGTCTTCTCAGTGGTGTGTCAACCTCAAGGAATATATAGGGGGAGTTAACCTGTGATCAGGCGTTTTTTTTTTTCAGGGAAGGGGGAAAAGACGCCTGATACATTTACTCCACGAGTCGTCTGCCACCGCCTAATTAAGGCATCTGTCATCATTTGTGTTATCGTGTTAGATTTTACGGGAGCCTCAAGCGTGAATTGTAAGTTGATACAGTAGTTGGTAGCAGTACTCATAGTTTTTAAGGACCAATTTATCACTGCTGTTATTGTGAATCTTGCCTTATCGATGCCATGTGGTACCTTTGTTCAAGCTGTCAAGTAAAACAAATTAGTAATTCATTGAAAACAGTGGTAGAATACACAATTGTGTATTTTACTGGAAGGTATTAAAAGTATAGTAACTGATTCTGCAGCAACAAATCTTTCATGGTCTTTAATCAGTTTGCAAAAGTGCTGGTGTAAAATTGTCAATAATTATTGTTTTACGCCTGCCTGGTCTGAGCAAGAAAGTGCTGAAGAAGAAATCGCAGAAACAACTCATCCTCATCAGCTGTAAAGGTTTTTCTCTGTGCATTGTTCTTTTGATTCACTAAAAAAGTATTCATCTTTTTCTTTTTATAAGTCCTATAAGCTTTGCTTGCAGTTAAAAGAATTATTCCTCGATCATCTTGGGGATTCTGTCATGAAGAGACGAAGGTGACAAAACCTATCTAATTGCAACGGCAGTCAGATGTGTTGCTTGTAACCAATCGGTGCAGAGCTCCAAAGGATCTTTTGTTTTTCAACCAATCAGACAAAAGTGCAGATTCTGGACTACGGGCAGATGATGTGTAAAGTAAAATTTCAGGCGTCCTTTTGCCCTCGATCATCTTCCAAACAAAAGGGAAGAGGGACCGCCTGATTGCAGGTTAAGGGGGAGTGGACCAGGGGGGGACTCCAATATGAAAATGACATACTGTTATTGCCTGTAGCCAAAATGAATCAAGATAGCCAGTGTTATTCATTACAGCTGGAACCAGAAATTGTGCATTTGCTGTAGTGATTTTAAGTTTAAAGCTCTGTTGAGTCAGAAAAGAAACAGTCGACTGGAAAACTTTCATCAATATCTTAATGCAGAGTAACATGTGCTTATCTTGTTTGTTTGTTCAGTGCCCAATTTCAACAGTTGTACAGTCAGCAGCATTCGCCCTTTCAAATCTGGCCCGAGGAGAGCAAGTTGTCGCAGAAGAGATGATACAAGCAGGCATAGCACCTTCTGTCATCAGCCTTCTTACACCAGGGACCAGCTCTGTGGATGTGGCTTCAGAGGTTGCTTGGGTGCTGTCATACTTGACATGTAAACCCCAGTGTGTGGCAGTGTTTGTATCAGGGGGTGTTATTCCCATTCTTGTTCATTATCTGGGGTCTCTAGCACAAGAGAGACCCCATAACCCCCAAGCAGTGACACCAATGCTGCGAAGCTTAGGTTAGTCAACAGTACTAGTAATTAATGACTTACAGCTCTCTAGGGTGTATGCATGTGTGTGTTTTTTGCAGGGTGAGTTAAGTCTTTCAAACAATGTATCCTAGAAGTGTGTGGATACTGACCAAACCACAGTGTAAACCATGTGTAAAGTGATGATTTGAAGTGAAGTGTCTCATCTAAGCCCAAAAAACTCAATAAGCTGTCTTCCATTTTTTTTTTTCAGGGAACATAGCCAGTGGCCCTGATGAGTACGGGACTCAAGCAATGCAAAGTGGTGAGCTGGTCGTTGCAATGACATCATTTCTGGAGTCCACACATCGACATATAAAGAAAGAGAGTTTATGGGTATTGTCCAATCTGACTGCTGGACCTACAGAACACATTGATGCCTTCATTCAAGCTGGAACACTACCTCTTGTTGTGAATTCAATGTCATCAACTTTTGACATCAGAAAAGAGGTATGAGGTATACCGGGTAGATTCCATCTAATTTTTTTCTTATTTTTCTTTGATTTTGTCGTGGTGTAGGTTATAGGCTCTCATACTTGCTTTTCTTCTCCACGAACACATGAAAATTTGGTTTTGTCATCTCGGTTGATCAAGTCAAATTACCACTATTGAAATATTGAACGCTGATGTTAAAATGCTGGCTTGTCTTCAGAGCGAAACCAAACCAAATTTTGTGTTTCACTTCCCCACCACACAGCACTGACTACAATAACTTCTTCATCCACTAACTGAGACCTTGGAACAGGTTAGTTATGGTGTAGCAATGAAGCAGCTTAGCATAGATCTGGCTTTGTCACTCGAAGTTACACCCTTTCCTAAACCCTAACTTGAAGCACTTTGTAGCATGTAAGACACAGTACAACAGGAAAGTACAGCTCCATAGCTTAATTTGAATGGGGACACTTTATGATTTCATTAACAGACTCAAAAGTGAGAGTCACCTCGTACAAGATATTACACAGTACAACGAGAAAGTACTGCTCAGTAGCTTTCATTTGAATGGTAACACTTTAGGATTTCATTAACAGACTCAAAAGTGAGAGTCTCCTCGTACAAGATAATACACCGTACAATGAGAAAGTACTGCTCGAAAGCTTTCATTTGAATGGTCACACTTTAGGATTACAGTTCAAAAGGCTCACTAGCCCTCTCTGATATGTACATCATCAAGAATTTCCCCAATTTATCTCAAGTTGGTAATGCAAAATAAAAACCAAAAGGTTGATGCAACTGGGACATTGTTGTGCAGTCTAGAGGCCAGGGTCTGGAGTTATTCTAACCTCTTCATTTTTTTGTTTATAAAACAGGCCTGTATTTGCTTGTGTAATATTGCACATCATGGACCAATTTATGTGAAGAATGTTCTTGACCTTGGAGCTATGAATTCATTTATCAACATTATTAAATCTCCTGACCCAGATACTATTATCACCGGTCTTAAGTTTATTGAGATGTCACTGAGAAACTTCCCAGCTTCAAAAGAAATGTTTGAGGTTGCTGAGGGTGTGGCATGTTTAGAGGGACTCGAATACAGTGATAACGAAACAGTTGCCCAGTATGCTAATGAGCTTTTGGACACTTACTTCATGGAGGAAGAACCTGATGAGGAACATAGCGGAGTCAATGAGACTGAACAAGGAGAGGCATTGTCATGGAGATACCAAGACAGTGAGATGACAACATAGCACAGTAAACAGCCATAAGAGAATACAAACTTTAATTGCTGAGGACATTCAACAATTCACATCCATCAGAGGGTCAAGCAACATACTATTGGCCCTAATATTAATTTCTTTTTATTAGAACTTAACTCATGTGAGCTCCTCGATTTATTTTTGAGCTCATGGCATTGTTTTATGGAAAACGTACTATAGTTTAAACTTTCTACAGACTTTTATTTCAAAAAGAACGTCTGTGACTTTTTACATTTAAAATGAAACCTAGTCATTGATTGTTCTTGCAACGAAAATATTTTTACTGTAGTTTGGTACTTTCAAAAGAATATTTAATATTATACTTACATAAACTTGGGGGCTGATGGCCATATCTTGAATTGAATACTATTAATAGAAGTTAGCAGTAGTCTCTTCTCTCAGAGATAGTATAGCGAGACCACATAATTGGGAGATTGTCTTTTGTAAAGAGAAGTCATGTGATCTTACATTATTTTACTAACTACAGTAGAACCCTGGTAACTCAAACTCTGAAGGGAAACAAAAAACATTTTGAGTTAGCGAGGGTTAGAGTTATCTAGTACTTGATAGTTGAATGATTTTTCGGCACTTCAGCATACAATACAATGTAATTTAAACTTATCTCATCAGAAACTGTAACAGAATTATGCATTATCTTCTTATTGTGATGATCTAGTGTGACTCATAAGATCGTGAAATGACTGTCAAATACTTGATCTGTTCTTTGGACTACTAATTAAAATCAAATTGCTTTAGTGCAAGTTTTAGAGTTTTTTACCAATTTCATGACAAGAAGGGCTAAAGGGAAAGCGTCCATGGTCAAAGCACCAGAATTCGAGTTACTGCGGTAAATTTTGATCAAGGGAAATACTTTTTAAATGAAGATATGATCGTCGCAGTCATAATTGCAGGTTAAGCATTTGCCAATTATCCCGTGAAAAATTTCGGGTCTTCAACGGTATTCTAACCCATGGTGTCTGCGTTGGCGCTGCAGTGCTCTACCAACTGAGCTATGAAGACCCATTACATTGGCAAGAGTTCATCTTAACCCGTGAAAAGAATGAAACAGAGAGTGAAGATGATGTGAACTGCGGAAATACAATTTAAATGAAAATACGATCTTCGCAATGGTAATTGCAATTTTTAAAGCAATTGCAAATTAACCCAAAAATTGCTATTACCGTGACTGCGACGACCATCTACAGTCGAAACCCGCTTTACGGACACGGCGTTATTACGGACAGTTTCCTTTGTCCCTAGGGAAAGCCCGTACATTTTTTCTAAATTCAACCCGTTTCAGAATACGGACACCCGTTAATGCGGAAAACGGACACATTTCTTGCCCAATCAACGAATTTTCATAGAAAACCAACCTCGCTAATGCGTACTCTCAGCTGTACTCTTCATAATCAAGTGTGTGCTGTAATAGACCTTTCCTTTTTGAATGTAAAACATCCTTCAGTTGACAGCATGTCAATGTTCCCGGCGCTACAATACTAGACACCGGATAGGATGACTTGTAGACGTCAGTTTTTGGCATCAAACGAGTTATGCAGAGAAGGGTTTTGATCAAGTAATATATCTATGTTTTTTCCTTCCCCCCTCTACATAAATAATGACCGGGCCCTAAAACAAAGAAAACCTTCTCCGAATAGGAATGAGGGACCTCTTGTACAGAACCTGTAACAATGCGCTATGACAAATTTTGACAAAGCAAATGAGACGGTCTAAGAAGATGTGGTAATTTTCAACACTCTGACGAAACCTGAGTTGTTTCACTGGGAAAGTTAAATATGAGCAGGGGAATATGATAATGGGAATCATATGAGTAGGGGAAATATATGTTTCATTGGCCCCCCGCTCCCGCTGACACTAACTTTTCTGATTGTGATTTTATATCAGGGATTCCCCTAGTAAGAACGAAGGAAACCGAGAAAAGTGAAAAATGACTGGTAGAAATGAGTAAAAAGGGTAAAAAGGCTGCTGGTGACAGGAGAAAAGCTACAATACTAGTAAAAGTACGTTGGTTAGGTGAAAAGTCTGCACTGGGAATGTGCGAGAGACTGCGAACGGATCCCGCGAAAAACGCGAAACGCGTCACGCGCGCGGTAGTAACCTGAGATTAGGCGTTTTTTTTTTTTGCTTGTTAATCATAGGGAGAGGGCATGATCTCAGGCTAGCGCGATAGGAGATCTTCCACGCGATTGCTACTTTCTTCTTATATTCAAGTCCGATTCAAAGATAAAGTTTTCAGAGGAATCGTCTTTAATTTCTTTTTTACAGGCAAATTCAACTGCAAAATTTTGAACGACTTTTTTTTGCGTAGTTTGCTGTATACCGGACCGGTACCGGTTTATAATTATTCCCAGGGGTAGATAGTGGGGGCGAAGGACTCTAAACTGGTAGAAAAAATGGCTCAAAGAAAAGAACGGGGAGCTTACCAGAACAGTTGGTTCCAAATGGCTGCGTCCGTTCTGGCTTCTGATTGGTGCCAGAAAACATTTGTCAGGGGCTCTTCTCCCCGTTCTTTACTGTTCTTCTGCCCGTTATGACTTTCCCTCGCCCCCACTATGTGATCAACGATGCTCCATCCTGCCGACAACCTCCTTACTCCTTCCCTGACGGTTTTGTTGTGAATTGAACTGCGCGCGCATGGTCACTAACAACAGCTGGACTTGAGAGGCTTCGTTCAACTCTATGGAAACCTAAACGATGTCCGCAAATTACAACTTGACAATGTACAATCGATTGGCTTGCGCCAGCAGATTTTTCAAGATTTGGGAACAATTCTGGTGGATTTATTAACGATTTCATGGCCTCAAGCACTCTTGTTTTCGAGCAAGATGCGACTTTGGAAGGGATAAAGGTTTGTTGTGTTCTGCTCCCTCTTTGAAATTGAAACTAAACCGCTTCATATACAAAACCTCATTAGCTCGGCGATAATATTTTATCGCCGCGACAAAATTAAAATCTTTGAAAACATCTCTGTTAGAAATTCTTCTAAAGTTAGTTTTAATCTTACTGGACAGCTCGCGGTTTTTGTTAGCGTCCGCGCGCTTTGTTTTGCTTGATTGCGAAATGCTGGACCGGTTTTCTTCGATTCCCGATATTTTATTAATTGCTTCGACTGTTTGACCTCTCTGCCATCGTTATATGGTATTTATATGCCTTCAAAAGAAGCTTGTGTATCGTGGAAAACGTGTATGATAGTCATCACTTCTTTAAGGTCATCTTAAATGAACTGGAACGTTAACAGTATATGTTTTTCATCACATGTTGCGATCGACGTACCTACGTGAAAGTGCGGCCTCCCTCAGTTGTTAAGCCCGTGTGTTACTTATGGCTAACCCTATCCCGATCGATAGCTTATTTAACTGAATTAAGACAACTCCAAATTCGGTTCCAAAAATTTGTAGCAAAAATTGGGTTTTACTTTAAAAGAGCGAGGTGATTATAAATGATTTCTTCAAAAAATTATGTTCAGAGGTTTGACTTTATGCTCGAAGTAAAAGCGCGCGGATTAGTTTTGTGCAAGCAGACTTGTTCTTAGGTTGTTGTAAAGCTTCGATTATATTTCTTCATACAAAAGAGGTCAAGTTTTAGATTAGGTTGATGATAAAATGATAACGTTATGCTCGGGAGCTACAATGTAGCCTAGCCACGCTAATAATTATTCTCTCCTTAGTCTGTATTGTGTTTTTCGACTTGTCACTTCATTGCTATGGTAAATGTTTACACTGTCACCAGGGATTATGTTTTTGGTTGTCAGAACACGTAAATCGTCCGTACTTGATGTGAATTTCAGAGAGTTTTAATTTCAACGTCACTCTTCTATCTAATATTACTTTCTATCTAATGTTGAAATTGCAATACGTTCTTTTTATCTCTTCATTTAATCTGTCTTTCACGACCCACAACTTTTGACAGGTCTAGAAGCCCAAGTGTTTTTTGCGCCGTAGGTTGCATTTAAAGAACCTAAAGTGATCAAAACGTTTGTTGAAAATTGCTGCGAGCTGTCACTCTCCGTAAACGAAACTAATTAAATGTTTATTTGTGAAATAATAGTATCCTCTAAAAATCTGTGCAACTTGACAAATGTGTTTGTTTTGTTTGCTTTTCTTTGTTGCCTTATGGTGTGCTTTACAAAGTGCAAAATGTGAGCAAAACACCATGAAAAGCATTTAATAAATATTGCATCAGCAGTGAATAGTATTACTTTAATTGATTTATTGTTGAGTTTTTGGTTTTGCTTTTAAAGAATGTTATTTTCAAGTTTAAAAATCTGTACAGTGCTTTCACTTCAATAGTGTCATATGTCCTCTGAAACTTCTGACACAGCCAGAGGACGGAACTAGCAGTTTTCCATTCTCAAGAAAAAAGGTGGAGTTTGCCCAAAAATGAACCTTAAGTTTTCAAGAAAGAACAAATAGCTCAACAATGGCTAAGAGGCTGTTCAACTGCAAAAAGTTTTTTGATTAAGCATGTTTTTTTAAAGAGCCTTTGTTACCTTCCTTTAACGTGTACAGTGGAATTTAATTTTTTTAAACCTCCTTGGAATGGAAATAATTGATTTGAAAAATTACAGATCTTTAGGAGTAAAGTTACAGTTTTGGTAGGAGAAGGAATTTTTCAGTTTTGGTAAAATGTTTGGAGGCTTGAAGAATTGTAAATGTGAAGGAAGTGAATTTACTGTCCACACACACAAGCAAAAATGGTTTGTATGAATTACAGTGTCCTAAAAACAGTGTTTTAAAGATGTTTTTTAAATGGAAATCACAGATGTATTGAGCCACACTGAATAAAATGTAAAACTGATTAAATTTGTGAATTTTCGTAACATATTATTTATGTCATATATATATAATTTGTCATAATGTGTTTTTTTAATCTCTTCTCAGGAAAAACTGCAGCAAGAGCAATCTGTTACCAAACTGGTATTGAGACACTGCAATGCTGTTTCATCAAGTGATCTTCAAGTTCTTTTGGAACATATAAACCCAGACCTTGATGTTCTGTCTGTTCATAACTGTCAATCATTTGATGATGATTTTGCTGGCAGGATATCAGAGCACTGCTCAAAACTCACAAGCATTTCTTTTACTGGGAACTGTGGGATGCTTTCAGCCACAGGAATATCTTTATTTGTGAAGAACTGCAAGAGTCTGAAACATGTAACAATAATGTCAACTGATTGTGATGACTTGGCAGTGGATGAAGATGACAACAAGGATGATAGTGATAATAACAACAAAAGCTGGCTTCTTAATGATGATATTTTTGCTTTATTTCTTGAGAGGACAGACTTGCAACTTGAGCACTTTGCTCTTTGTGGCTTTGAAGATATAACATCGAAAGGTTTAAAACAGTTCTTAGCTCACGTTTCATCAAATCTAAAGTCTCTGGATGTTAGTGAACTTTCTGCTGTTAATGATAACACGGTTGAAGGATTGAATGATGTATGTTCAAATTTAACAGATGTATCATTTAGTCACTGTAAGCTCACTGATGAAGGTGTTCAAATATTTTGCTCAAAATGCAAGATGCTTCAATCTGTTAACCTTAGTGGCTGTCAAGATATTTCTGATGATTCAATTGTTGCTCTTTCATCAAACTGTTCTTTGTTGAAAAGGGTAGAACTTGGATGGTGCATTAACTTGACTGAAAAGTCGTTATGTGCTTTGGTAAAGAACTGTAGTAATTTGACACATGTTGACATGTCACAATGTGCAATAAAACACTTGCCTTTTGAAATATTGGATCATTCATCACTTCAGGAACTGAAATTAAACGGTTGCACCTCCCTCAGGTGCCCTCCATTGCAGACTGTTACCAAAGGACTTGAATCTTGTCGTGAATTTCTCAAGAAATGCAACCTGCAGTCTTTATGCCGAATGACTTTCCTTGGTAATCAAGGAAGTGGAAAAACAAGTTTAATGTCAAGCCTTCCCACAATGGTGCAATCTGTCGCAGACACATCAACTGAAGGGGTACATGTGTCTTCTTGGAAACCATTCAAGAGTGGGAAAGGTAAGCCTCACTTTACAGCATGGGATAACCAGCAAATGTAGTGCCAATTAATATGACGGTGACTAATCCAATATTAAATTCAAGCAGTAGAGTACAAATAACACTCAAAATGAGTACAAATATCTCATGGTATTTGTACTTCAGAGGACTGGTTTTGACTGATTTTCTTCAAACATCTCACATGTATGGGATGTCTTGAAAACAAAGACCCCTAAGACTTTGGAGTCTTTGTTTTCAAGACACCTCACATGTATGGCAGAATAACAACTTATACAAATACAAGTGAGAAGATGAAAACAAACCTGAAGTAAACAACATCCATAAATACTGTACAGTCCCTTCAGAGGAACTGATCAGTTTAAATCACTTCTAGTTTGGTTTTATAAGCTAAGTGTGAGGAAACTCGAGGTGGTAGACTCTAAAGGTTCTCTCAAGACTTTTTGAGAGTATTAATCCCAGTGAAGTTGAGGCTTCAAGTCCTTTGTTTACAAGTAGCTCTGTGAAGCTCCTTGAATTGGGAGATTTTTCTTCTTTGCATTGCAATTTGTTCTGCTCATTTTTTTTTCTACTTAGTGGAGACCATGATAAGCCTCACAATTTATTTGTCAATCTGTCACTGTTTTACTGGCAAGACATGGTTGAAAGGTAGAACCTCAAAGCGCTGATGATAAGCAAAAAAAATTATTTACTGAGTAAACCAGTTTGACAAGTTTTCCTTTCTGACCAATCAGCAATGATGTTGCACCCCATGCATGAAAACTACAAAGGAGTCATGTTAGTCTGTCACGCACTTTTGTTATATGGGCTCACCAAAATACAGTGTGATTTGAAAAATATCCCACAACACACCAAACCATTCAATAAGATAACTATTCTCTTTGATGCTGAATTGAAAGTTTTCAGTAGAATCTGCTCAACTGTGTAGTGGTGTAATATGTAGTGAATAAATTCAGCCTAAGGGGTGGACAAGTACATAAAAAATATTGTATATTAATTGCGTATCACTGGCACAATTTTGTTTTTGACTTTGTAATGAGCTTGTTTAGCAAGGAATAGCATTGTCGTTCCCAGTTCCTTTGTACCCTAGAGAATGAGTTGAGATTCCACTCACTGTAGGACAGCTGTGTTATGTCTGACCTTACTTTACCCTCCTTGAGTGCCAGAGAACATAATTTTATCAAAAATTGTATCATTCTTACCCATTTTAAGCACTCATTTATTTTTTAAAAATTAAGAGTCTATTGACCTTGGAACAGATGTGAATGAAAAGATGCTGTCACTTACAGTTGAGATGTGGGACTGTGGAGGAAGAGCAGTAAGTCCTTTTTTGATCCAGTTCAAATATTTAAATGAAATATTAATCCTAATTGATAATATTGTGGAAGACTTTTTAATAGACTTGTAGTTATTGATAGTAGACTGCTTGAACTGATGTGAAGGAACCAGTATTGTAGTACTGTAAGTAGAATTCAGGAAACTTTTCTTATCATTTTTTTTTTTGCAGTGCCTTCAGGGTGTCCATCCATTGTTCTTGAGTGAACATTCACTGTACGTCATTGTATTTAATGTCCATGATCCATTCAAGATTGAGTCTGTCTTAAGATGGATGCTTCTTATGAGGTCAAAGGCAAGTGACTCAAATTATGTACAATTTATAAAAAAGGCTTTAATTTAAACACTCAGACAGTTTGGGTTGGTAATCCAGCAGCTCTGATTGTAGCTGTCTTGACAAACCCCATTTGATAAAAACTAATAACATACAAGGCTGTGGTCTAAGAAAAATTAAAGGGATTCCAGTGCTCTACGCCTGTGAAATCCAGGGAGTCCAGTATAGGATTTCTATGAGAAAAGGTAAGATTTTCTGGTCGCCTGGTAACAAAAGTTAGGTGCTAGGGCCCTGCACTGAGCACTGCTAGAGCACAGCCTTGACATATTTCCATACATTGTAAATGACCTTTCTGCTGCCTCTTACTTCATACTATGGCTGTGCTACTGTGCTGCCTTGATGACCTTCCTACCCCTTAATCCTATTACCTTCCTACTCAATGCCCCGTTCTAAAACCCATGTCCTCTGCCTCTGCCATTGCTTTATCTTAGAACACTTTGTAACTTTTTCTTTCCACTGGGCTATCCTGCTGCTCTTTCCCAGCAGTGAAGGCTCTTACTGACCTTCTTCTATCACCTTATCCCATTGCTCCACATACTGCCCTCTTCCACTATCCCTCACCACCACCCATTCTCCTACCCTATGCCACTGCCCTGTCCCACACCATATCCAATTATCCTGCTCTATCGCTGTGCTGCACCCTATGTCCCCCTACCCTTCCACTGCCCCATGTGACAATTTCACCACTATGACATCTTTCAGAGAAAAAGCGAATTAGAGCATGAACTCAGGAATTTGTATTGACTTAATTCTGGAATAGGATATACACAGAATAATCCTGAACATGATTGTTTGATTGACCTGCTTTTCCAGTTCTGGAATAAGAAAATGTATGTATATTCCAAACAGTCATTTCCAAGGTCAAGTGGAGCAGAATGCTTGGAATAATTAGGAATAAAGATATCATTTTACTTGCTTTTGGTTTTCTTTAAATTTATTTAATAAAGGCAATAGTGACAACAAAACGACTTTTAAATGAGGAAGATGACATTCTCCTCACTAAAGGTTACCTCAAAATTAAGAACCTAGGTTATGCCATTTTATATACTTCAAAACACTATTAACATTTTACTGATATATTTTCCAGGCACCTGCTTCTCCATTTGTTGTAGTTGGAACACATGCTGACAATGCTGATGACTGGAGTCCACTTGGAAATGAGGTTCTTGGGGCACTTAAAAAAGCTGATTCAAATCAGAGACAGGAAATCCAAACTGAAATAAACATGTTGAGGTAGGATGACTGGAAAGGACAATCAGTGATCAATCTTTCTCATTTTAATTCCCTGTTCGTTCGACATTACATGATCTTGTTAACATACAATGTAAGCCCGACCTATGGGAAATATTTTAATTATCTTATAGCAACAGGTTAACTTTAGCGAATTTGAAAAATCTTTATTTAGCGGCACTTTGATTTAGGGGTTTTTCTTAAGTTTTGGAACATAAGTCACTAAATTTTTGCAATTTCATGAATTGACACTTCAGTGAATAAGGTAATCAAAACTTTGACGACATCAATAGAACATTTATGTAAGTAATAAAATCATATGATTTTATTACTTACTTCTCATTGATATTGTGTTAAGTAATTTCTGCAATCAATATGACTTGTCTTCCACCAGGGGTTTGAGGCAAGACAAATGCATAGAATTAAGAATCAACACACTTGAGAACCTGGTAAAACACTGGTCGAGCTTGCCACAGCAAGTGCACTTTGTAAGCACACTGAAAGGAAAGGTAACTTAATCCATTGATTTCTTCACTATTAATAGTTTCTTTTAACAATTATGAATGTGTTGCTGAGCCACGTAGAACCACTTGTGAAATCCACTGGGTGACCAGCAAACGGTTTTCTTTGAAAAATGTCATATTTTCAAGTTGCTTTGGTGAAAAAGTTAAGTGCCAGGGGCCTGCACCGGGCACTGCTAGAGCTCAGTCTTGTCTGAAGATAGGCCTGCTTGCTGAAGTATTTCAGTTCACCCCTATATAATACCAGAATTTCAAATAAAATCTACCTGTTTCCTGCAGGAACAAATATTAGACTTTTTGGTATTTTTGGTAAGATTTCAGGGTGCAAAATTTATTCATTCACTAAATCACAACATGCAATATACAAAGTGCTGCTGCTAATATCTTTCTTTTTAAATCTAGATTGAAAACAATTATTACAACTCCTTTGCTGATTCTCCGCTTGTAAAGAATACTTGTTTTTTGCTGCTTTTTGTCTGTTTAGTGTGTTTTGTTTTGCTCGCTTCTTATCCTAACTTACATTTCAACATGATTTTGCCGCATGGTTGTTTATATATTTCTAGTCTTAGGTTAGGTGGGAGCTCATGTAATAAGCCCCTACTGTTTCAATTTGAGCTTCCTCACCAGAAAAATACCTCTGATTCTTCCACTCATGTAACTTACGTCACTTTTCACCTTTAACTATAGCTTTTCCTGGTAGGCAGTTCATACATTGTCTCTTGTTTAAACCTCTCTGCAACTGCCACCTCTGTACAATGGCAACCCCGAGCTACTAAAGCATTTCCCAACTGCCAAAATCACCTCTCGAAAATGGCCAGTTTTTTCAGCAACTGATGAAAAAATTAATAATGGTCATGAAATGTGATTGTATGGCGCGTTGATTATTAATCGCAGGAATCATAATTATTATTTTAATTGTGTACGGTTTATACTGCTGCAGTAAGAATAAATTATTTCAATACTTATGGCGAATGTTGTGAACCTTTCTCGTTTTGTCCTGTTTACATTTTGATTCAAAACATTTAGTCAAGGTTTTTGTGTATTTTATCTCAATATAAGTCTTATTTATCATTGATTACCATTATGAGATAATACAGTAAGCACAAACTTAGCACAATGAACATGTTGTGTACCCTTTAAAAAATTGTCAAATTATCCCCCTACCTCCCCATAGCAGCCACCTCTCCACAACCTCCACTTTCTTCTGTCCGTAAGGTGGCCGTTGTGGAGAGTTTTGACTGCATATTTTTTCTGGCAATTATGAAAACTGAAACTGATCTTTGTTCCATTTCCTGCTTTTTGCCTTTTTAGTTAGCTATTTTAAATAACACTTACACTACTTTTTTTGTCACATTTAGAGTCATCATAGCCGATAATATCACAGCTTAACTAACAGACTGACAACCATAATATCGCAACTTTTAAGTTAAAATTAACATCATGTCATAATAACCGGAGTTTAATAACATTAACTGTCATGATACAACTCACTTGACACTGAAGATGACTTAATACCGTCACAACTGGACAGTAATTGTCAATGACATGAGTCCTAAATTCAGGACTATACTCACCTGACGCACAGATGATCATATTCCAGCTACTTACTATTTTTTCTCCTTTGCAGGGCATGACGGAGCTGCAACATACTATCACTCAAACATTAATGGATTCAACATTATTCCCTCACTTAACAGAAGACATTAGCCAAGCTATAATATACCTTCATTGTGAAATCCTGCAGTTACGTGAGAACAATACAATGCTCTTGTCTTGGGATCAGTACGTAGGATTGGCATCAGATGCAGGAATTACAGATGATGCTGTTATGAAAGCAACAGCAGTTTTAGAGTGTAAGGTAAGGTTAACACCTTAGTTGCTCTCATCTAATTCCCATTCAGGAGTTTCAATGAAAACTAAAGTAACCAGCAAGTTAATTAACTGCTTGTATCAAAGGGACGTTAGGCTCCTTTCTCGAGGGGTGTCTGGGGGTGTGCTCTGCCAGAAAAATTTGATATTTCAAAGCCCTTAAATGTGATTGCTAGCTATCTGGGGACTAAATGAATTAAAAAAGAACATGACTGTATTTCATTAAAGAAAATGTTGCTTTCATTTAAGGTTCAATGAACAAATGACAAGAATTAAATTGTGTACATTTGGATGTGAACAAATTTTGTGTAAACCTATATAAAAGTGGTGAAAAATTGACTGAAATAGCGTTCATGTAACCAAAGCATAACAAAACCACTGGGCCTTTTTTGGGCCAGATTTTATGAAATTTTTTCTTTTTTGCAACTTGTAAAACTAGTTGCATCTTCTTTCAGGAAAAATAGCTGACTTCTCTTGGCAAAGTAGTCACTGTAGAAGACATGTTTCCTTGGTTGTCATGCAGTGCTTATTGAGACCCATGTCCATTAGTGAAATGAAATTCACACTTTACTGACATGTACAGTTCCAGAAATATGCTTGCTCAAAATATTGATAATATTGTTCATAATTTGTGGCTTTTGCAGGGTTGTATTGTGGTCTTTAGCATTCCCACATCTTACCAGAACCAAGGCCCTTCCAGGACTGTTTGTGTGAACCCTAGTGCTCTCTTGAACTGCATAGCAGGGGTCCTTTGTGAGACAGATCCCCGTGAATATGTCCCTCAGTTTGTTAAGGCTGGTAAAGTGGAGAGGTTCTGGCCCACAGGTGCAAAACCCAATGAATGGACTTTGAGAGCAGCCATTGATGACATTGTGAGCAAAGGATTTGTGCGAGAGTCAGTTGTGCCACTATGTTTTCAGGTAAAATTTGTTAGAATTTTTTTCTCACCTTGTTTTCCGTCATCTTCCTTTTAAAATGTAGTAAATATCTGCTTTTCATGCTGCCAAAAAGCTCACCAGTTGGTAAATTTTCCTTGAAGACAAATCAGTTAAACACGGCATTGATTTATCATTAGATTCCCACACTTCTTGATGAAGCAGAGCTACAGACTGTGATCACTTTGTTCAGAAGCCTGGGTTTCCTGGTGGAAGGTGCTCCGAAGGGGAACTATGATGTTGAACTAGTGATGTCGCAGTACAAAACTTGTTCAGTGTTCAAAAGGTACTACCTCCCGCTCATGCCCAAGCTACCTACAGATCCAAAGGTAATTAGACTGAATCAATTTAATTTTAGAATTTATCTCTTTAGAAAGAATAGTACTCTGAATACTGGCTAAAGAAAAAAATTGTTCATACCTTTAGATAGATCCAAAAGTAAAAGTTACCTATTCTAAAAACTAACAACTTCTTGTGTTTGTCAGGCAAATGTGAATGATTACTTTTGTAAAAAATTGTGGAAGTTCAAAACAATCTTTAGGTGAAAATGATTTTTTGTTTGTCTTCTGTAGCTCTAATAATTTTATTCAGTTTCTTTTGACTCCTTCCTCTAATTAATAGTTAAGGTTAGGCAGGGATGTGGATAGCTAAGGAAAAGCTAAGGAAGCTTTCTTATTAAGTGTATCTTGAAATATGCTTTGCTTTCTAAAGAATTACAGATGTATGTACGGACTTGCCTCCCATTAAGATGTGTGTGATACAAAGAAGTCTTGTTGGATATTTTGTTATACACCAGTTGAAAGTCTTGCCTAAATAGCATGCATATAATGTGTTTTACATTAGGATGAAACTGTATGGCCCAGTTCCCTCCCAGAAGGTCACATCCAGGTGGGATGGCGTTACAATTTCCACGATCACGTGACTGTTGACAGTATAGCACCACTGTTAATAGGTGCATGCGCCAACTTGAAGCCTTCCTGTGAAATTCTCTCATACTGGAACTCTGGTGCCATTTTGAAAGTTGGTCCTGTGACTGTGAAGATATCACGTGATAATACTACCCTGGATGTGATTGGTCGGTGTAAGATCACAGACGGAAGTAAGCAGGCCCTTATCATGACGTGGATCGTTTTGGCCAAGTATTTCCATGTGAATGAAACTTTACTGATGAATTATAAAGGGACGTGTCCCGAGGTGAGAAAAATGTGTTAATCTGGGACCTGAGACTGGAATACAGCAATCTATCAACAGCTACCTCTTTAAGACAGATACTGTATTTCCTTGAATAATAGCCGGGGGTGATTATTTCTTTTTTGGACCCAAAAGGGGGCAATTACTCAAAGGAGGCGATTATTTCAAACATTGCTTAATAGAAATCATGCCCTAAAGATTTTGTCTTAATCACATCAAATATACTGAACATTGACATTTAAAGTGTTCCAAATTTGGTTCCTTGATTAATTTTCAATGTCAATGTCCTCGGTGTCAGAGCTTGAATCGTCACTGATCAGTTTTGCTGGATCAAACTCCACTTTAGCTTCATCCTTCAAGTTTACAGCTGTGGGTATCCCTAGTGGGTAACCGATATGGAAACGGGGGGGGGTTATTTGAGGAAGGCAATTATTTTGAACATTTCGGTCAAAGGGGAACGATTATTCAAGGGAGGTGATTAATCGAGGGATGGCTACTATTCAAGGAAGTACGGTACCTTGCTAAGACAGGCAGCTAGAGTTGGTCCCTGGCTTTCTTTACTTCTTCTGAGTTGACTCTCTGTAAGATGAACATCTCTTTAGACAGACGCTTAGTATCAGTCCCAAGGTCTTTGTCTTAAGGACCGTTGACTGAACTGTAACTTAATGTTCCATGAGATAGTGAGAAGTCAGACGAGGTAATTTAGGACATTTGAAACCGTTAACAAAAACATATTTTACTCAAATACATGTAGTTCAGGTAAAAATGAACTAAAGCCCTGCTTACAACCATCAACATTTCAGTTGTAGAACTCCAATACCTCTTGCAGTTGTTTTATTATTGTCAGAAGTTCAAGGGTGATCATCCTATGTATAATAATGTAACATGTATTTACTCAACAATGTCTGCTATGCAATGCTATGTCAGCTAATGTTTTTTTAACCAGTGTCACTTTTCAACAGATCACTGTGCCAATCGTTGGCTGCAACCGACCCAAGCATAAACCACTTCATGAGTTAGTGAGTGAATACAATTCACAAGTGACACATCACACAAACTATTGCTGGTTTATACCACCTGCAGGTGAGACAAACAATCTGGCTGTGTTTGAGCCTTGTGTAGATGTTTACCTATAAGAATATGAAGATCTCTATATTAGCAATTAAAGGGAGAATTGATTGGAAGGTGCCTACGGCTCTATGAGCTGTATTTTATGACTGGGAAGGAACAACAATATTCCAAGATGCACTATCAATTTTTGATTTTTTCGTTCCTTTCTTTTCCTTTTTGTTCCCAGCTTTGGATACTGATGAACACATTGAAATTCCAGAAGACACAATCAGTTGGCTGGCTGGTATTGCCTGTAAGTATTTTTACTTTACTTAGTACGTTAATTTGTGACATTGATCCTTTACGCAGGTTTCCATTTTTTGTGGTAACTCTGTTTGACTCTGAGTGAGTAGGTCTTTTTAAACATTGCCTAATTTATGGGCAAAATCCCAGTCCTTGTTTCTTTTTCGGTGGAATTCTGTTGGTCTTGTTTTCATGCTTTTAAATTTGGGAGTAACTGCACAATACCCGGCCATTTTTAGCACTAGCTGTCCGTCTTAGAGAGATGTCCGTCTTATCGAAAGTCAAATAGAGAGAGCTAAGAAAGGCAGGGGCCAACTCTAGGTGTCCGTTTTACAGAGGTGTCTGTCTTATAGAGGTGTCCGTTAAGAGAGAGCTGACTAGCCCTAAAACAGTGGCTACGTGGCTACGCTGCTATGTGAGAGACTACATAGCCGCATAGCCACTGTTTTAGGGGTATACTAGCTGGGTATTCTTGCAGTTAAGCCTAAACTTGAAATTGAAATACAGGCCTTTGTCAACCTTGTTGCATTTTTTGTGACTTATTATTGATCCTCAAATGCAGTGCATATCACTTCCAGGCGAGTTACAACTCGATGCCAAAGTTAGTTTATGTATGACTCACGCTTGTAATATTTTTCTTAGGTAAATCCATGTTATACGTTAGTTATCACCCCGACCAACAGCATGAGGTCAAGCTTCTGAAGCAATTTCTGGACTTGGCCGGGTTTGACTGCCTTGGGGATTGGGCACTAGCTGGTAAAACAGGACCAGAACTGATTGAAACACGTCGCAAGCAAATCGCGGGCTCATCGCTGTTCCTTGCCTTTGTCACACCGCAGTAAGTAAACATTGAACTTAGTTATGATATTCAACCTACAGAATCAAGCCTGAGAATACAGTCGTCTCTCCTCGCTCCTAATACCGCAAAAATGAGTTGTTTGAAGGAAGATCAGTGCGGCAAATCCCAGCGTAGCTGTAAATAAACCATATGAGTTGTTTTGTTGACTTGGACTGGACTTGCGTTAATCACCTTCGGGCAGTTCGGTCCAGGCAGAACAGGGCGCGCATCTTCACTTGCAGGGATTGATATCTTCAGCAGGTTAACATAGATAGAGCCTCTTTTATTCAGACCCCAGTTGTTCAAAAGCTGGATAGTGCTATCCATCGGATAAATCTCTGTCCAGTGGATAAGTATTAGGGGAAACCAATTGCACTATCCACTGGATAGAGATTTATCCGGTGGATAGCGCTATCCACCTTTTGAAGAATTGGGCGTGACCTTCAACCCGTAAATTTGCAGGAACGATATTCGGAGGTGGTTTTCGAATTTTACTACAGATTCCAAAATACATCCAGTACTAGTATAAGATGCGTACATAAACACTGCTTCACTGATTTTTGTTGAACCCATATTTTCGTTGAATTGCTATTCCCTCTTGCAAATTGTGTTTGCCAACAACACTAAGTCTGGTGCGGGTAATGTGACACAGGGAGAAGTAGGAAAGGAAAGCTATCCCTTCGTAGGGGGGGGGGGGGAGAATAGGTTCTGCACAGTAAGCAGTGGTTGTTCCAGATGGCGACAGATGCCTGCTTTTGCTTCTGATTTGTTGTTTGGGCCATCAGTGCTGTGCTTTGATTGGTTGGATGTATGTAATGCACTTTGCTTCCTGGCTGTTGGTTTCAGATTGAATATTTTTCCTTGGTTGCCAGAAATGTTTTATGCGTGTTTCAAGATTTCGTCAAGTCCTTTTCCGGGGGCACGCAACGACTTTTTTCTTACTAGGAGAAGCAAATATTGGTTAGAAATTTCTAAAGCTCAAGAAAGGCTAAAAATGTCTGAACGATATCACTCTTCTAAGAGTACGCAGAGTTTGTATATGAAATTGACTGCAATTTTCAGAGGTTGGGTTTTTCACATTTTGTTACTACGAGATTGCGATAATTGAAAAAATTTTAGTAAGAAAAAAATTCCCCTAGAATCTTCTAATGAATGTTCAGCTACTCTATGTCCTGGAACTTTCGAACGGAACCATCAGGGTAATAGCCAACAGTTTCGAATGAGACGGCCAAACTCCCCCAAAAACTTCCGAACAGATAAATGAGTTTAAGGCCAGCTCCAAGTTAATTATCTTATCAGGCTTTTAAAAAGCATGCAGAAAACCATTTGAGAGACTTCTGACGTATTTGAAACATTCGGTCGTTTCCTTGGGTGCGTGCCCCTGTTTATAGTGACCCGCGCGTGAAAAGTATTCTCGCGCGGGCTCGTACCGAACCATCCAATCGCAAGCGAGAAAAAAAAAACTCAGGTGCTCAGGGTAGAATATTTCGCTGTGACATTTCTTCATGATATAATAAAAAAGGCGTCCTTTGCGTCCTGCAGGTGTACAAACAGACGGTATAAGGAAACAATTCTAGTTTGTTTTTCTTGCGTTATGCGGTAAAAAAGCTTAGAAATCTTTACGTGCCAGTTGTCATTAAAACCCTGCCATTTGCAAACATTTCTTTTGATGATACCTCTGTCCTTTTTAGTGGTCAAGATATCGATTTAAATGAAAGCTGCTGTCTGAGACGTATTTTCCACTGGTACTGTTGATTATGCTGTTCAAGGTGGTTCAAATTTTGAGTCTTAAGATGAAATCCTTAAGTGTCGTCGTTCATATGAAAGCTACTGAGCAGTACTTTAACTTGGGATTGCGCTTTTTTTTTTTCTTCAGTATTTTAAAAAATTAAAATTTAAGGTATTCTTGAATGTTTTTCTTTCCACTGTCTAAGAAATATGTGAAACCCAGGTAGACTACGTCGAAAACATGTCGACAGCATTAGAAAACAGTCGGCTTTACTTAAAGTTCTCATGATTACTAATGCAATCTCTGATGACTGCAAAAAAATGCTTTTTGGCGAAACGGAGTACTTTTACCAGCGCATTCCTAACATCTAAGGTCCATTTTTTAACTTAAAATATTTTCAGCTTTTAATCGACACATCTGAAAAATTATAGTGAGGGCGTATATTTTGTACGTGCTTTTATGGCTGTTGTTAGACCTTTAAAAGAGATAAGCATTGTCAAATTTGTCGTTTAAGTGATCTTCTTTGTTGGACGTAATAGCAGTTATTTTTATGCAAATAATTGTTTCTTGGCCAAAGTGTAAACACGTAAAAGTGCATTAAACCTCCTCTGACAAAACGTTTGTAGTCGTGACAACGGTGAACATTCGAACAACTTGCTTTTATAGAATAATACTTCATCAGGATCATAATTTGATAAAGGTACATTTATTCTTATTACTGTTCTTTTTAGCCTTTTTTTTACAGAAACACTCTGACGTCCGTTTTCTGACTGAAATCCGGCGTCGAACCAATTTTTCATCTATATATTGTTTGTTACTTAAATGGTTCTAAAAGTTTATATTTTGACCTTAAATTGTCCAATTGTTTCTTACCTCCGTTCAGACGAAACAAACTAAAAATGGTTCGCTAAAAAACTGGCCAAGATCGGAAAATCCATCGATGAATCAATGTCGAAGAGTAACGACTTTCTTAAACTGCACTTTTCGGAGTCAAAGGGATGTTTTAGTTGAATTTTTTCTTTCGCGTTGTTCTCCGACGCAGTCTTTTATTCGCCGCAAAGGTAAAATTTTACTGACTGACTGACGCAGTTAAAAGTGATGCAGTAACCGCTCGTGGACACGTATGAAGCGTGCCGCTTATCACCAGCTTTCACCAAGTTCAATATGTAAATTTTTAATTTCTCAAATGTTAATTTTTAAAAGGGCTAACAGGGTCTCGCTGTAACCGCTACAACATGCGCTGTATGAAAAACTTTTATTGTTCTAGGCAAGAATTTTCCGAGTTTCAAAGGTTGTGGCGTGAACTTTGGGTTTTCTAAAAAATAATGTTTCGACTGCAAGAAACGTTTGCTGTTAAAAAAGATTTGTATCGCGAGTTCTGGTCTTAAATTCCTTTTTATAAAATTTTATTTCTTCTTTGAACTCGATGAGAGACAGTTGATGTAGTAAAATAAAACAAAATTGTTGAAGATGATTGACACTATCCTCTTTGAATGAGATCGTTTATGTAAACGTAACTTGCACGTTGCTACGGCAACCGCGATTTAAAAAGTCTGTTTAGGCAGGTTGTCGCGGGCCAGCAGTAAATCCAGTGTCCTAGTGTAATACAAGCCGTAGGAATATCTATTTATTTGCTTTTCAAAAGCAAATATTCATCATTTGCAATTTTAGAAATTTTACAGTTGCTGACGGTTGGTAATACAATTCGTAGGCTTCCCATAGTTTGGTTTCCTGCCAATTTATTACTGCTTTTGTCACTGCTTTTGAAGTCAGGGCATGAAAACTTTGAAACGAACATGTCTTTCGATTCGCGCACGAGTATTAACTCTTTGCCAGTGTGTCACCAACTAAATGAATTTGTTGTTTTTATCGATTTTTGCCGTTGCTGAAAGACCTTTATAGATCCCGCTACATAATGGAGTTAGTTACCAAGCCGTATCTCCGTTAGTTTCGTCAGTGTTTCATCTATATTCTGAGTGATTTTCAGTCTAATTTTGAGACTAAATTTTCTGTAATTGCTTTATATGAAGCAACATTTTCGTTTATTTTGCTTTCGTTTTTTAGTGTTGCTGAAATTCGTATACCTGCTGATACAGCCGTTTTTTATGCATGTATTTTTTGCTTTGTCGTTTTTATTTTTTTACTGATTCAAAATTTACCGAAACAGATGCGATTATCAGCGGCATTGGACAACCCGTGAAATAACACAGTTGACACTCCAAGTGACGTCAAACGTTATGAATATCAGCTGCTCGTTCTTATATTTCTGGTTTTGAGCTGCCGTATCCACGGTAATAAACAAACTTGTCGCTACAAAATCCTTCGGTTGTCTTCGCCGTCCTTATTTGTGTCGCATCTATCACACTGCCTTGGTTTATTTGCGAGGAAGAGAAAGCTGTAAAGGTATAAACCTTTGAAGATACGAAACACAAAGCACTCGAGGTACACATCCTATTTTCTGATCATGCATGCAGTAAAATGTAATTTTAATGTGCATTGATTTGAATCGGTTGAGAAACCCTGTGTGAAATATTAGATTTTGAGCTGTTCTCTTTAATTCAAGCCATGGTGAAGTCCGTGAAATCTGTGATTTTCACGCCGTAACCACCTTATCTCGATTTTCTCTGATGTCGGGTTGAATACAATGGCTTTAGCGCTGTATTTCGTGTACGATGTCAGTTGAATTTCAACTGGTAAATTTTGTATTTTTGCCGAGTTTAAATATCCAATATTGGAACCTTCTTTCGTTGTTTATCTTGAATTGTCAATTGATAACACTAAGACTATCATTTCTGTGTGTGTGATGATGATGAGGCGTTCATTATTGTAGTAAGTCGATGTTGGATGCTGCATGCAATATTCAGAATATTGAAAATGGCGACCCATTTGAATGTAATATCAATCTTTTATTGCCTTTCTGTTGACAGTTTTGTTTAATTTTACCAGAAGATTAACGCGATCAATTATGTTCGTTATTTTCTGAGAAATGAGATGTTTTGCGAGCAAAACCTTTTGCTATTTAAACGAGCATCATACAGCAGACAATATCATTTAATATTTCCATGTACTGTCTTCACGATCAAGCTGCTACGAGACCTTCGAGTTTTTCACAAAGAAAAAATGTAAAAAATTAACCTTTATTCAGTGGTTTTGAGTGAAGCCAATTCAAAGTAACAGCGTTTTTAACTGTTTCGACTGTTTGCCATCGTGACCTCGTTAAATGATAAAGAAACAGTGAACTAAACTTTAAAACTTAGTTCGCCATTTTAAACTGATATGTTTTAAACGAGAGACTAATTAAATTAAACGCTGTGGATTTTGTTTTGATTCAAGTAACCGTAGTGACAGCGATTTTATTCATTCATTTGTCCTATTTTGAAGAAACTCTGAACCGGGAATAATATTGGCGTTGGTCATAAAAGTAGTTTAGGTCAGGAGTCGGCTCCTGTTTAGGTACTTGGTGTGGCATCAAAATAAGATATAGTGTTACTACTCGTGATCTCCTATTCATAGTTTGTTGAGTTGGGTTGATCTTAAAGAAATAATGTCTGTCGTAAAGTTATTTCTTCAGAGAGACTGCAGATCTAAACAAGAATTGTTTAAAAATGTTAGTGACAAAATATTGTCTACCAGCATCTCACTTCTCAACAACTTCCTTCTTGATTATTTCTTTGTCTAGGTATAAAAATTTTATTTGTAAAATATTAGATCCAGCTGTGTCGGAAGCATTTGTAACTGAGTAGGAAAAACTTCCGAAAATTTCATGGCCAATAATGCATGAATTATAAACTGAATATTGCTTTCTTGACGTTTGTTTAAAGATTTTCTCATTTCTCGGGAAATTGTTTTCATGTATTTCGTGAACACCGCAGTCGTGATTACATAAAAGATTGTATGTGCATCCGGAATTCACACATGAAAAAAAAAAAACAATTGCCGTATTTAGTGTGTGACTGAACTGACATGGGTTAATTTTGAAGGTATTGCCCAGTCTTTCCTTTGATTTCACGCCACTCAGAATTTATTTCCTCTCGTCAATTGACTAGAAAATTGTATACTCTTAGCTGATTTTTAATGTTACTTTATTTTAGCGGTCAAATTTGATCGTGTAAATCATCCGTGTGATATCTGTTGGATTAGCCGGGTCAAAACCTGGTGAAGAGGACTTTGTCTCCTCAACTTGCAAAATAAAATTCCTTCACGCGTACAGGTATTCCATGTAGTGCATATGCTCAGCTTCGTTTTCCCCTAGCGGCTAATTGCGGCGTGTAATTTACAACCTTGGGTAACAAAGAAAGGTCCAGAGAGCGAATGTGAAGGCGGTGCTGCGAGCGAAGAGTCATCGTTCATACAAAATGCGGTAATATTCAGGTTGACACGCGCAATGGGTGCAATGGCATGCATGGGAAGCGATCTCCGTCAGCTAACAACTTGAAAATGTACCCCGGATAAGCGTGCAGTCATTTCCAGTGTGCTTGTTAACACTGTGCTTGCAGTATGTTTCCACGCTTTTTTCTTTTCCTTCTTGTATTTACATACTAAGAATCTCCTGATATACCGTAATATCAGCAGAACCACTTTGCACATAGTAACAAAAAGCAGATTATACCTGGAATAGCCTGCGAGCAAGCTCTCCCGGGGGTCCCGGGGAGTACGGCGGTGGGAAAGGGCGCTCTGGCCCCGCCGCCAGAGTGCCCCGGGAGAGCTTGCTCGCAGGCTATACCTGGAAGCTTTCATTTGAACTTCACCCTAAATGCTGATTGAGAAACCCAAGATATCGGCAACTAATCTTTGGTTATTTGGTAACTTTAAGGTACCTGGACTGGACTCGGGCCACTCAGGATGTAAACACTGCTCTCTCACACAACAAACCCCTCGTTTCAGTTCTGTTTGATAAATCTACCTGGGAACAGGAGGGACATGAATTGGGGTCCTTGTTAAAGGATCACGGAGTGTGTCTGGATTTGAGTGCTGGTTCAGGGAGTGCCCTCTCTCACCAGTACGATCAGGGACAAGTGAGTCGGCTAATCACTTACTGTAACGGGACTCTGTACGGCACCGGAGATATACACCCACCGGAACCTCCCCGCACTCCGGAACACGAGGCACAGGTAAGACTGCATCGTTAATTTACCTCCAAGTTTAAACCCAAGTTTCAAGATACAAGGTGGATTTTTTTAACAGCTAAAGTTAAGACGGTGATGACGTGGATACTGGCGCTTCCGTTGTAAAGAATCTTAAAGTGGCTATGTCCCACTATTTGTTATCTTTTTAGAACGCTAAAACCTGTCTTTGCATCAATTGAATTTCCAAAAGTAATGGTGCAGTTTTGTTATTTACGACTGTATGTAAGCATTGAAACTGTTTTCAAATTTTAATGCTACGCCTGCAAATAAAGACCCAAAAAGTTACTATGGTTACTGCTGCCCGATAAAATTTGTTTGAGATGTTCTTCACCACTCTACCACTCCCCGCCGGGTGCATCTTGTGTTTAAGTAAAGGTAGTAAGTAATGATTGCAGCACACAATTTATCTAAGTTATAGCCGGGCCCTCTAGGCCCCATGCTCTCATGCCCCAGGCCCTTCTTTATTTCCAAAACTTTTCCAAAACCCTTGATGCAAAGTGTATTTCTGTTTGTTTATACGCGCCAAGTTTCTAAAGCATTTTTGGTGATTTAGGTAAACAACGCGAACCTGGACTCCTCCTGTTCTCTGGAGGTGGAAACAGACCCTGTCCCCAGTAAACCGAAAACAAGCGTGGAAGTGGATCGTAAGCCTTCAAAAACGGCATCCGATAAAATAACCGAGGACGAAAAAGTCGCCGAGCAAATCAGGCGCATGGCCGCGAGTGCGGTAGCGGCAGCTGTCGCGGGCGCAACAGCCCAGCAGATTTCCAAATCAAAGCATTCTACTCCCGCCATAAAAGCAGCCGCTGCTGCTGCAGACGTTGCGCAGGCGGTTGCTAATGGCAACAGTGACGGTGCCGCGCAGGCGGTCTCAAAAGTGGCAAAAATTGTAGAGGACGAACGTCTTAGATTGAACTCTATTGCGTCACACAACGGCTCAGCTACCAGGCCTCCTCCCAAGAGTGCTACCTGTATATTACTTTAGTCTCCAGTCACCTGTTTTACATTTACTGTGCCCATCACCAAAGTCAAGTACTTTTGGGCGCATTTCTCCTACGATGTTAGGCAGCAAGTTCAATTTGTAAATAAGTAACCACTGTTTGAGATACGTTGTCCATGTAGCAAACTACTGGAGGCGAAATTTCTCATTTTATCATTGGTTTCTGAAAACTTCCTGCGGAAAATATCGCGAGATGTTCGTGAAACTTGGAAGGAAAAAGTAATATGGCCAGAACACAAATTAATGGTTAAGGTGAACACGCGGCTTATGAAGCTTTCTAGCAACCTAGGCGTATCGTCTTTTGATTTTATAGTATATTAAGGAATGTGGTTCAGTGTTTCATCAACACGAAAGAGGTCAGGCCTTAATGTTTGGTACAGTGCAGCTTTAGATGAGGCAAGATAAGTAATTTCAACGTGGGTTCCTGACCGAGTCATCCTCGGAGACCCAGGGGCAGATAGTGGGGACGAGGGAAAGTCTAAACGGGCGGAAAAATGTGGCACGAAGAAAAGTAAAGAACGGCGAGAAGAGCCCCTGGGGACAATGTCTTACCAGACCAGTTCCAAACGGTTGGCGCCGTTCTGGCTTCAGAACGGTGGTGACCGTTTGAACTTTCTGGCAAGACATCAGTCCCCAGGGCTCTTTCTCGCCGTTCTTTACTTTTCTTCGTTCCATATATATTTTCCCGCCCGTTTAGACTTTCCCTCGCCCCAACTATCTGCCCCTGGGTTTCCGAGGATGTGACCGAGTGAAAATTAGGTTGTTGAGGACAAGGATTTGCCAAGTTCATTACTGCGCTTTTCACAAACATGCGAATTCTGAAGTTCAAAAGCCAACTGACGATTGCGTTTTTGGCTGCCGTCAATCATCTTAACGGACTTTAATTTAACAGGTTCAAAAGGTCAAGATTTGTGATTTGTGATTGGTGGATTTCGATCCGTTTTGTGTGTTTCTGTGTTTCAAGGTTCGTTGCTTGTGATCGTAATTATGATTGACGGCAGCGAAAAACGCAATTGTGAAGGCGGCTTTTGAACTTTAGAGTTCGCATGTTTGTGAAAACGCAGTAAGTACAGCTGTAGGTCATCAGACTTTCACCAAAGTATAGTGAGATTTTAAAGGATACACCTGAAACCGCTGGACGAAAATTTTAATCGTTTGGAGTTAAGACACATTATGAGAAAAGAGCTAGATTGTTTTCTCATTGCCGATATACTTGTAACTTCAAATAGTTTGAACGTTTATTAACGGCATCGTTAGTAACGAGGAAAGCAAGTGATTCTAAAATGCAATGAATTATTGAATTTTGGTCAGAGAAAAAAACTCAGCGATTGTCAAGTTCACATGGGGTGTCACGTCAGGCCTTGACGTATTTTCTATCATTGTCTTTTCAGTGTTAGGTAACGTGTGTTAGTTAAGGTAGTCGTTCCATTATTGGGCTATTCAACGCCTGGTTTACTCATATAACGCAAAGAAAAGCACAAGCATCACATGAAGACATGACTGTGAATGAACCCAACGAAAGGTAGATCATTGCGCCTGCGTGTGTTGCACGTCCTTTTACTTGCGTCGTAGGAGCTATTGGGTATTACTCGTTCTTTTTTCACGGGCGTTTACACCTGCTTATCAAGTGTTCACTTAGTATCAGTTGCAGGTTTCTTTTTCAGTGCGATTGGCTGATAAATCTGCAATCAGTATCCTGTTACCCTGTTACGTTAACTTCACCTAACGACAGTTGTAAGAAAAACTTCCTTTCAAACCAAACTCGAAGTTTTAAGTTCACAGCCAATCAGGATTCCTTAGTTTATACGTAAATTTGAATTGATAGTGGGGTTTGTATTATTTGTCGAAATAGAATTCTACGTGCACAAAACGTGTTTGTAGCGTATTTGTCGTGGTTTAATTTTATCTTTGGTTCATTTTTTGTTAACCTTTGTTTCAAACTCATTGATACATTTACCATACCCAAAAACAAAAAAAAGGTCGAATTTCAACCAAGGATTAAATTAAACCACAACATATTAAATAATTGTAAATATCAAATTTTTGGCGAACAAAGTTCTACAATATTATCCAGAGAGAGAGAAAAAAACTTAATATATTGACCTTGAAGATAAATTAATATTAATTTATTTTCTTTCATATTTGTATTTGATTCATTTTTTTATCATTTTAAATTGAGCACTTCCACCCAAGTGATTACATTTCTACTGGCGTAAAGCTAAAAAATCCAGTCGCAAAGTTCTAGAAAATCAGTTTAATTTCTGTACTCTTAGTTCTGGTGCCTTTTGTGGTTTGTTTTGTTTGTCAAAGCGATGTGAGTGCGTTTTGTACATCTTCTCTGTACCAGAATTCTAGTTAATAAATCATACTATGTTTAAGCGTTACGTTCAGTTGAACTAAATATGCCAAGTATAATAAAAAATCCAGCTCCCATCTCGTGGACTTTTTTGGTTAGGGGGACACTGGTCCCGAAAGTATATTCATTTTCGTTAGTTTAACTAAATTTGCGAGAATATGTTCGTTAGGGGCTTTAGGAGGACTTATAAGCGGAGTGGCTTACACTAAAAAGCGCTTCCAAGCAAACTATAGCTGCAGTGCTGATCAAAATACGTTTGCAAAAAAATACATCCGATTATAAACCCCCCCCCCCCCCCACCGCCCCGTAGCTTTTATTGAAATGAATTCGATTTATTACCAGCAAGTGCAAAAGAAAAAAGACTTTAGTACTACGTGTAAGCTAGGCTTTTGACACATTGATGAAGTTTTTTTGGCACTTAATGAGAGACTCAGATTTGCTTAGTCCAAGTTTAGAATACTCCATACACTGCACAATCTATGCGATAAGAGAGAAACGAAGAAAAACCTCTGTTGTTCAAGATGACTCAAAGGTCACGTTGTACACTATCAGGAGCTTATTCTCTCTTGACACAAGTTATGAATCGTGTTTGGCCTGTCAATGCTTAGTTTTAAATCGGACTAATCACAAATTGCATATGAAACTTATCAACCAAAAACGCTGACATATGTCCTTGCGACTCTGCGGAATTCGAACACGATATTGTGCATTAATTCGCAGACGCTCTATACAGAGTGTCTGCTACGCAGGCTAGTGTATAGCCGCCCCCTCCAAAAATATTGGACGAGGGGCGATATTTTTGTGAGAGGAAGGGGCGGCTGTACACTAGCCTGGCAGCCCAGTTAAAGTCGCCTTTCGGCGAGGGACTTTTATATGAGCAGGTTTCTCCATTTGTACAACCTCATCGATTGTGCCACCAAAGGAACTCATACTACGTCACATCCACCAGATTGGTGTGCCAAAACAATTCTGTGGGTGTTGAACAGTTTTCTTATGTAACTGGTAATATTCATCTTGCATCAACCCTCGCGAAACTCTTTTTTTTTTTTGTAGCGCAATTCAAGTTAAGCCGTGTCGGTTGGGTTAAGAAGTGGATGGGTAACCCGCCTCGAGTATCCTGCTGTGAAGGTTCCTTATCTATTATTTCTTTTCTTCTTCTTCTTCTTCTTTTAGCAGTATTGCCCTTTTATATTTTTAAATGTGTATTGAAAAGCATACATGTATTTAGCATTATTTCGGCCGCCGGATTTTTAAAAGAAACAAGAAGACGCCTGAAGGCGTTTACGCGGGTTGTGTTGGTGTAAGTAAGAATTATGGCGAATGGCATTGAAATGTTGAGCAAAGTATCAACAACAAATGTGTGCAGGAGAGTCGGAGATGTTCTGTTAAATACACTAGAAGATGAGTTACACACAAAGGTTCCTTTGCTCCTCAAAACAAAACTTACATCAATATTACCACCATATATGTTAAGAGTATGGGGTAGTTCACTAAAATTTGCATTCCGGCTTTACTGATATCCTCAATAAATGCACTTCCACATTCAACAAAAGCTGCCTCGTACCCAGACGTCTGCTGTCGATGAAAATGTGCGTGTATCAGACTTCCAATAACTATAGGGAGCAGGGCTGTGCTCTAACGAAAATTTTCAGGTTTTAGCTGGGGTGCCTAGGCCTAAAAGATGGTCGCCCAAATAACATTTTCGGGGAGATCTTAGCTGGGGTACCCAGGCATTCAAGTTGGTCGCCCAAATTAATAAATCAGTGAGTTGTTAGTTGATTATGAAAAATTAAACAAACTATTTTCGAAACTTAATGTTTTGATTTTTTATTTTCATGAAAAATCACATCCTTTGACCAGACCGGATTATCCCGATATATTAGGACATTCGTGACGGCCGAACCTATTGTTCGCTAAGAAAATGGTGGGCCTCTTTTGAAATTTCTGATGCGCTTGCGAAATCGCATTGTTTCTAGTGTTGTTTTTGTCACATATGATCCGGACTTTAAGCGGGCCAACGGTGACAGGAAACATCGGAAGCCCTCCAGATTTGTAATGCAGCTTCTCATCTTCGAGTAGGCGAGTGGCAAAGCGACGAAGTAGATGAATTTTATGGTCCGATGCTAAAGTAAGTAAACATAAATCGGTTTTGTCTAGCACTCACATATTTTTCCTCTAGCTTGTTATGTTTTACTGGTTCTAGTGTTATTATAGTTTCATCACTCCAAATTCCTCGATCTTAAACAACCTCGAAATCTTGTAAACTCTTTTTGAATCTCATGCTTTACTACTGCACTTTCTTTCCTGTGTGTTACCGACAATTATGTTGTTGTTTTATCTATCCAAAGTCATAAAAAAGCATATCCAACTCCTCGAGGTGCTTTGCCGACTATGTGGGGGAAAGATAAGAGGAAAGGACAACAGAGAAGACTTTGCCAAGGACAAAAATTCAAAATCTAACCTAAAACTTTAGTGAAGAACAAGGGGATTGGAAGGCACGTACGACTCTTTATCTTATGCTGAAATGTTGCTTGTTCCAATCATTTTCTCCGGCGGGTAGAATATGCTCTGGGAGGTTCATAATTTTGACTGAGCAAACTTTATTTTTGCCGCATGACTTTATACATTAAGAAGTCATAAAGTTGATCTGTTTCATGCATACATTTTTAATGGTTTTTGTGGGTTTTGTTCCTGGCCAACAGGATTTGACCTCTGATGCGATTGAGCCTTTAATAAAGGTTTAAGGTTCCTCATTGTTCACCAAAATGGGTATGCATGGGTAAGATTTTCTTTCCGTGAATTTGATGATTCCTGTACTATTTTGTCACGTTGGGCTCATTTGCAGGATGTTAAAATTCTCGCGGATAGTGAGTTAGAGGTGTAAGTTTAGAAGAATGAATTGCAGCTTTTCTGAAGCTACAACAGAAAATTTCACTGTTGACTCAGGCAAGATTGTTCTTTAAACAGAGATTATCTCCAGTTTGTTTCTGCACAGGCGTCTCAAGCTCACGTTACGAGCGTGTTATTTAATTAACTTTTCCACAAGAGAGTCAGTGTCGCGTTACAAGCAACCATTAAAACTTTGTATGAGAAATAAAATTCTGCGGTCTGCAAACTATAAATATAAAAATTTTTATTTTTTTCTATAACATAAATAAAGGAGACCAGGGACAAAAGGAACACAGGGGGAGACAGGGGATGCAGCGGAACACAGAGGGAAACAGGGGATACAAGAGGACAAAAGGGGACACGGGGACACAGGGAACAAAAGGACCACAGGGGGACAGAGGACAAAGGTAACATAGGGGACACAGGAGACACAAGGGACATTCGGGATACACGGGACACAAGGGGAAACGAGGGACACACAATGACACAGGGGACACCAGCGACACAATAGAATACATGAGGACACAAGGGACAAAGGAAACACAGGGGCACAAAGGGACACAGGTTGCCTCAGGGTAATACAGGTTAACAAAGGGTAACACAGGTCAACAAAGGGTAACACAGGTTAACCAAGGGTAACACAGGGTAAAAGGAAAACACAGGGTAACAAAGGGTAACTAACAGCAAAGGGTAAGACAGGGTCACAAAGAGTAACACAGGGTAACACACGGTAACAAATGGTAACAAAGGGTAACACAGGGTAACACGGGGTAACAAAGGGTAACAAAGGGTAACACAGGCTAACACAGGGTAACATAAAGTAACACAAGGTAACAAAGGGTAACACAGGGTAAAAAGGGTAACACAGAGTAACAAAGGGTAACAAAGGAAAACACTGGGTAACACAGGGTAACAAAGTGAGTAAAACAGTGAGTAAAACTCATCTAGCTGACAGATCTTTTCCTTCATAGGGTTCTTTTAACTGTCTTCCTCTATTCCCCTTTCAAGCTGAAATTGATGGCCTCAGTTTCTAATTCTAACGATTAATTCAGCACAGAAATCTCATTACGCTGAGATTCCCGATTCTCGCTCTCATTTTGAAGCTACTAATCCGACTTGCTTCATAGTTCTCTACTTCGGAAGTCAGAATCTCTTGCCAGAACCATAGCGGCCGCGAAAACAGTTAAAACAACAGACCAAGTTTGTCGCTTTGATGACATCATTGCGCTGTGCGATCCACGCACGATGCGAATTTCGACAAAATTATAAACCCTCGCTACGCCACAGCCTTAGGCCCCTCGCTTAGGGAGGAAAAACTGTATTTTGTTCCAATAACTTTGCATACCTGCTAGTCACGTGAATGGAAACGCTCTATTAGTTAAGACGTCCCTTTTTCAGAGATGAACAATTCACTAGTTAAATAAGAGATGATGTCTCATGGCCTTGAATTGTGGTTGCTCATCTTTTGAATGACTGAACTCGTTTCCCTCATTTACAAAATTGGATTTGGTAGGATGGCAACTTTACAATAATTTACCAGAAATATATACAGGCTCAATTTTTAAATCACTACGTAAACAGGTAAATATCTTTTCACACAGATATGAACGCATGAATTTTCAAAAAACAGAAGCAAGATGAAAAACCGACCAACCCAGTTCAGTTTGTTAATAATCTTTTATTCGAATATTGACATTGGATAGAAAATATTTACGCATTTTCAGCAGGAGTCATTTTTTATCTAAAATTCTGACATTTTATTTAAAAGGTTTCCTTATTGTTAAAGTACCAGTCATATGCGGTAACAAAAATTGCGTTTTTCATTTTAAAAATACAAACCAAAACAAACAAAGTTAGAATGTGAAAGTTTCACTGAAGTGGCTTTATTCTATGTGGTCATACCATAGGATTTTCCCTTCATACAAGTTAGAACTACTATGTTTGTAAATCAACTTAAGTGCACTTTTTCACAATAAAAATGAAGTTGGGTCTTCACTGATGGAGATCCCTCTCGTTCCTCTTTCATACATATAATAAGATTATACAGACAACCTACTTGAGTGAATTTTCTGGGAAGAAACGTCTTTCAGGCATAATTTCACTAACAAAAAAAAAAAAAAGAGTGAATAACATCCAGAGAAACCTTGAGCTCAGAGAGAAGACCGAGAACAATTTTTAAAGGTCTGGCTCACACGGATGCATTTTCGCAGCTTATATTTTCAAAATAATGACTTTTGGGAATAGAGTGTCAAAGTACGAACATTTGATAAGAATTTGAGCAAACCTAAGAAAACGGCGAATAATGCCATTTGCAGTCACTGAAAAATGGATAAAGGTACCTTTACAAGGTATAATGGCTGCATGAGAAAGAAAAGTGAAGAGAATTTTCTACCGGTTCCCAATTCGTGCGTATAGGTGTTCCCTTAATAACCGAGCGAAAGTTTAGACGTCTAGCCATTCAAAGTTCCGTGAATAACGGTTCCGTGTGAAGGAAGTGTCCGGTCGAAATTTTTCACCGGTCGAAAATTCGTTTGTTGCAGCCGTGTGAACGTAGATTAAGGGTTCAATTTAACGTATTTACCTTATAACTATAAACATACAGCTAACTAAAAGATAATTTTCACCTAACTATTTACAATATTTACCAGCTTTACCTATTATGATAAACAATATTAAAATACACAGACACAGCTTATTTCACAGAGTGAATAAATTTTCTGGTCCAAACCTTAACAATTTTAAGAAAATATAACTAGATTTGATATCTTCACGTCTTTAAAAATATTATATACCTTTGGATTGTGAAAAGTTGTAACATTCCTTACTTGTGTAAACTTTATTTTCTTCAATATTAAGACATGGTGCTAATTCAGTAAATTCTCTTTCTACTTATAGTGACTTTTAGCATCGTGCCTTCCCTTTAGGTTTGCAGTTTTAGCATAAACTTCTTCTTCTTGCAGAAAGTGATTTACGGAAGCGTTTAAGCGCTAAAAAGTCGGTTAGAAATGAACTTTTTTTTGTTATGGACTGTTTCTTAATGTGCTAACTCTTTGATTAATTCGGTTTCCACGTGAAGTTTAACATATTCTGAGAAACCAGGCTTGGTTGAATGCAAACCTGTTTTGTGAAAAAAAAAAAGAAAAAGAAAAAAACGAAGGGCGCTGTCCACGTGTATTTCTAAACTGCAGCAGCTATATGTTAACGTCTGACTATAAACGGTGGTTGTTTGCGGTGTCGTCACAAAACGCGAAGCGAAATGTCACCGTAAACCTCACATATTAAGAAGCTAATAAGATGAATGAATTTTTATGCTGAGATTAAATCCTAATAAGTACAATTTTGTTCTTCTCCAAAACATTATCTCTTGTTTGATGATCATGTAAAATCTCACCATCCTCCAGTTCTGCAATGCGTCGATACCGAAAGGAGAAACTACAGATTGACAAATTTAGACACCATGGAATATTCACGTGCAGTGCTTTCAGTTAAAATCCTTGCTTGTTACCTAAAGAATATGACTGGGAAAAAGCAAACAAAACAAAACAAAAACATTGAAAACATGTCGAGCGAGGTGGATACCAAATAAATTTATGAGGAGGGATGCGTCATTAAAATGGAATACGTTACGCAAAAGAAGTAACACAATTTGGGTTGTAATGCGACGCCATCACTTGTTTCACGTGTTTAACGTATTCACCGCAATCTGAGTGTAACGAGAGAAAATTGCGAGGTCATCATCATCGTCATCCGCAAAGCAGACAATCAAAAAACGTTTCCATGGTATGCACTATTGGATTGCAACGTAACGTAATCACCAGTGCGCGTTACGTCATGATCCACGGCAAGCATTTGGGGAGTATAATGTAACGGGTGGGCTATTAAGTAACGCAACGGGTATGATGTAACGTAATATACATCACCCTGACTCACAAAACAACCTTGGCTATTAGGAGTATAAACAAAATGAGTGGAGTGTACCTTGGCTGTGCCTGATGTGACGTCCGCAAAACACTTATCACATACTCGCACTGGTTTCTTGCTTGAAGTAAGAGGCGCACTTTTTGCAGTACAGTCGGAACAGTAAATCAAACTACAAAGGACGAGACAAGCATCAGTAAAACACTCTTGATGACATTATCTCTTCTCCTCACCTGCCAAATTGATAATGAATTAACATTGTATGGAGAAATGAGAGGTTGACCACTTAAATCAGGTGTAATATCCAGCCATATTGCCTAGCTGTTGACTAACTTCATTCACATTGCCCTTCTGCCTGATTAAAAAATAATCAACAAAGTAAGGAGAAATAAGATTCCTCCTTCGGTTTTATGACTTTCTGTTCTCAAACTTCCTAACTAACAATGTTCGTTATCAAAAAAGAAATGTACCATGGTAGTTTTGGGAATGAACGCAAACATTAAATCACAGAGGAAACGTGAAAGTGTTTATATGCTTACCCGCAATTCCGACAATGATGCTGAAAACGAAGGAAAAAATATTAGCAAGAAACAAAAGAACATTGCAAACAGTATAGATGATGTGATAGAGGTTTGATCTTCCTTTAGAGCCCTGAAACAAACCTTTCTTATGGTCATGGAGAACTGCCTCTCGCATCCATTGCAAGTTGTAACGTCGTCATCGTTTTCCCATCTCCGAGCATTCTTTTGATTGTTTAAAATCTGAAAAGAAGACGGATGCGGTCTCAACTGAAGTTGTCTTACATGGCAGAGCTGGGAACTTCGATATAAAAAACAACCCGGTCGGATAATGAGGTGTATATAACGTACCACATCACCGTATTAACCAAAACATTTTCCAGTGTCCTGGCATTTCGTTATACTGGGGTTCCAATCTATTACCGAACCTAGGCTCCATTGCGTTCGTATTACTCGCCTAGGCCACTCTACTCACATTATTTAATTGGTACGCAAATTAATCAGGGTACATTGTGGATACATTGTCTTGTTATTCTCTTATCATCATCATCATCATAATCCTTCGGCTGCGGAGCAGTCGACCACAAGTTTCCTCCATTGATGGCGGTCTTGAGCCATCTCCAACAGCTGATTGTCATTTAGCAGATTATAGCTTCTTAGTTTGTTCACACTTAGTCCACCTTGTTTTCACATTGCTTACACACTAATGTCGTTGCTATCACTCACATCACCTACTTTAGTCTCACTGCGCTCTGTTCTGTATAACGCTCTTACATACTTACATATCAAAACAATTACTAATTACTGGAAAGCCTACTAAGCCTATTTTATTTATCACAACAGTGTTGGCCCTGACGTGACTTGATTAGGAACTTAAGGTGGTGCTGAGACTTACCTGTAGTGATTGGTTTTCCTGTGTAAGTTCCATCATAGCGGCCTGTGCATTCTCTACTTTTTTTTTTAGTTCAACGTTTTCTTTTTTCTGTTTCTCCAAGGCCTCGTCTCCCGCTACACATCTGCAATTAACAGTAATATTCTATTTCACTCTGAACTAACAAGTGGTATGTTTGAAAATCAGTTTTTTCTTAAAAATGAACGTAGACTGTCACAAACCTTTCAAGAAGTTTTCTCCTTTCGTCTAAATTATTTTGAACAGTTGCTTCCAAAACTATAATGAAATACAAGTTTAAAATTAGGAAAACCAGCTGTCCAACCGATCAGTACAGAGACGGACACCACAGTACAGAGCCCCTGTTAGTGAATCATGTCTCCTGATGTAAAAAATATAGAGAAAATGGACCAAGTTTTATGTCCCCTACTGAGCAGGGATTTCATAATACTTTTCGTCGCTTTAACAACAAAGTCGAATGATAGCAACACTGAGATCGCACTGTTGAAAAAGTTAATTTTCCAAAAGGATTTCTGAGTTTGCGGTGTATGACTGTTTGATTGATACATACACCATACCGAGGCTCACTAGTCACCAGTCCGCACTCACCAGCAGTTTCTCCTTTCAAATCATCATTTCGCTTCTCTGCTTGTTCAAGATTCTCCTGAGTCTCTTTCGTTTCTTGTTGATATTTCTGCGCCTCAGCCCTTGCCGCAGCAAGGTTTTCATTTATTGAAGAAATCTGAATATTTAACCTGGCTTCAGTTTGTTCCTTGTCCTTCTTTAGCTCTTCTAGTTCTTGGGTTTCGTTCGCCTAAAAATGCAGAGTTATTTAAATAAGAATTCCTTGTACAGGAAGTCGTAAATTAAGGCACTTGTTCCAAGAAAGGGTGATGATGACACTAGTGATACCTCCATAATACAGCGCAATTTACAAGCTTATCTTTGAGTGAGACAACATCTTCTGCCTTTTTTTGTATAGATAAACGGCGCGGCCCCAGAATTTGGGTGCTTGCAAGGAGGGTTTGGATTTCACAAAACTACTTTCCTACCAGTTTGGTTTGAACAGCTGCTGTTTCCTCTTTAAGCAACAGCTGAACTCGCTTAGAAACCTCTTTTGTTTCCTCGTGCTCTTCTATGGCCTACATTGAAGGAAACCCAGAAAGTAGGATTTAGTATTGACAACTTGCTCCTCTTCTGCGCTCAGTTTAGTTTAAAATATATATATATATAATTTCAAATTCAGCTAGGATCATTTTATGTTAAAGTTGTCTTTTACGTCATTAGGATAGCTGAAAGAGAGCTGTCTTGTCATCTTATAAGTCAGGAAGACCGCTCAGGAGAAGTTTACATCATTATCTAACGTTAATAGTCTTCGCGAGGGGAAGGTCAGGCCAGCTTCATTAAAAACCGTGTTTTATCATTTTAACACTGCTCCATCACTAACCTTTTTCAAATCTTTTTCAGTGTTTTGTAGCTTGTTTTCTATTTCCAGCTTTTGCTTGATTAGAAGCTGCTGTTTCTCCTGAGCTTCCTGTTGAACCTGTAACAAACAACAGTGTTGCGGCAGTTCAACGCTGCACAATTTCTGTTGCTTGCTGAATCTCTGTTATTTAAGCGGTCCCACTAGTGCAATAATAAAGTTACTTACCTTTTCTTTGCTTTCTTGTTCAGTGGCAAGATTTTTCTCTAATTCTTCTATCCTTGTTTGCAGAGAGATCCTAAAAACAGACGATAATGTTTCAGGGGACTCATTGATATCAGCATTTTATGCTGAAGAGATAACCCTGGCTATAACATTTATTATTTATTATTTATTATTATTATAACTGCACCAGCACCAAAGAAAGGCATCCCTCCCATTTTAAACTATTACACTCTTTATTTACACCGGAACCAAACTTCATTGACGCTTGCTAGCTTACCTTAAACCATTAAAAGCTTCTCTCTGATTTTCTACCTCTTGTTCGACTGAATTCTGAACAGAGAAGTAAAAAACGTCAAAACAGGAACACGACTTTGATTTCTAGTAATCTAAATGATGCACTGAGGATAGTGGGAGAGTGGAGGTAAGTGAAGAAATACTGAAGAAAAGAGCATGCGCGAAACGTAGGAGCAGAAATAAAGGGACAGGGGAGGGAGCATTAAAGTACCTTTTCTCCTCGTACTTTCTCTGTTTGTTCCCTAGCAGTTTTTAAATCACTATTTAGATTCAACATTTGCGTCTCCAGTGAATTCTTTGCCTGAGAGGGACAAAAAAATTGTTAAAAATAGTGAAACAAAATGCAAAACTATATTTAATGAGTGTTGTTTTTTTCTTCCTCTCCCTTCTTTCCCGACAACAATAGACACGACTGAGATGTTTCTGTGACGTTAGTGACTTAGCCTCGATTAGTCTACCAGAACAAAAGGCAAATGACAATTCACTTAACAGTCATCAATGGTGACATAGAATTGAACAAAACAAAACAAAGCCTCACTTCAATGATTTGCTCAACAGTTTGCCTCAAATTGCCTTCAGTTTCTTCTGCCTGTCTTTTTACTTGCCCCAGTTCCTCCTCTCCCGCCGCTACCTGGCCCTGAAGGTCCTGGGAACAGTCAACATTCACAATGAGGGAAAAGCAATGAAAAGTAGAGTATAGCCAACTCTCTGATCAGTCAACCCTCTGTTAACAGACAATTCTGTAATACAAACACCCTCCCTCCGCCCCGCCAACCTAAAGTTGGGTTCCTGTCATTCTTAAGTCTTCTTTATGTGTTTGTTATAAGGCAGACAGATCTCTTAAACAGAAAAGTTGAGACCTTCTTAATACACTGCTGTAATGTAAGTCTTGGAGAGTTGACTGATTTCAAGCCCCTCAAGAACAAAGTTTAAGTCTGGGGAAGTGATATATGTCACTCATGAACCAAAGCTAACACAGAGCAGTTTACTTTTTGTCTGGAGTATCGCTGCTGCCCTGAGAATGGAAAGTAAGTGGTGATCTTCAGCTCCATTCTTACTACTGTTAAAATCTTTTTCTTCGCTTACTGGTATGTTATTTCCCTTCTAGGCCTGTATAGCTTGTGAACAAGCTCTGTTTTGGGGATTAAGTAAATAGAAGTGAAAAAGCGCAGTGTAATGAGGAGACAAAAAGAGTTGTGCTCTTTCCCCCCTAATCAGAAGGCTCGTTCACAGTATGGCATTTGTGGTGTAAACCGAACAGTACGTGCTTCTCTAGTCACTTACCATAAATCATAAAAATTAAATCTCACATTTTACATTTTCAAACGTAGACCGTAAATAAAGCGAGTAAACACCACTCACAGATAGAAGCTTTTCAAAAAGTACTTTGGGTGAAGGCGATGTGGACAGCTTTTACCTTAATATCACTTCTAGCATCTTCTAGTTCTTTCTCAAGTTTACTTCTCCTTTCTTGCTCCTCCTTAGAAGAGAAGAAAGAAAAATGAAAATAATGAACAGTTGCATGCATGTGGCTGCAGTGAAACAGGGCTTAAGAAAGATTACCTTGGATGCTACTTGCATCTTACAAAGTTGTGCTTCGTAGTTTTTACAACTCTCACATTCCTTCTTTACTTCTTCCTCTAAAACCTGTAGAGAAAGATTTAACCCTCTAATATTAATCAAAAGTCAAAAGTAGCTTGCTTAAGTTAGCAGTACACACCAGTTGGCTTTGATTAAAATCATCACAGCACAAGTGTTGGCAATCTAAGGCAGACAAGAGTCACATACTTCTATTCTTCTCTGCATTCCAGTCATTCGATCATCTTTTTGCTCCAATGATGTTTGCATCTCACTTGCAATTTTTTCTTGTTCAGCAAGCTTTGAAAGAAAATGTCACATGAACTTTAGCTAAAAGATTTACTAGCCAAGACAAAAGTATTGCAATTCTCATACAGATTTTGGTAACACACACAAAAACTGCAAACGAAAACAAAAACAAAAATTTTAATTAAACGATCACCAACTAATCAAGTTACCTATCTTGCCTAAAAGTGAAGTAAAAAGAAAATTAAAGTTATAAAATAGTAAGGGGCACCAAACGAAAGTGCTGCTCTGACGATCTTCTTTGAATGATCTGCGCATTAATGGTTTCCGTACACACTCAAAAGATTAACTCAAATCATCGAACCATTAGTAGAATGACTTGAGTCTGGTTGTGTAACTTTCACTACGAACAACAATCTGACCTGTTCCTGTAATTTCATTTCCTTATTGCTATATTCAGTCTCTAAAACAGTTATTCGCTCTTGGTGGGCCTGTAAAAGAAAGGAAAAGAAAATTTCAAGGATTTCATTTTAGAAAGGCAGCACAGGCGACAATAACCAAGACAAACAAATGTGAAGGCCAAGAAAGCGTCCTAATTAGGGAACCTCCATACAGGGGACTCCCTTGTTACCATTGCAAATGTCCCCTGAAGAGAGGTTGAGCCAGGGTTTGTTAATAATAATTATTAACCAACAAATAAAATATTTTTTATACATTCTGCCTCGGAATCTGCTAGATAATGTTTGAAAAACATGATTAACTTGTCTCTGTGATATTGCGTGTTGAATTCCTACAAGTGTAGTACACTGAGTTAAGTGAGATGGATCATGCTGTGAAATTTGTCCCACAGTGACAAGGGTACACTTAAACTTCTAACCCTTTTTGTGGTCAGTCATGTTTTGTGTACTAAGGAGTGCCCTGAATGGAAGTGATACCTGGGTTTCGGGACGCAGAAATGGTGCCCCTTTCCCCTGAATAGAGGTGTCTCTTCAGTATATCGGCAGGTAACAAAAACAAAGATAATTTATGTTAACATTTTTTTGGGACCAGATTTTGTGTCCCTTTAATGGAGGTGTCCCTATGTAGAGGTGTCCCAAAGAAGGACATCAACTGCATACATTATAATATGTTAATATGTTTCTAAGGCCTTTGATACCGTCGATCATAATATTCTGCTTGACAAACTCGAACACTATGGTATACGTGGCGTGGCTCTGGACTGGGTTAGAAGCTACCTCTCCAACAGGTTGCAATTAGTTCAATTTAACAGTCAATGCTCCTCTCCTCAAACTATCTGCTGTGGTGTCCCCCATTTTAGGCCCCTTGTTTTTCTTACTCTATATTAATGATTTAAATAACGTATCGACGCTCGTCGAACTGATTTTATTCGCTGATGATACTAATTTATTTATGTCCCATAAAGATCCTGTCTACCTGGCAGCATCACTCAATTCCGAACTTAAACCTGAAGAAAACAAACTTTATGTTATTTAAGCCTAGACAGAAAAGGTATCATTTTCCAATGCAAATATGCATAAATGACCAGAGAATCGAACAGGCTAAGGAAACGGTCTTCCTCGGTGTAGTCGTTGATGAACATCTGTCTTGGAAACTGCACATTTCTCAAGTAGTTCGTAAAATCTCGAAATCAATAGGAGTCATTAATAGAGCAAGATTTTTTCTACCTTAACCCTGTCTAAAAACTCTTTATTATTGTTTAGTTTATCCTTATCTTCATTATTGTATTATTGTCTGGGGATCTACGTACAAGACCAATCTTCGCCGTATTGTCTCTTTGCAAAAGCGAGTTATTAGAATTATTTCTAAATCATCTTTCGATTCTCATTCAGACCCTATTTTCAAAGAATTAGAACTACTAAAACATTTACTTTCCGATACTAGACAGCTAGAATTGGGTAAACTTATGTTTGCTCTTAACCATTCTCTTTTGCCTTCAAAGTTCAACAATTATTTTTCTTTAAACAAACAAGTCCATAGCTATGCCACTAGACAAGCGGACGATTTTCACCTTCCTTCTTGTAGAACAAACCTTCGTAAATTTTCTGTCAGTTTCCAAGGACCTACTTATTATAACTCTATAGAAAATGATATTAAAGAATCTAATTCTCTCCACTTATTCAAAACGAAATTGAAAAAAAAATTATATATGAATTATTAGTTATAAATCTAGTAGTAAACAGTTATATTTCTTCACATGTCTGATATCATTTTTATACTTATTGTTACTTGTACCATACTTTATATTCTGTCAACTCAGTCTATGTAATTAGTTATTTTATACTTACCTTCATTGTATTTTACTTTCGATCCTGGCCTTACCGTTAATGTTAACTTTATTTTTATTCTGAGGGAGCCCAATTTCTATAAGCCTCATGGTTTCTTTTTGGGCTTCCTCGCCACTTTCATTTGCTTTTGTGTAACTGTCTTGTTTTATCGTTATTTGTATTTTGTGGTAAATCAAATAAAGTTACAAAAGTTACAAAAGTTACAAAGTTACAAAGTTAAATCATTTACACTTGCTGTCAGGTCAAATTTTAGAGAAGCCTGAACTGTATTCAGTTGCACTGACTGAAGCCACACACTGAGTTATTTCTGGAGCTGACGCTCGTGTTCTTGTGTCATAAGCTTTTATTCTCTGCACACACTGTAACGAACCCCAAACACACAACATTCCACCCTTGAAGATACTGTTCTCCAAAGGTTTTTTTGATGGTGCGCTCCCATTTGATGTTCCACAGTTAACACACTCACCTCTCCAAGTTCTTTCATAGCTTTCTCTAGGTCAGTTTTTCCTTGTTCCAGTTGCTGAATCTACAGTGAAAAGAAACACAAACACATTTTAAACAATGATGTCTCTTCATAGAAAGCCAAGTCAGTTTTAACACATGCCCCCCTGAGCCGCCGGTTACCGCCTGTGCGGATCCATGTCCCTTCTATATCTTGTCATGTCATCAGTTTGAATGGTCAAGGACAACTTTTTCCGCTAACTTTGCTATAGATCCTAAAAGCTTTACTCCTAAAAACATTTCTCACCAAAATGAAGCCTACTAAATGCCCAGCAAAAGAAAAAAAAAGACAAGAAAAACTAAACAAGAGGGGAGGGGAGAAAGTAAAACGTAAAAGTCAAGACTGCTGGGTCACTTTTAAGCCCCAAAACGAAATTTTTCTTTCTGGCAATGCCCGAACTTCGCAAGCTAATTTTTTGTGTCTGGATCAGAGGGCCCGAAAGGTGTGACGACCTGTAAATTGCTTTCTTTGTGGTAAGTTTTAGCTACTTAAAGCACGACAGTGACCAGAAAACCACTTGACTAACTTCAAAACACGTTTTTCTGCAAAATTTCCAGGGGGGAATGTGTTAAAATTGATATGAAACAAATCCCACTGAAAGCAGTAAGAAATATCTATATTAAAAACCTTCTGTTGAAGCTGTTGATGTTCTTCAGCTTGTTTTGCACACAATTCCTATTTCGAAAAAAAAAACAACAACTTATGAGTGATTAGGTACTCAGGGGCTATAACTCATTAACATTAAGATTATTGATTAAAATACCTCTTTTTCATGTAGTTTTTCCTTAACATTCTTTAGAGTTGACATTAGTTCTGATGTCTGGTTCCTGTTGTTCGTGTCTAACTCAGATAATTTTGCCTCCAATGCTTTCTGCAAAGCAATGATAAGAAAGGCATCCATAACAAATAACATTACAACAAAGGATGTTTTGGGTAAGCATTCCAAGCACTTATATAATGGAACAGCACAGGAATATCACCAGAGAGAAACATAAGCTTACTGATACATGAGAAAATATCACATACAAAGATAACATGGAAATATCACAATGATATGCCAAAAAATAACAGGGAAACATGATTTGGAATTTTAAGGGTGGAAGGGAATATCTTGACTTTGCAATCAACAGAGAAAATAAAGAAAATGGTTTTCAGATTTACAAACGGAATTCAAGTACTGACCTTTTCCTCAAAATGTTGTTTAGTGTTTTTTTCCAGTTGATCAGTTTTGTCTTTTACAGTCTATCAAAACAAAGTAATTCAAAAAACACAGATGTAGTGCTATCATTAATCATTATTGCTTGCTGTTTACTGTTCATACATCTACATGAAGAAAATGTGACTGTAAAAGACAAGGGGAACCAAAAGTGCATACTTACAGGTACAGCAAGTCTGGAATTTACTTTGTACATTGTTTAGTGGAGAGATTGACCAGCAATTTGCCAGTTATGAAGATTTAATTTTTACAAAGGTCCTTAATTGAGATCATGTTTTAAAAGGAAGTACTATATAGTGATATTCCTTATCTTCAAATGTGTCTGTCAGCATGCATGGAAGTTACCTAGATCTGCACTTACTTCTGAAATGGAGGCAAGTTGTTCCTGTAATGAAATAATTTCCTTTTTTGCTTCCTGATGATCCGATTCCAAGATGGTGATAGATTTCTCCTAAAAAAAAACACAGAAAAACTGGTTAGGGTTAGGATTATAAACTACTTGACAACTGAATAGTAATCTAAGTCCACAACAGATTTCCATAATAAAAATAATAATAACATTCATTAAATTACAAAGATTCAACCAACCTTTTCCTCCACTAAATTCTTGGAAGAGGTCAAACTCAGGGATAGTTGTTCCTTCTCAGTTTCCAGATATTTAATTTTCTCAGCCGATGTTTCTTTGTACTACAAATTACACAAGCAAATGTCAGCAGTTCAGTTTATAATAATGTAGTATATATGCACATTTTTTTAAAAAATAGTTTACCATCAGGAACATACTTTTTGAAGTTCCCCTTGTACAGCTACCAGTTCCCTATCCTTTTTACTCAGGGACTGTTGAATATTTTCAATTTGTTGTTGAAGTGACGTTTTCTCAGAGGATTTTTCTTGTTGAAGTAGTGTCACAACCTCAACCTAACAAAAATAAAACAAACTCCCATCACTATTGTTGATTTCATTAAATAAAAAAAAAAAACAGGGTAAAACTCAAAACGTTTAAATATTGCAGTTTTTGTAGCAATACAAAATCCACCTTAAGTGATGTAACAAGTTAAATGGGGAGAAAAGAAGTGCTAAACTCTGACTTGCTTTTAATTTATCCTGATGGTAAGTTTCATCCTGATGGAATCCCTTGATAAATTATGTAATAAGTACTGCACATTTTCTACAATCAAATTTAATGGTTTGCACACCTTTCCTTTAATTTCACTTTCCAGCTGAGCACACCTTTTTGCTTGACTTTCTATTTCCATCTCAGATGTTTTCACTTTAACTTCAAGTTCAGAGTGCTGTTCACGTAACCCACTGTAATCGTCTTTGAGCTTGAAAAGCAGAATACAATAAACAAGAAATATTTAAGTGTGGATTCAAATTGACAACCTAGCCATTTAAACCCATCAAAATACAGATTCTTCTTCCGAAACTCCAAACATTAATTGTAGCCATAGTGGGGAGAAATTGGCTATAAGTTAATAGAATTGATATCTTGGATGATCACTTTTTTGATGGTCACAACTTGGTTGATTTATCAAGCATTTATCAGGGCTCCAGTAACACCTCATCCAGTAGTCTGAGACAAAATAGATTTTCTTGCTGGGCAAGTAACTTTTAAAGCTTACTTGCCCAATAGACAAGGAAGCCCTGATCTATTTCCCAAACAAATTTGATGATGATAAATTTAAATTACTTCAGCTGTACTAGGCTAAGCACCTTGCATTCTGCTATATTACCTGACTTGCGTGGTACCCACTTCCCTAATCAAGCAACATAATGTTAGCATTCTGCTGTACCTTTATATTTTGTTGCTGAAGAGCACTTAGCTCTTTTAGCTTCTCCTGCAAGGTCTCTTGGGAAGACCTGACTTGCTCATCTAAGACTGACTTTTCAGCAGCCTTTGCAGCTTCAAGAGCGACAAGATTTTCACTCTTAAAATAACAACATAAAACAAAAAATTAAAAATGATAATAATAGTGATGATATCAACAAATATTAATAAATTTAATGACTTTATGATGTGTTTTTAGACTTGTTTTGACAAAAAATGATTTCCTTTAGATCCAAGCTGGTCTTCGCAACACTGGGTTGCTGGTATGTTTTTGTTGTTCTCTTATAAATCCTTTCACTTCTTTTTTCATTGCTGTCTGTTCAGTTTTGTTCCTCATTTTAACTTGGACTTCTGAGAAGTTTACATTCTACATTTTACATTCTAAAGAAGTTAAAATTTGAGTTTTCATTATTGGTTACAAACTCACTCAGGACAAATGTTTGTAGAATAAAACGTTTTGCCTGTCACAATCTGATCTTTTTTCTGCAGGAAAATGTGGAAAGCTCAAGCACCACCAGATATTCTTGTAAATATGACCAGTCATGTGCTGCAGAAGGTATATTCAAAGGATCTCTACCTAAATAATGATTGGTTATATTCTTTACAGCATAGTATGAAAGGATGCATTTACTCTATAGAAACTCACTTTTTCTTTTATTTCTTTCCTCAACTCCTCTATTTGTTGGGATGAATTACTGCACATGGTTGTTAGATCCTGCACAGAATTTTCCAGTTTTCCAGAGGTGTCCTTTGCTATGGCTAACGCCTCCTCAATCTGCAGAGAACAAACTAACAGCTTACTTTTTGAATAATTACAACATCATGGGTGACAAATTACTCCTTAGTGTTTTGGCTCCAAATTTCAACATTAATTTAAAATTCAACATGTGAAATTACAAAATTGCCATGGCAACGTTCCTTATGTTGCAGTGCCAATATGGTTTCAAAGTTTTAAAATGTTATAAATGAAGATGTTAGGGCATTAAAAGACACTATAGAAAACCTAAACACATGGAGGAGTACATCAAGAAAAATTCCAAAAAGTATTTTGTTTACAAATTCAGAAACTTGAGAACTTTTATGCTCCTAATGCTTCAGTGCATGTACAATAAAAACGTAAAAAAAAAACACAATTGTAAGCAAATTGTGAGCATAATTTGTCACCCATGATTATAAACTAGGTAATCATAACAATAGTGTACTCATAAAATGGGTGAATAGTTCACTGGCTTTTTGTCCAAGTTCTAATAAATTCCCTCGCCTAAAGGCTCAAGAAATTATCAGAATTTGGACAAAACGCAGTTCCCTAATTCCACCATTAGATGATCAAGTTAATCATCAGAACACTTTGGAAAAATCCCTTCTGACTCTATAATAGGTCACCTGCTTAGTTTCCTTCACCACCCCCACAAGAGAATTCCCAGGGAGGGAGGGCCAATCTCCTATTAAGGTTTCTGAGAAAATTTCAGTCTGAGTTTGCATTTTCCAATTATCAATAAGGGTTTCAGGTGGGATGGGAACCTCGGTCTATCTTGAAACAAACCTGAAGAATTGACTGTTAGTAGTTCATGATATTTGTTACATCATGGTCACCTTATTGTGTTCCTTGTGCATCTCTTCGATTTTCTTGGAATGTTCTTGTGCTTGAGTATGAAGGGAAGCTTCCACCTCTTGTAACCTTTTCTGATAGCTCTCCTGTAGATAACCAAACAGGAAACAAGAAGGTTTTCAGTGCTAAGTGATGGGATGAAAAGAGGAAGATGAGCAAGGTGACTGGAAACTTTGAGGAAAGTACATCAAAAGAATAAACTAACAACAGCTACTACAAACTTCAGAAAGATTCCAGCATATCAAATTATTTCCACAGTTCAAATCTTATTCCTTTAACCACACAAAATAAAAATTATATCATTGTTAAGGATACAGAATCTTTTCAAACAAAACTATAATGTTCAGAAGATTCCTAGTTGTCCTAGAGGTTCTTTAATTACCTTTTCTTGTTTGAGTTGATTAATAATAGTCTCTGTTCCACCACCGGCTTCAATCTGCAATGAAAACAATATAAATAAGGTGATTATGTGAATAAAATACACCAAATTTTATAATATTCAAACATAACTTTTGAAAACTGAAGTTTTCTTGTTTTGAACATTTCAGTTCCTTGAGTCCCTTGAATACTATTTTTTTCAGTTTCTACTCAGAGGCCTATTTCTGAAATAAAATCAATTTTATTTAAAAAAATTTTCTCTGAACAACATTCAAAACATTCTACACCAGCAGTTTTTTCAGTTTTTATGCTATTTAACCTAAACAGTATTTCACTTTCCCATTTCAATTCTCATTTCTTATCTAACTGTCATCAGGTGGATATATTTCTCATGTAGACCTGTCATTACTGACCCATTCTAACTTTCACTTATGGTTAAAGTTAAAGAGGTTAAAGTTTGTTTTTTCCTAAGTTTTACTCCCTGAATTTCACTTGTAAAATACAGAAACTCAGTCAACTTTATCAAACAAAAATGCAGTTGGAAATGGCACAGCTGAGTGTCCATCTTAAAGATGACTACCTCATTGAAAGTTAAAGAGACTGATTGAAGAATGTTTAAACCAATAGGCCCCACTATTCACATACAATTTCTCCAGACTGATCTCCATACATTTCCTTACAAAATAAGTTGAGAGAATTTGATAAAAAATGAAAGTATTCTCCAGGCTTTGATGATCATTTCATTGATTCTCAAAACCTTTTCTCTTGATGATGTATTGAAATTGTTAGGAGAGAATAATATAAGTATTGGTTAGCCTAGTTACAATAATTATCGATGTTGGAAACTCTTGGAACTTAAAGGGCTTTTACCGAACCAACTGCTGGTGTTGGTTATTTTTAACGAACTACAGGTACAGGTACAGGGTGTATAAGTGTAATCTTGCTGTGATTGCAGGGTAAAATTCACTGCTAGTCTACACCTCTGTATACTTATAGATCTAGAGATTACAACTGTGGGTGGGGTAATTATTTTGATAAATTACTAGTACAGTGGATATAACGAAGGGCCAAGGGATTGGCAAATTTGTTCGCTATAACGAGGTTTCATTATATTGAGGTTGTTTTTCATATGGTTTACTATTACTGGGGTAATTAAGAAAATAGTTTGTCATACTGAGGACTTTGTTATACAGAGGTTTATTTGCTCTATCGAGGTTTCGATCTCTGTACCTTAGCAATAAGTTCTGTTCGTTCAGCTTCAAATCTTGTAATATCATCTTTTTTCTGCTGAAGGCTAGTCTCAAGATCTTTTATTGTTGAGTCTCTGTGGAATAAGGCATCTAAATTCATGAACAATGAAAAAACTTTGAAAGGCCCCAGTGGAATTTTTTTTTAACATTCTACAACTCAGCATAACAGCTTTTCAAATGCGAGCATAATTCATAGGGAGAATAACAAAGATTTGTACATTGTGTTAAGACCCCAAAGTAATCATGATTCTCTGGTGACAACTAGCCATGTTTCAGTTAATTCAAATATTTGCTGCTTAATATTTCCTCCTTGCCCCACCTTCCCCCATCCCCCACCCCCCAACAAACAAAAACGTACAAATGAAACTAAATCTCACCTGTTTTGGGTCTGTCTCTGTTCCTCTTGTAACTGATTTTGCAGGTTTCGAACTTGTTGATTGGAATCTTCCTTCAATGAGACCTAAACACAAAACTGTACTTTGTTCGTGGCACTTTACTAAACCATTTTGTGTCACTCAACAAAATGTCAAAACATCAAAACATGAAAAAAAGACTGACCAAAAAATTTGCTGTAACCAAGAGTGGCAAGAATGGAGCTGCTGTTGGTAGAAAAACTGTCCTTGATCAGGTTAAAGAAAGTTTTACAACCCAATTGTAGAACACAGTTAATGGAACATGAGTCTTCTGGCCCCATGGGGCATCGGGTGTACTCTAACTATTATACTTTAGACTCTTACCTTAGCTTAGCTCATACGTGTAGCATACCACTATTCAACCGTCACCAAGGGTAGAACCCTAGGGAACAGTTTTTACCTGCAAAAGGGTTCAATACCCCAGTGATAAGCCCATGTGACTACTCGTACAAAGTTTTAATTCAGTACTAACCTCAGAGTCCAATTTACTTTTCGTTTCATCAAGTTGCTTTTGAAGATAATCAATGAATGTCTCCTTTTCTTTCAAAACAACATTGACCTGAAAACAAAAAAAGAAGAGGATTCCTCAACAGCAGCTAACCATTGACTTTTAGTAGGATAAGCTTTGGGTTTTATCAACATTATATAGATTTAGCCAGGGTTAAAAGCGAAGCTCTCATTAATAAACTTACGCAAGCAAAAAATAAAATCATGTAATGCTAAACAACGATGGCAACCAGAATGGCCAAAAAACAAACAAACAATAGCAAAAAAAACAAACTTTGCATGCGCAGCACACTTTTTGTATTCTTTGTCATTGTTTTGCATGTCCAAACCACGAAACTTCTTAGTTACACATTTCATGGAGAAAATGTCGTATTTCCTCACAAAACATTATTTTTGTTGCTTGTGTTCCTGCTCCTTCTTTCTTTTCACTGCTTCTCATTTTTCATCTTGCTGGCCACTAGCATTTCTCATTTTCTCACTGCTGCAGCTATTAAATGTTATTCTTGTTATTCTTCCAGCAAAATTTTTTTTCTTTTATTTGTTTTTTATCTCCCCCACTAGCTCTTTCTGTGATATCCATGTCAGTGTACACATCAAAATGTAGTGGAAAAAAAGACTCGCCTATGTTTTTTTTCACTCTAAAAATGTAGGTGGCCAGGCATGTGGTAAATGTGACACTTGAGATCATCTTACATGTAGGGGGTGGATGATATGGATGAATGGATGGACTGATGGTCACATGATAACTAAAATTTCTGAGATCTATAGGTTACCATTTTTTCTTGCCCATGGTGCTCCGCCTCGCGCTAGAGAGAGCTCCACTAAAAACGTATTTTTGTCAAAATTTATTATAATCCAACCTGACTGAGATCATGCTGAAGGTTGATTAGATTTTTCTGTCTCTCTTGACTTTCTTCTTGCACTTGTTTTCTGCTTTCTGTGGATGCTGTTATAGCTGTCTGCAGACTATAAAGGAAGGACACCTTATTTATAGAAGACAACATTATTTTATTAAAATGACAGTAAAGTCTTAAATTTCATAACAAATTGTGTGCTACCCACCTCTGTACTTGTTCAATTTTTGATGCCTTTTCCACTTCAAGCTCCTTCACTTTCATCTGGAAGCTGCATTACAATCAAACGTCCTTTCAAATTATTGGAAATATTTCACTTTATAAATAGCCTTGAGGTGGAGGACACAAATAGACAAAATGAACATTCACTTAGAATCCTTCCAGTTTGCTATGGTCACCAGAGTTTCAATGTAGATATTCATGTATTAGGAATCTATTGATGAGCCGAATCTTGACAACATGCAAGGAAGAAGCCATTGTTAGCCGGCAGATTTTGGTGTAAGTTTTATTGATAGGAACCCATTCTAAATCTGTACAGTAAGCCTTAGCTGATTTGTACATCAGAAGAGTAAACCAATTTACATTATCATCTTATTATTGTTGTCCATGTATCTGTATGGCTATAAACAAGGATGGTCTAAATTGCGAAAATTGCTACCCACAAACCACCTCACCTATTGACTTCTGTTAAGGCTGTATTCAACTTTTCTTGCCAAGTTTTATGCTCTTCTTCCTTCTCTTGCCGAAGTGAGGACACTTGTTGCTGTGCTGTGGAAAGCTGATTCTGTAAAGTGATTATTTCATCACCAGAGGGCCTGTAACAAAAAGATATATAATGTTTTTATATTTTCAAAGTAATAAACATCACTTCTCCTTTAATTTCTTGTAACTGCCGTGACAGCATGTTGCTAAAAATTTTTAATCCCTTAATTTTTGTATTAAAGATAGCCTGAGCTACCTGTGGTAACTCATTCAAAATTGAGGAGAGTAAGATCAGCTAAGGAGGGAACCACTTACAAGGTCAACATACCTTTGAGACAGCTGTTTTTCTAAGTTTTCAGTTAATCTGGACTTGTCCTCTAGTTGTTCCTAAAACAAAAAGTATTGGAAATTGGAAACGTCCATCAACAAAGTTCAGCTTAGCTCCTTACAGTTATTCATGTACATGTTAAAACACCTGTTTATACTGTACTATTTTGGTAAGGTTTTTTTTATACACAGTGATATTGATAAAAAGCCCTGACAAAGTAACTAGCAGTATTCTTCAAGCAGGCTCACTTGCTCTCATTTGGCTTGTAAGGTGAGTGGGGGGGGATTTGGGGTAGGGGAGGAGGGTAATAAGATGAGTATCTTAGAGGCAGAGCCACCAGCAATGCAGGTTAAATTAGGAGTGAGTTATGCTCGTGGGAATTGTGTATTGCTTAGCAACTTACAGATGTAAGTGACCCAATAAAAAATAACAAACTAATCTGTTGGTTGCACTTATTTCCAATTCAAAATTAATATCATTGTAGGCTCTTAGCCAAAAAAAGACAAAGATAATGAGTACAATGATATACAGTACACTGTTATGTAAATAACTTAAGTTTGTGGTTTGTTTGTACCTTCAACCTGTTAATTTCTTCATTAAAAAGTTTCTGTTGTCTTTGCTCTTCCTCTAAAGATGCCTTTAAGCCAGCATTTTCAGTTGCCTAACAAAACCCAAGGACACAAACAAGTTATCCACTTTCTTCATTGACAGAACAAAAGCACTTTCATTGCACAATTTTTATTGCAACTTTTTGGAAAACCTAAGCTGCATCTTCCCATCTTAGAGACCACCAAAACTGCACCTTTCTTTCCCTTATTCAATGAAACTACTCTTCAGCTAAATCCTTACCAGTTCTGAATTTCGTTGAGCTAAATTCATCTGCTCACTCTGACTCCCAGTTTGAGCTTCTAATGACTTGGCCAGTTCTACTTTCAGTTGGGCAAACTCTGCCATAGCTTTAATATAAAGGAAACTCCGAATTAGATTTTAAAACAATCTTGCCACAACACTATAAGAAACAAAAAGGCACACTTGTCTATTTAATTGGACAATAGATGAGGTTTTCTTGACTCACATTTAACGCTGTTTTCTTTTTCTGCCATAACTTTTTTGTCTGATTCTGTTTCCAGGTTTTGTTTTTCCTACAAAATGAATGCAAGGGTAAAGAAAACATATGTACATTGTAAAAGGTTTTACAATCTTATTTCAGAAAACAATCATGCACCTACCTGATTCAAACCTACATATTTCCTTAGATAGATTAGTTTTCATTATAAAAAGCAATGTCACATTAATACAGCAGTGTGGAATCAAATGACATAGGATGTGACATCTTATGGCGATTATTAATACTGGTCACATTGTGGTACATTTTAAAAATTTCATCACATGACAAACAAGTGTTCAAAAAAAGTTACATGGAGCAATGACATATAACATGCCAACAAGAGGGCAATAATAATGATTGCTACCCCCGCTTCTGAAATAATATTATTATTTCGGAAGCAGGGGTAGCAATCATTAAATATTTCCTCATAACATTTTCTGTAATAACTAGTACCATCACCCATTAAATCATGTGAGCTCAACTTGACTGATGTAATAGGTTTTTTACTAATGAAATGACACCCCAGAATACAGCATTTTACCAGTAAATGATATGGCAGTAGGCTGATTTAGCAACAGAACGGGAACATCAGTTGACGACGGCGTGCGCAAATCAAACAACTGGCTTGACCAATGGCAGAGCGGCAAATCAGGAACCGGAAGTCGAGTTTAGTCCTTTCCGCGTGCTTTCCCATTGTCAAATGACGTTCCCATTCTGTGGCTAAATCAACCTAGTGAATGGTGTTACTAAACATGACACAGGTTCTCTACAGGTTCTATACTGTTTTGATAGAGGACCTTTTCCAGAGCACTGCATTTCTGCTCCAGTTCAACTTTTTCCTTGGTGATCTTGTCCACTTCTTCCTTCAAGGCAGTAGAGTACCATTTCTCTTCCTGAATTGAAAAAAATAATAATAACAGTAAATTTAAACTTATTTGGAAATATATCTGCATTTAAAGACTATCTACAAACAAACCACAGAGGGTACCTTGTACATGTATCCTTCATGCAAACAATCAGTACCTTTAACGAAGCATTCAACTCATTTAATTCCTGCTGAAGATACATAATCTCCTGTGTTTTGTCTTCCAGCTCTTTAAGCTGGCTTGACAAGAGGGACACTTCAGATTCTTTCCTCGGTGCTGGAAGTTCTTCATCAAATGACAGAAAAGAGCCATGTTTTTCACTCCAAATTCTTGTTGTTTCAGGAGGTAAACTCTGTGTTGAGGGTGCAACTGATGGTTTCTAAACAGACACAAAGGCAAATAAGAGTCAGGCCTGTATGACTTCAACTTTAAAACCATACACAAATTTGTTTCAAAAGATTAAGTTCTAAATTCAAAATCACTACATCACACTAGTGTAAAGTAAAATTCTGTTTTACATTGCTGATTCTTAACTGAGGCAAAACACTCGGGTAGAGCTGGAAGACAAAATCACTCCAAACACCCTAAATAGTTTATACTTTTCTAAGTTTACTATTTACTCAAAGTTTATTGTTGTAAAATCTCTTTATACAGTGTGTAATCCACCTTCTAAGGCAAAATTGTTATGTTGACTTACCACAGCAGAATCATTTTCAGTTTCATGAAGCTGATCAAAATGTGTTTGCAGCTGTCCAGGACTGCTAAAGGTTTTCATACATAATGGGCAAATAAAATGCTGTAGAAAAGAAGTGAATGCCATCAGTCCGGAGTAAGGCAGTTAAATAGTATGTGTTGCTTTACATCAGCTAGGATTCAAATTGTCTCATGTACCGCAACAGCTGAACTGTCACTGGACTGCACAGAAATTTTCCTACTTAAACAATATAGGGTTTGGTAATTTCTGATCAATACAAGTTTTGCACTGGTTCATTTCAAAGATAAAGAAGCCTCAGTAGTTGATAAGTGTTCTCACTACCACTGATAAGGGGCTATTTCTAAGTTCCTTGTATATAAGAGTAAATAAAAAAAAAACACACTGAGACAAAAAATTTTTTTCTAATTCTCATGCAGAGCAAAAATGATTGATTGATTGACATAAATATTTTCTGCTTGAATTAAATTTGACAGAGAGGGGTATGGGAACTTGGAAATTGCCTGTCATTTCTTCCAGCAGTCAAAGATCACTGTTAGTAATTATTCAAGCATTGATCTGTCTTATGAGAGTGAACAAACTATAGTGGAACCCCACTCTACGAACAACTGCTTAATATGAACACCTGTATGCCGAGAAACCGAAAAATGCACCTTGACATCACATTGAATGATGTCAATTGGAGCTCAGTCATGACATCATTGCTAGGCAACTGCGGATACCACAAAGGTAGAAATATAACCAAAGCAAGATCACTTCACTTGCGATACTCATGGGAGTCTTGTGCAATGTAGCCTCCGCCACAGGTGTTTTTTAGGCAAGCTCATATTTCGTCCCTCCCAAAAAACGCCTGCTCAACTGAGAACAACATTCCTTTCCCATTGTTTTATTTGCGTGGTAAGGAACCAATCAACAGTATTGAAATTAATTGTTGATTGGCTAAACACAATACATAAGATTGTGATAGTGTTAAACATAACCCTAGAGTTACCTTTTTCCTTCTTTTCTTTTGTTTGCTAAGGTTATGCAGTGCACAGAGTATTCTAAAATCTGACTAAATCTTACTCTTGCTGCTCTGAGTCTAACATTTATTGGAGGTCATAAAGTTTTCCCAGTGCTTAAGGCAGATCAAGTAATTATCAGGTTACCTTGCGGTCAAGGTTAACTTTCCAGAATTTGGAAAGTACAATGTGATTGGCTAATCTAGGGAAAGGAATGTTGTTGTCAGTTGAGCAGGCGTTTGTAAGGAGGGACGAAACACGACCTCCCTTAAAAACGCCTGTGTGGGAGGCTACGTGCAATGCAAATTCCAAAAAAATTATAAACTCACTATGCAAGAGCCTTACTGCTGTTGCTTCGTGAGGAAAAGTTAAAAACTTTGCTCACCCCACTTGATGGTGTTGGCTCACTGTCAACATGTGCTGTTTCAAAGTGGATTTGAAGATCCTCCGCAGAATTGAAGGAAATCATACACACTGGACAGATAAATCCCTGGTAAAGTCAAAATATAGCCACATTACTTCTCATCACTTGATACTTCCGCGTTCCGTGAGCCATTATATACGTGTAAGGAGAATTAGCATACTTAGGTCAATCTTAGTTAATAAGGGGTCGTTGAAATACGCTATTTTTTGTATTAACCATTTCGGTTTAAAATACATTCAAACTTAATCTTCATATAAAACTCTGAATTATCTGTTTCATATTTAAGGCGCGTGAGTCTACTGAAATGATTTAGCGAGTAGTATTTGTAAGTATCATGAATGAATTCTCACGTACTACAAAAGTTCCATCAATGAAAATGGTTGGACGATGCATGCATACTTACAGAAGTCTCAGTCACCGATTGTGATGGGCCTTCCTTTGTAGGGCTCTCAGGCTGCTGAGTAGAAACAAGACAGCATAAATCATAATAATCGGCCATGGTTACTAGACCAGCAGCAGGCATACCGTGACCAGCACATTTACAGCAATATCACGCGCAAACACTACTATGGCGCGAAAAAACTACCTGGTCATTTCCTTTCCTTTTATCACGCCAACGTCTGAGCATCTTGAATCTTTTTAACTAAGTGGTAAATTCAAAACAAACTACTGTGAAGGGTTTTAAAATAATGTAAGAAATTAAAACCACAAATCGTGACATGGCTGCCATTTACGTGGTACACCGCTGATCAAAAGTTGGAAGGCGGGATATTTTAGGGGGGCGCTGCCCCTGAAAATCTACAACGAGGAGTTTCACGCTTTGTTCGTTCATTTTTATCGTCAAAATTACTTTTTGTTGTTCGATCGTTTCGACCCCTTTTTATCTTATATGATTCTACAACTATTCATTACGCTATCTTGTAAGTTTTATTTATTTCTGAAACATCTGTTATACAAAAATATGGTAGTAATGATGACCAGTTTATGAGATTCTTTCAAGATTTTACAAGCAAACGTACGGGTCTTTGAACATTCGGGATTTTCAGTTTCAGGGTCCCTCAAGTTCCCGGACGTGGATTTCACTGGAGCTCGAAATTCGAAAATTTGTAGATATTGTTTTGATCCACCGGAAGTGAGATACAAAAAAAATGGAAGTGAGTGAAGCGAATAGCCATGATGGACTGAATGACGTTTCTTTGCAACAAGAAACAGCCTGCACCGTAGAGTCAAAAGCTGTTGAAGAAAATGGTGGCGATCTTGCCTTCCCTTCCACGTTTTCTCCTGAAACTCAAGTTGGCTCTCAGCTGGCTGCATTGGGTAAGAATTTTACGATAATTATTCTTGGCTTAAAAAATATATACCTTGCTCCTTTGGAGCAAACTAGGATTTTTAGTGGATATTTGATGAATTTAACCCGCATTTTATAAGGAGCTATGTTGCTCACGGTCCTTCTGTCCAAGACGAGTTTGTACGCGTTTCGCGCGAAAATGTTAAGCTCAAGCTTAGATTGTCCGCGAGTTAATGTTGTTTTTATTCTCATGTACAGCATTTCGGTACATAAGCTAGCCTAGATTCGTTATGGCCGGAGTAAGTGAATACTGAACGTGAAACAGATGTTCGTTGAAGAGTCTTTCTTTAGTCGTGTGTGTTCGCATGTGAAGCGAGGCTGAGCGGGTAGTGGGCTGTCAGGATCAAATGTCCAGCAATTTGCGCGATGCTGCGTGAGTGATAAAGTGTGAGATAAAAGATGCTTTCCCTTTACCAAGAAATTTCAGTCAGGATGTAAATCCAAGGCACTCCACTAGAAATTCCCAGGAGTAAGAGGAACTTTGGGCATTTTCCAATAATACAAAAACCTTTTGGAAACTTTGATGGCGAGGTCTGTTGTGGTGAAGAAGCATTTTCATTTGACGCTAGATCCATTTGCTCTCCTCTCTCACCAAAATTCAAGATGGGGAGACAGATATAGCTGTGAATTGCTTTTATCCATATTTTTCACCAGAAAAGTTTCCAACTGGAATACAGGACTACCTTTTCACAGTTCAACTTATTCCCAGAAATATTGTGTAGGAATTTCCATGCACAAAATTGTGTTTAATAATCCGTACATGGAAAGCATCCTTTGAAAGGATATTCTTGTTTTCCTGTTAGAAATTTTTTAGTGGAGATTTTGGGCTTAAATTTTTGATTTTTCATATTAAACATTAGAACTGAAAAGTATAAGCGCTATATAAATATTTTTATTATTATTTTATTATTCGTCAGTTCTATGCTATTCACGCCAATTTAATTTCCTTGTCTGAGATTTGTGTTGGTAAATCAAAGTTTTTAGGAACAATTTGTGTACATAGTTTTCACATTAAATCTGTTCACTTATTTGTTAAAACATCAGCTGGAGTGAAGAGAAAGCATGCTTATCAAACAGATGACCAAGACAACAAACACATTCATCTTGATCAAGAGGCAGCAGCTTCAGATGGGTTTGCTGACTTGACAACTTTAGTCAACATGTCTTCTGCAGTGTCGCTTGCTGTTTCTCAGGTGAGAAATGTACCAGCCCTTCCAGTGTAACGTCAATGCCATTATAGACATTATTAACTTGAAATAAATAAAAATATATTAAATTCCTCATTCTTTGTTGTGCCTACTTTAACTACATTAGGAGGTGAATTCACAGACATTTAGTAACACAGCCATTGACAGTAGTGGCCAAATCGCTGCACTCTCTCAAGAACCAACCAATGGCAGTTTAAGTTTATCAGAAGCAGTGGCAGTTCTTGCAACAGGACACCTGCAGTCTCAGGAAACCACAATCATTCCAGCATCCCAGCCTGTTGTTATGAGTGATAACAATAACTCTGTTAATCAAGCATGGTTCACCACTAAAGAAGACAAAGACAACCTCCATGGAAAAGGTAATCTTAGTCCAAGTAAAAAAAAAAGCAAATGTACATGTAGGTTGCTATGTGCCACCAGCGAGTGGGTATTTTTTTCTGTCATTTCTGATTTTTTATTATTGCCAATTGATTGCTTTGTTGACAAAAAAATATTTATTACACTCCCCAGGGATACATGTAAGTTTAAGTTCTTCAGTCAAATATTAATAAAATAATGAAACGTCAGGTATTGATTATATTAATAATTTTGTAAACACAAATTTGGTTCATTTGGATACATATTTTAAACAAAATGATGCTTCATACTATATATCTCAATGGGTAGGGTGCATTGAAAATTAATGTCAATGAAGGACTTAGATAAACAAGAGAAATGGCCCTAAAAAATGAAGCTGCCAGGGAAAAGAAACATTTGTTTTTTTTACTTGGCCTTAGTACTACAAGACAACAAGAGCATAGTGTAGTTTCCTACTAAAACCTCAAGAACTCTTTTATTTTGCATTTTTTATTTTGTTGATAGAAAGGAAATTAAACCTTTTTAAAAGAAACAAAATCATTTTTAAATAATTATTACGCTTTGAGTTAGCTGTAATGATATTTTTCTGTTTGGGATATACCTTTTGTCTGCAAAGTATGCGAATTTCTGTATATCAAAACTTTTGTATGGTGTGTTTTTTGAAGGAGTCAAGTGGAGGCAAGGAATGTGGTCAAAAGAAGAAAATGACCAATTAAAAGAAAATATACTTGAATATTGTGAGGTAGGTTAAAATTATCTAAGATTGGTTTGTCCAAAATTAATCAAAACTTTAGATTTTTGCATTTTTTTATGGTAAATGACAATATTGCTCAAGGTTTTTAAAATCAGGTTTCTCCATGATATACATGAAGCATGCTCAAGATTGTTGATTGTAGTCTTCTGTTTAACATGTTAATGTCGCCACTCCTGTGTTAACGTAAATTGATTAAATGCAGTTCCTATAATATATTAAGGTAAAATGCAAAGAAAGACAACACTGTGTTCAATGTATGAGGCATTGAACTCATTCTTTTTTTTGTCTATCTTTATTTGTAGATCAACAGCATTCCAGATCCTAATATCATCATATTTGAGATGACAAAAGATGATCGAAAAGACTTTTATCGAACAATAGGTTTCTAACTTTTTATAAAATTTACATATTTTTTATTGTGCACTTTTGTGTATTTGAATAATACACTGTATAATAATTATTTATTTATAATGCTGGAATTAAGGAGAGATTAGTTGTTTATCAGTTTTTGGTGCTATATTGCCATTATTTTTTTTATATGATAAGTGTCATGATTCTGAATTTATTCTGCTTTTCAGCCAAAGGTATAAGGCGTCCTCTCTTTGCCATCTATCGTCGTGTGCTTCGCATGTATGATAGAAAGAACTACGTGGGAAAATATTCATCGGAAGAAGTGCAGCAGCTTAAAGCATTAAAAGAGAAACATGGAAATGATTGGGCTACGATTGGTGCTGCAATGGGTCGAAGTGCCTCATCTGTGAAGGACAGATTCCGACTGATGAGAGACCATTGCCGTTCTGGTTGGTCTTAAGCTTTCTCAGTCATCATAAAACCAACTTATCAAAATTCACTTTTTACTACTTGTACTGACAGATTTTCAGTTCGCTATGCCTTTGGTGTTCATTCTGAGTGAGAAATTAAGTAATTTTAATTTTTCTTCTTAAGGCAAATGGACAGCTGAGGAAGAACAAAAACTGTCCAGTGCTGTTCATGAGTTGAGCAGTACAAGATCAGGTGACCTGATCACAACAGGGATATCCTGGGCGGCTGTGGCTGAACAAGTTGGAACTAGATCAGAAAAACAGTGTCGATCAAAATGGTAATGTTCACTCTTTTCTAAAAGATGCATACGTATTTATGGTGGAAAGCAAGGAACATTATTGTTTTTAGTAAACATAGGCGTTAATTATAATATTGCTGTAGATCTACTTCAAGGAAATGTCCACCATTGTCTTGAAAATCAAAGATGCAGTTGAAGCTGTACACATGTAGCTAATTCAGTTGTTTAATTTTACAATATCTGTCATCATCATCATTACTGTTATTAGTTAAGTTAAGTACTGTTACATTCATTATTTGAATTTCCATTATCTGCCAAAACTCAAAATTTTTTGTCATTAATACATGTAGAAACCTCAAAAATGTAAATCACTTGATATATCTCCATACAGGTATGAAAGCAAATTAATCATAATTTTTCCTCAGGTTAAACTACTTAAACTGGAAAGAGAAAGGTGGGCAAGAATGGACCAAGCAAGATGAGATCAACCTTATCACAAGGTGAGGATTTGATGCTGCTGTCTCTCTCTTGCCTTGTATTGACAATTTTGCCACAAAATTACTGGAAGTTCCTTTCTAACACAAGGTTCGTTTAGGGTGACCCTCCTACAACCAGCCCCCTAGTGTCTTTAACAGATTTTCTGTATTGGGTAAACTGAACTCAGTTATTGTATCTTCCTAGTAGTGGACTTAGTTACACATTTGATCGCTACTTTTATGTAATATTCCAGCTGTCATAAGTAGAACTGTGTAATACATTGTGTAGATTTTTATGGTTAAAAAAGTCAGATCTTTTCTGATCTATTAATAGTTTAAGTCAGCCTTGTTTTCTTTAACATTCTTACCGAAGGATTCATGAGTTGAATCTCCAAGATGAAAATGACATAGACTGGAAGGCCATGGCAAGTGATTGGCCCAGGTAGGTCAAATGTTAGAGTATCATTATTAATCAGTACACATGAGTGCCTCAAGGGTTTCAAGTGAAATAGCTAGTAGCCTGATGTTATAAGGCTCTGCCAGGATAAATTCTGACAAGCGACATGGCCCAAAAAGTAGCGACGGCACGTAAAATGAAATCGTGACAAGAGACAACCTCCCTCTGCCAAATTGCTACAGTAACGGCAAAGCCGGCAATAAATGACAAGCATTTTATAAACACCGACACAAGACGTTTTAAAATTCAGACGGGCAACATGGGACCCCATCCCCCCCGCGGCATGGCCTCCGTTATGGCAACAGTTATCATATATGGCTTGACTGGCCAAAGATTAAACAATAAAGCTTATGAGCTCAGAGGTACACACCCAACTTAAACTGGCCTAAGCGAGCAGTACTGGTGGCGTATAGAAACCTAGTACATGTATCTTTGAATTTGGGTAACAAGGAAATCTTAAGTCTTGCACAAAACTTCAATACAGGGAACCCTGTATTGAAAGGGTCAGACCTTTTGGGTACCCCATAATTTCTCTTAGAGCACAGCCTTGCCCAAGAGGGAAGGAATTCAGATACTGCTCAGAAAATTCCCAATGACTCTCCAGTCCAAAGAGTATCCAATAAAATGTTTGGTTTTCCTTTATTTTAGTGTGCGCTCCCCACAATGGCTTAGAAGCAAGTGGTGGGCTTTGAAAAAACATGTTCCTGAAATGGAGGCAACATCTTTTGAAGCCATCTATTCTTATTTGTATGAGACCTATACTGCAACACTGCAGAACAAAATAGATAGACAGGAGGCAAGGTTTAAAGGCAACCATCTTCCTAGTGTGTCAGCTGTTATACCGGCTGGAAGACCAGTTCATATAAATCCAATATCAACAGGAGCCGTCACAAACTCAGGAATTTGTCACACAATAACAGGTACATTAATACACTTGTGATGATGAATATTTTAGCCAGATGCAATCATTCTCTTCACCCTGATTGCAGGTTAAGAATTGTGTGTTCTCTCCTCTCGGCTTGGGATCATTCTAATATTACTAATTACCAGGAACATTATCTATTATACATAAATCCTGCTGTCTGTGTTTCACCATTACACAAGCAACCAACAAATCACTAAATAACAATTGATAAAGTAATAATCGGTAATGTTGAATATTTAATACTAAAATGATCTTGTCATTGTTATAATTTTAGTTATCAGGAAATACCATTAAAAAAATATTATAACAAGACTAGTATTACTTTTGTTTTATGTAACCAAAATCATATGATTTTGTTTCATCTTTAAATTTTAAAATCGACCATTTATTTTGTATTGCAGTTAGTAGTGATGGTTCAGTTACAAGAGATGATACATCTCCCCTCCCCACCGGTCACAGTAGATTTGAAGTAGTACAAGTCAATGCAATACCGACACAAGATATATTCAATAGCCAGTCCAGTGTGCAGGGGGCTCCATCATACATTATCCAAGCTCCTGCAGGACAGACATACATCATACAGCAACCTACAGGAAGTCTGGTAAGACAGACACACAGTGCAGAGCTGGCTACAACATCAGAGGGGATTGGTGGTCAGCATCAGCAGGTAAGGATTGGCACTTTTTATCAAAGTAAGTTGAATAAGATTGCCTGGTGGTTGAAGTCCTGAATAAGACTGTTGTTCACAGTGACTGATGTTTTGACAACCTGTTTGGTAGTAATCTTCAGAGCTCCTTACTTCTACCCTCGAAATGACTACCACACAGGTCAACAAAGATCACCAGTCACTGTCAACAACAGTCCTATTCAGGATTACACCCACCTAGATGATCATATTGCACTTGCTTTTATGACATGACTCCTTGGTTCAAACCATTAATTTTTACTGTGCTGTATCACCGTTGGTTTGTTTGCCAACATTTTTGTCTTTTTCATTCCAGTCAATTCATTTTGGGCTATACATGCTTGTTTTATGATAAAAGGAAATGAATTTATTCTATGAGTATCTTGGATTACTCACTGTGAATGAAACCCTCCAGTGTTATCACAGTCAAAGGCTTAAATCAGGTTGTCAGTTAATATAGACACCATAGTGTCTGTGTTTTCTGAGTGTCTGTATTAAGTGGGCTCTCAGAAAAAACGTCTTGGACACATATTTTATCGATAATAATATGAAGGCTAAAGTAGGCATTTTTACAAGAGAACCTGGCTTAATTTTTTAACTGTAACTTGACAAGTTCATCATATTTTAGTATTGTTCTTGAAACGTGACAGTGGAATCTGTGGCTTTGTATCAACAGTCTGCAGGTGGACTGAATATTAGACAGAAAGCTCTGAGAAGTCATTTGCCGTTTCTGTTAGGTTTTCACTAGGTGTCTGTAGAGCTTGGTTGCACTGTATTGTAGTGTTTCAGTGGTTTTGTAGACACTTAATAAGTTCATTACACTCTCTCTTGACCCTGTTCTTCCAGGAGGTAGTCATGACAACAGCAGTACTTCAGACACATCATGCTGTACAAACCCTCCCTGAAGTTTCACCTGAATTCACACAAGCTATAGTACAGACAGACATTTCTGGTCCCATTACTGCATCAGAACTGACGCACACAGTCATTGATAAGACACAAACTGGTTTACCGCAAAATGAAATAGAGCAGGAAGATGAACCAAGCAGTGTGGAGCAGACAAGTGTGGCTAACAGTACATTAGACGGCAGCCATGGAGGTCTGACTACTGAGCTTCAAGTGGAGGGAGTGGGTGACAAGGAGGTGCAGGCTGTAAAACAGACAGGTGCAGTTATAGTTATTGTTAATAATAGTAATAATGATAATGATATTATTATTATTATTATTATTATTATTATCATTATCTATTATTAATTATTGGGTGGCACTGGTTACCAATATGTATGGAAGGGTGACTAATGAAGAAGTCAGAACCCGCTCTGTACTGAAAAACAGCTGTTACTGCTTTGAACACAATAATTATTCAATTCTTGATAGATTGAACTTTTTATCTGTTAAACTGGGTGCTGATGTAATAAACAATTCTGGTTTCATTCCTTTTTGGTCGGTCAAAATTTGGTACTTTACGCTATAAAGGGGCTTTTTTTACAGAAGGTAAAGCTGATCCAGTAGTGATATACCTCTGATGTGTTTTCCTAACATGCTGCGCAGGTTTATTACCAGTGGCAAATCTGGGGATCTGGGGGGGGGCTTTGAAACTTGAACTATTCTGTGCCGAGTTAGAAGATGCAGGTTAAAACCTGATGAAGACTGGTTGTACCCTGCGAACAGAGTCTCCTTCCATCTTACCTAGGAAAGATCGAAGCGACTCTGCTAGCAGGGTAGACTGGTTGTGGCCAGTCGAAATATTGTGTACCTCAGCCTTTTGCACGTTGTTTGATCAGTCTTTGCAGTAGCGTTTTTGGCTATAATTCTATTTTTATCTTTTTCGACTGATCACGATCTTGTTTGATCCAACGTTGAAGTACAGTGATCGTTCACGGTTTTTGCAATGTAGCTGTGAAACACCGTGCAAGCCCACTGCTCCACCTACCCCCACTGAAAAATCCTGGATCTGCCCCAGCAGACCAGTAGATAATTCAGTGCGTTGATGACAACTTGATAGTGGTGACAAAGTCATATTAGATTTCTCAATTATGCTTTTTTTTTCTTTCTAGGTCCAGCAGCGATCGCTCAAACCTTAGATGGAAAGCATCTCACAGAGACACCAGCTGTACACATGCATCAAGTCAGTTCACAAGACAGAGATGTTGTTGTAAGCCCTGATCCGTTAGAAGACGTTCACGTGACTGTAATCTCCAACATGGAAACGAGTCTGGCAGCTACGTTATCCCCGTCCTCTGGAATAAGTATTTCACAGCAGCACGGGATATCTGCGGCCAGTAATCCCAGTGATTTGTCTGTAAGTGCGATGGTTCCACAAGTAACATTACCGGATGAGATTTTACAGTCGCAGTCAGATGAGCATGGGGATCTGTCTCCCACTGAAACAACAAGCGTGATGATGGTGTCGGAAAATCCAATGACTGTGACATCCACTCTTCCTTCGCAAATCCTTCAACCACAAACTGAAGATAACACGAACTCGTCCCACCCCTCCCGTTCGGCAGGTAGCACTGTCTCTAGTAATTTAAATGTCAGTGTGGCTCTTGCTAATATCGTTGCTGACACAGGTGGGCTAGAGCATTCTGACAATTGGTTGGACTCTTGACGATCGATTGGCTTTTACCATCCCTCACCTACCACCCTTCTTATGTGACAAGCGTGGGGCTCAAATGGAAGAGTACATAATTACAGCGTAGCTCCCCTCGCCTGTTACATTACTTGTCAATAACGGTTCAGGAGAATTTCAAAATGTTGGAGAAGCCCATATGGGCACATAGTACGAAGAGGCGGACGGCTATCTTTGGTCGAGATGCTGGGTAATCATTGAACGAAAGGAGGCACTATCTTGGAAATTTAGTACTTAACTTTACGAGATCGGTATTTTGTCTTCGTCAAAATAGTCCTGAAACGAATCAGAGAGACTCGAGAAGGCTGAAAGTCAGGATATTTGTCATATGAAAATCATGGAAGTCAGTATTTTGCTAGCTTTCGAACTCATTTTTGTTGATGGCCAACTGGGGCTGGAGAGTAACTTTTGTCCCTTGGTCGCACGGGAACGCTTCATTGGCAGGTTGCACACAATTACTTGACCAACAGGTGGTTTGAAAAATATGACATTAAAGAATTGCGAGATAGCGTTGCAAAAGATCAAATGAAGTGCCTTATTGGTGGCGACATATTTTAGTTTTTGCATTGCGAACTGAAAGGACAAATTCTGCATCGTGTACGCAGACATATAAAAGTACGAAACGTTCCTGGTTAATCGTCAGATTTTAGAGAGGATATAACATGACCTTCACTTTTAAAAACAAAACTGCTGAACTTGTTGCAAACTAAAATAAGTTTGCTGTTTTCACCAGTGTCACCCATTTAATAGCTGTGAAGCTAAATCCCTGGACACGTTATCGTGATTATAAACATCCTCCTCGTCGTCTCGTTGTCGTTATCATCATCATTATTACTATTTTTTTGTTATTTTTATCATTTTTAGATCGTAATCAAACAGAAATAGCCTTGACAGATGACTAAAGTAAAGTCACTTGTAAACAGCAAGCGACAGCCTGAAATATAAATCAAACCATGATGCAAATTTTACCCACGCTTTTTGAAGAAAACGAGAAATGAAGGTAACTATACCTGTTTGACTTTTTAAAGAAAACTTTAACATAAGTCCATTTCGCGTAATTTAAAGCATTTGTTATGCCCATTGAAGGACTTAACACAAACATTTCGCCCGAGTGCGGGCTACGCCTTCTGTCAGCAGCACCCACATTGTTCGACCAGTTAAGGTGGCTCGATACAGTTTTTCAGGGTCAATACCTCCCAAGTTTGAGCATAAACTACGTCGCCATAAACAAAGTTTTGGAAAAATTGCCACCACAGTTGCATTAGATAAAGATGAAAATTTGTTATGATCAGGGTTGCAACGGCATCGGAGTTGTCATAGCAACGAAATGACGCTATTACCTATTTTACTTGCAGCAGTATGTCTCGGCACTGGGAACTGTTCTTCCAAAATCGTTCACAGGAGCTTTTTCCTCTAATAGCGGCCTCGGTGTTCGTGAAGTTTAAGTGAAATCTGTAAGGGCGTTATCGAGATATTTTGGGATGAAGTTTTGATGGCTAGAAACACAGTAAAAAATGGACAATATTGTTGTTTGGCCGTTATCTGTAAAAAATAAAGAGCTTTTGACAAGCAATCTCATCGCATGGTTGTTTCAATCTTTTTAAAAACGTGTGTGAAAGATCGTTTAGATAGCTCCAACCGATTGCTAGAAAGAAGGGTTTGATTGATCAGTATGTATCGAAGCGCTCTTGTTAGCGGTTTTGTAAACATTTTGGTCTTCTTTATCAAATTAGCGAATAATTTTTAAACCGCTCGATAGATTTTTTTAAAAGATTAAGATTCTTGAGATTAGCCTTCCTTTTATATGATCTTTTAGTTTCAAGATTATTGATACATTGTACGGCAGTAAAATAACGGCTACAATTCGCTACTTTTTTATCGGAAGTTTCGTCATTACAAGAGAAAGCCTCTCATTATTCAAGGCATTGTCTCCAAGTTTCATTTTCACGTGAACAGCTGTAACTAACAATGCATTTGACATATGCAAAAATGCCAGCTATTGTTGTGCACGAAAATATGAAACTTGGGGACAATACCCTGAATAATGAGAGCCCCACACTTGTAAACACAAAATTTCAGCCAAAATATTAGCGAATTGTAGCCCTTATTTTACTGCCTTACAATATATCAATAATCTTGAAACTAAAAGGTCATATAAAAAGAAGGTTAATCTTAAGAATCTTAAATTTTAAGAAAAATCTATCGACCGGTTAAAAAACTATTTGCGAGTTTGTTAAAGTAGACCAAAATATTGAAAAACCGCTAACAAGAGCGCCTGGATACATACTAATCAAATCTTTCTTTCTAGCAATCGGCTGGAGCTATCTCCATGACCTTTCACACTTGTTTTTAAAAAGATTGAAACTACTATGAGGTGAAATTGCATCTCAAAAGCGCTTCGTTTTCTACAGATAACAGCCGAACATAGAGATTGTCCATTTTTTACCGTATTTCTAACCACAAAATCTTTATCCAAAATATCTCGATAACGCTCTTACAGATTTCGCTTAAACTTCACGAACATCGAGACTGCTATTGGAGGAAAAAGCTTCCATGAATGATTTTGGAAGAACAGTTCTCAGTGCCGATATATACAGCTGTAAGTAAAATAGGTGATAGCGTCATTTCGTTGCTATGACAACTCCGATGTCATTGCAACCCTGATCACAACAAATTTTCATCTTTATCTAGTACAACTGTGGTGGCAATTTTTTCAAAACTTTGTTTATGTCGACGTACTTTATGCTCAAACTTGGGAGTTATTGGCCCTGGAAAACTGTATCGAGCCACCTTAAGGTATCAGCGATTTTATCCTTGTCCGATCGCTACAAAATGTCCACCAGTGATTGACTATGAATTGAAGTTTGTCGAATTGTTGTTTTTAGTAAAAATCGATATCACTATGACAACAATAGACAAAAAAAACTTTGAAATCGATAAAATCCGAATTTTGGGCGATCTGGACCTGCTACTGAAAATCCGACACCAGGAACTTTAAGTGTGGTGTAGTAACAAATAACCTCCGTGAGAAGTAAAAACCTGATATTTTCAATAGCCATGATAAAGCGTTTAATAAAATAGTTCTGAATAACTCACATTAATCTTAAGTAGCGTCAGAAGGCTGCTTAGTATCATTTTTCAATGCTAGGAAATTTTGGTGTATTTTCTTTCTTGCGATCCTGAAAACTAACCTGTTCCCTCACCACCTGTCTAAGTGCAACTTTATTCTAAATTTTGACTTTTAGCGCTTTTCTGTATTATCTCTAAAACAGCTCGACAGAATTCTTTTTAACTCTCATGATGGCATTTTCATGATGTTTATAACAATGTCTAAACCTTTCTTTAAGATTGATTCACTTTAACACCTTTAAATTTTAACAGAAACCTAACCTAAGAACCGGCCAAAGCACCGCGTTACAACATTCACTGTTTTGACGTTATGCTAATTTTTCCACATCGATGCCCATCACACATACATACCTCCATGGCTAGTACATTTTAGTATGAATTTTATTGCATATTTTGATTGAAAACATAGACAATATTCACATATTATACCGTAACACAGCAAGCGCTATATCTACAGAACTTGTTACATTCTAAAATGGTTGTTTATCACATACTGTGTGAATTGTTTCGTCCCCAATGCCAAAAAAGCTACTACTTCTAGTGCGTAGAATAATTATTTATTCCGAGCGAAGCGAGGCGCCGCAGACTCGTGTGGTTTATAATCTCGTAGCGCCCCAAGTACGTGTACCGCGCGCGCTGTTAGCGACCTGCAAAGTCGGCCGGCTCATCTATACTTGTATACAGCTATTTCGAGAAGGATTGTCGGAAAAAATGTGCACGCGACAATCCCGAAAGATAATATGGGATTTGGTCAAGACGTTTTTCCTGACACTTTAGCTGTCGAACCTACTTTTGCTGCTTTCCTTTAGCACTCGCAAACATACGTCCATGGTCTCTCCTGTCATTCTTTTAAATTTCTTTGAAAAACAGTGAACTCAAAACCACCCACAATACCTTTCGGGGTTGTCGCGTGCACTTTATGCGACAACCTTTATCGAAATAGCTGTATATTGCCATGGTGTCCACCATGCGAATAAATCCCTTATTGACCAAGCTTGTTTGATCAAGGTGGCTTTAATTGGCCTTGTTCTTTTTTGCGTTTTTATAGACCTCTCTTCATCAATAAAAACGGAAAAAAGAACTTGGCCAATATCCAGTCATCTTGGCTTCACGCTTGGTCAATAACGCATATTCACCGATTTCAATAGAGGTTGCTTTGGGAATCTTGCTTTCGTCTTTGAAAGCCATTGTTTGGTGATCACTCAAGCAAAGCATTGCATTGTATTGTACTCTGTGTTTCAATGACCAAATCCCAAAACAACTTTTATTGAAATAGGTGTATACAGAAGCTATATTCGTGTTCTTACAAGATATTGTCAAAATTGTTTTGCATTATTACCTTAAATATGACTCTCTGCCTTCAGTCTAGTAAAGAACATCTGCATGAAACTAGTTTTATGGTTTCATATCTTACCCGTAAATGGTCTAAAAGGCGCGCCTCCTGTCTATAACAAACGCCCACTGTCTGATAGAAGCCCCGCATAAAAATTGCTCCACCTTCTTATAAATGCAAAAGTATTTTTAAAATTAGTTTCATCATCCGGAACTAAAAACTGTATACATGTATTCCTTAGTGGCGGTTTAATAAACTACTGCGTAAGTATTAATCTTGATCTTCATCCCTGCATATGTTTGTCTAACCCGTTTTAGGTTTTTAAAAAGAGTGAATATTTTACAGAACAACAACCTTGCATTCGCCTACACTCCCAGCAAGTACGGCTATGTTTCCATCTTTGGTCAACGCAATCTTTGGAGGAACACATTCTCTCTGCTCTTTTTTGGTCATCTGTTCTCCACCCTGGTAAATGTTGTGCACGCAGGCGCCACTTTTATCGTAGATTGATATATTCACAAAAAATCCCGGTTCTAGGCTGGAGATGACAACATGTTCACTCTTCGAATGAAACGCTAAAGCGTTGGAAGGAGAGTCGCCCTTGTGATAGAAATCACGTTCTGGAAGGTGTTTTCCGTCTTTATCGAATGTTACTACATGTCCATCTCTATTTAATACCATTAAAAGACCTCCACTAGCAACGGTCATGTCCATTGGTTCCATTAGAATATCTTGTCCAAAGCCCTTGTGGTTTATAGACTTTCCATCACTCCTGTACGCATAAACTGTGGAATGTTTTGAATCATTGTTTTGGTTTTCTATCACAACAAAAAGCTCATTGCTGTCATTTATGACTGGTGAGCAGCTAACAAGACCTTCCTCTAGTGGAAACCTCTTCAGCAGTTTCCCGTCTTTGTCGAACAAGTCTACTTTATGGTGATACTTGTCTATCTTAGTCAGTACGAATATATTGTCTTCACGGTCAGTAACCACGCTACATATTTCTTCATCGACCTGATGGCGGGGAAGAGGAGAAAAAGACTTCACGAACCTCCCGCTATTATTGAACACTTTGATGCAGCGATCGCCGTTGTCCGCCACAATGAAATGTCCATGGTGGTCTGTAGTAACATCTTGTGGTGAAATAAGCTTTGTGTCAGGCTCCTCGGCTCCAAATGACCATGCTACAGTCACTTCAGTAACGTTTGACAGAACGTCTTTTTTCCTGCTTTTACTACAAAGCACTTTAGTCACTCTAACATCTCTTAGTGGATCCAGTCGGTAAATAATTGTGTCGTCTTTGCGGATGATGATAGGAGGCCAACTCCAAAAACCCTCCTTTTCCGAAACCCGATGGATAACATCGAAGAGCAGACGATTTAAGTAGCAGACATCCCGCACAATTTCTTTATCGAAAGATCCTTTACCTGTTACCAGTGAACAAAAGGAATCCTGGATTTGTTGCAAGGAATACAAGTCGTTGAGATATGATTTGCATGAAGGTAATGCAATGGCGGGGTCATCCATATGCTTCAGTATTTTTGCCATGATGCAAATAGACATGGCGTGAACACGCTGAGTCGCTTTTAGTGAAGGATTGCTGAAAGCCTTGCTTGCTTCTGTCGAGGCATTGCCGAAAGCCTCTTTTGCCTCGTCAACTAATTTGCGATCTTTTTCATCCAAGTCGGTTACTTTGAGCGATTTCAAATTGCCAGTCATGGAGTCCACAATATCTACTACTGTGTTCACGGCGTAGAACGTCGACTTCCCAGAGACTGTCACTGTTGCAGCGGGAGTTTCGTCCTCTCCAATCTTTCCAATTTTGTTTAAAACTTCGTTAACGATAGTTAGGCCTTCCTTGTAGGAGACTCTACTTGCACCCAGTTCCTTTCGTGAAATTTGGTCAAGTTTCAACTCCAACTGGTCTGTTTCAGTCAAAAAAAGCTGAAGAAAGCTTCCGTCTGCAATAGATTCGCCTTCTTTGAGCTTTTTTAACAACTCTTTTCGCTGCATTCTCCAGACTACATCAGCTCCAAATTTAAGAGCCAAAACTGCACAAGATATCAGATCCATACTGCAGTGAACGTTTTCTTCGCAGCTTAAACAACCATAGACCTGCAAAATGCACCTGAAGTATCTACAATCCAGAAGGCTGTAAAAACCTTGAATATGTCAGGAACACAAGCAAGCCACAAAACCACAAATTGTACTATCGCTCCCGCCCAGACGAACAAACAATTCCAAGGCCCGTCCCTGTATGACATCTATATGACTTTGACTCGACTCGACAGCCAATAAAATTAATCAGATTTGGCCGTATTTGCTACTGTTTACAATTGAGTTATTGTTTTTCCTGAGACATCTTTTCTTTTCCGACACTGTCTCCATGGTAACTTCATTTTTTTAGTTAGCGTTCTTTACAAAAATAGTTAGCATTCTTTACAACGCCTTTTGTACGTAGGTTATTCACCCTTTTAACGCTAATAGATTTGTTTTATTATAACACTAGACTACTGAGCTAACACTATGGATTCTGTAGCTTTAATCGATAGTTCAGTTAAACTGTTCGTGGATAGAGACCCAATGGAAGCAAGGCAAATGAGAGAAAGTGATCTCCGCCGCGACCTGCTCGACGTTAAAGCAAAGTTGGAGGCACTTGCGAATTCTACTTTATTATCAAGTTTTACATTTTACAGAGAAGGAATCCGTCGCCTTCTTAAACTCAAGAAAAATTCTAATGAAGGCGACAGGGAAAGTGCTGACAGACAAACAGAAGTCCGTTCGACAAGCATGTATCAGGTCTGCAAAGACTTGAGACTACATTGTTTAGACGATTCAGACAAAAGAGCACTGACGGCTGCAAAGGATGATTTCAAACAAGCCCGTATCATGGCTGTAAAAGCTTTCAACAACGAAGGCCTTCCAATATTGGATCGCATCCAAGCAATGGTTATTCGTGTCGCGTCGACCATGCTAGAGAACGTTGACCATCCTGAGGATGCGTTGAATGTGTGTATTGGCTGTCTTGAAGACCTTCACGGTCTCAAGTATGTGAGGGAAACTTTTAATCAAGTTGTTTATAAAGGCCTTAACAAAGTTTCTTTTAAAAGGGGGGTTCAAAGGCAAGTAATTGCTTCCGTCTGTCGAATAAATCATTTTATTCGCAATGCTGCACAGACGATCGCCAAGGAAGGGGAATTGTTGGTTTTTCCCTTGATTGAAGTGGAAAAGGGAAAAATAGACCCCTTGTCCGACTCCCGAGTGGCTAAGGAAGTTCCGCACGTTTCCCTAACGCCATCGACCCTTAATGAAGAAGATAAAAAGAATAAACCGAACATACCACAAGGCATTGCTGTTAATTCTCAGGGACACTGTATGGTTGGAGACGAATGGGATCTAACCGTTAAAGAATATGATGCGAATGGCTTGTTTGTTCGTAAACTTTCCTTAACGCCCTGGCAAAAAGACTCGGTTGCGAGCATTGTGGATGTTGCTACTGATACCAAAGACAATGTGTATGTATTGTTTGAACTGGGAGAAAACTCAACAACTGCGCACTTCAAGATTTTTGTGTTTGATAAAGGAAGCTCACACACGAGACGCGACATATTATTGAAAGAAAAAACAGCAGAGGTTTCTAGAATGTCAATAAACAATAACAATGAAATCTTCATATTGGCAAAGAGTTCTTCTGGGATTGCCGTTGATGTCTATGATTCGTCGGATGGCCATTTTAAGACTAGTTTCGGGGAAAAAATATTAAACTCAGGAGCTGAAGACATTTGTGCAACCAACGACGGAAGAGTGATTGTTTTAGATAAAGATGATAAATGGGCTATATCAGCTCATATGTTTCGTTCAGACGGACATTACATTGACGATCTCTTAAAGTCAGTAGAGAAAAAGAGAAAGCGCGTCTCCATCGTCACTAAACACGAGTTAAGGTCCTCCATAGCCTGTCATCAAGTGAGCAATAATTTAGTAATAGCTCTTCCAAGTCAACCTTGTGACAAAGGAAAAGAGTGGAATCCCGTGCGAATCCTGAGATACGACATGAGCGATGGAGGGCTGCTCCCCAGCATCTTCCTACATGATGTAAAAGGTTTTGTTTCTATTCGAGGCGTTGCTGTTACTCTTCAAGGACGCATTGCCGTAGGTTTACTTGACAAAGACGGAGGTGATAGTAAGATATTTGTCGTATAAATGTTTAAGCTTACTATGATTTTGCAGGAGTAGCCTGTTCCACGCTTCAGATAGTAAGGATGACGCGTAACGCGTAATAGTCAAAAAAGGCGAAAATATGAGCGCGTGATCCTTTCTCTCCCCAGTTTCCTCCCGTTTTGTTTTCATGTTCGCCTTTCTCAATTTCGCGAACCCGACTATCTAGGAGCCTGAAACAGGTTAACACAGAGCGTACTCATGTGTAATGTCTCGTTACATACGCTGGTGTCCAGAAACTACAACTTGAAATATACAACTGACTATAGGTTGTAGTTATTTCTATCTGACAAGTGATTCATGAACACTATAAATTTGGGAAATAATCAAAACATAAGACAATATAGAAATGTTGCAGAATGTTGATAAATCCCGACTCAACTAGGAGTTTCAATTTGAAAGTAAGTGCTGGTGTCAGAGCTGGAAGGCAATGAGGAGAATACAGTTTGAAAATAAAAAAATGTGAAGAAAATGAAAACTAACCCCGGAATTAGGGTAGGTGAGCCTTTTTAAAAGAAAAATATGTTATTTCCGAGTATTTGTGATGTATAAAAGGGGCAAGCCCTTCGACAAAATTTTTAACCTGCATAACACGCGCTTTATGATCCAAGCGAGAAGCTCTACTCCCTCGTCTCGCGCTTTGCGCGAAATGCCGCTTTTGTTTCGCTTGACTCATGAGGCGCCTGTTATGCAGGCTAGTAAATTTCCAGAGTGCAAGCAGACGATAAACGAGGCCTGGGTTTTTAGTAATTGCTTGTTTACATTTTTTAGATCTCTTTATTTGCCTGTGAAAATAATTTCTTCGAGGTCACAAACGGTTAAGTGATGACAAGATATTGATGAACACTTTCACAAGCAAATAAAGACATCTAGAAAATTAAAAAGCAATTAGTAAACACTCACCTCGTTTATAATCTGCTTGCACTCTGGAAATTTACTCCAAGACCACTGTAAACAGCGTGTAGTAGTGAAAGGAGAGGCTTCTGATTGGCTAACCGTAACCTTTGGTATCCTACAAGGTTCTTTATTGGGACCATTATTCTTCATAGTATACATCCATGATTTACTGGGGGTAATTAGTAAGGACAGTTCAGTCAATCTGCCTACTTTTAAGAAGTGACATAGATAAAATATCAGAATGGTGTAAGATGAATAAGATGACAATTAATATTAAGAAATGTAAGATCATGCGAATCGACCGAATAACCAGGAAAAAGAAACCTTTAGCTAAATGGGGAATATAATATAAAAGATCAACCTTTGGAAAGTGTTGATGTGCATAACGATTTAGGATTGTTTACTCGGTTGCTAGTGATCTCTTAAGGAACCAACATGTAGTTAGAATAACTGCTAAGGCTAATATGGTTTTAGGGTTCAATAGGAGGTTCATTAGAGATGTTACATTTTTGTTCAATGTAATTAATGGACGTTATGATATAGACATTAAAAAAAGCTCATATTTTGTAAGGACTGAAACACAGTTTATAATTTGAGGAAAAATGACACACAGGACATTGCTCCCAACTTTTATAGCATTTTTTAACCGTATTGTTCAGAATGAGTGTGGGGTATCCCTAGTATGGTGCATTAGTACTTTTGGTTGTCTCCTTCTCCTCAACTTTTCTTTAAAGTAGCGATTAATTTAATTCTGTTTATTATCTGTTTGTAATTTAGTGGAGTGAATCTGTAATAAATAAATAAATAAATTCATGGTTTTGGGGGACGCTGTCGCAAAACTACAGACGTTTGAATGGATCTTTAACCATGTTTAACAGGGGCGTAGCCAGCTTTTTGACTTGTTGTAGGCCAGTCCCTAAGGTGACCCGCTAATACACTAGACAGATCAGACCCCCAAGACTGTTAATTGTTTGTGTAGTTGAATCTGGAGTATGTATCTAAACTTCAAGGATTCAAGGTATTGATCTCAGTACCACAATAAAAAAGCGCCTTCCTATAACGATACTTGTTACAGTCAATCCGAGTAGCTAAAATCGTCCTTTTTCCGGATGCTGCAAAATCGTCAACAATGTCTTCCGCAGTAAATGATACATCCAACATCGTTTACATCATGCTTGTGGATATGCATAAGAGCAAGTCCACTCAAGCGATCTTCTTTCATCGTGGACCTTAGATAGGTTTCAAGTCTTCTCAGTGCGCTGAGAGAGCTCTGTGCGGTTGATGCAGTGATTTGTAGAGCTAAAAGTGCTGTAAATGCCCTGGATATATAAATTTGGGAACTCTCGTGGTGACAAGCTCAATCTGCATTTAACTGGGTTCCCACGGCAAATTCAGAGCTTTTACTGTTCAAGTTTTTTGCATCCCGAACTTGTTAAAAGTACTATTTTAACAAAAGATTTCAATCGAAAATTTCTGTTTCATTTTTGGCACTTTTCAATCTAGCTGGAGCCTCAACGAGGATTAAAAGAAGGAAAAAAACTGGAGTAATTGCATGTCTACATTCCGACGCAGTCAGCCTGTAAATCCAAGTTGTTCTATCTGTTAGGTTTTGCGAAAGACTGATTGAATTTATTTGTAGCGAATAGTTTAAGCACTAACACCCTCCTTTATATTTCTAAAGATTATCCGTAGGACTTACCTTTCGTTTGTTTTGTTGAAGAGACTTTTGATATTTCGCCTTTGAGATGCCATGACACTGAAAATGCTGGCTAGTTTTCTAACTGTCATGTAGAAGGTAACCGCTGTTTATCAGCATTTTTTGACATTGCTCGTAAGATTCTGAAAAGCGTGCTAACTTGGTTCCGGCTTTAACGCTAGGAGATGATTTAATCTTGCTGCTTCTTTGTTATTTACAGACTCGAAAGTATTTCGTAAGAAATTTTAAGTGTCTTCGAAAATTTACAAGTCATACTACCGTGAAAAGTCAGGCAGACCTGGCCTACGGGCCTACAGGCTGGCTACGCTCCTGTTTACGAGAAGAAGTCATTACGTGATCCCTGTTCAACCTTAGAGCACCAAACTTGGTCAAGTAACCAATCACAACATGACCTTTTATATGGTGGTGTCAGTGTATCGATTAGTTTAAATTTGAAACTCGCCCCAGTTCCCTACGCAACTCCGAAATGGCCTATATACATTTTGAAGCTTCTTTCTACAGCTATTTTGAGAAAGGTTGTTGGAAAAAGTGCACGGGACAATCCCGAAAGGTATTGTGGGTGGTTTTGAGTTTACTGTCTTCAAAGTAATTTGAAATAATGGCATGTCGGAGGCCAGAGACATATGTTTGCGACTGTTAAAAGGAAAGCAACAAAAGTGGGTTCGACAACTAAAGTCATTAGGGTTAGGAACAGTGATGATCGTATCCCATAATTACTTTTCGGAATGGTCGTGTGCACATTTTTTCTGACAACCTTTCTCGAAATAGCTATATGTCGAGACGAATTGGACCCCGTCAACAAGTGAATTAGTACTTATTAGGACAATTTTGCCAGTGAAGCAGTTATTGAAGAAGACTGGCGATAAAATTTTCCCATGAAACGAAGATCCTTCGCAAATCCTTCAACCACAAACTGAAGATAACACGAACTCGTTCCACCCCTCCCGTTCGGCAGGTAGCACTGTCTCTAGTAATTTAAATGTCAGTGTGGCTCTTGCTAATATCGTTGCTGACACAGGTGGGCTAGAGCATTCTGACAATTGGTTGGACTCTTGACGATCGATTGGCTTTTACCACCCCTCACCTATCACCCTTCTTATGTGACAAGCGTGGGGCTCAAATGGAAGAGTACATAATTACAGCGTAGCCGCCCTCGCCTGTTACATTACTTGTCAATAACGGTTCAGGAGAATTTCAAAATGTTGGAGAAGCCCATATGGGCACATAGTACGAAGAGGCGGACGGCTATCTTTGGTCGAGATACTGGGTAATCATCGAACGAAAGGAGGCACTATCTTGGAAATTTAGTACTTAACTTTACGAGATTGGTATTTTGTATTCGTCAAAATAGTCCTGAAACCGCTGAATTAGAGAGACTCGAGGAGAAGGCTGAAAGTCAGGATATTTGTCATATGAAAATCATGGAAGTCAGTATCATTTTTGTTGATGGCGAACTTGGGTTGGAGAGTAACTTTTGTTCCTTGGTCGCACGGGAACACTTCATTTGCAGGTTGCACACAATTACTTGACCATCTGGTGGTCTGAAAAATATGACATTAAAGAATTGCGAGATAGCGTTGCAAAAGATCAAATAAAGTGCCTTATTGGTGGCGACATATTTTAGTTTTTGCATTGCGAACTGAAAGGACAAATTCTGCATCGTGTACGCAGACATATAAAAGTAAGAAACATTCCTGGTTAATCGTCAGACTTTAGAGAGGATCTAACATGACCTTGACTTTTAAAAATAAAACTGTTGAACTTGTTGCGAACTAAAATAAGTTTGCTGTTTTCACCAGTGTCACCCATTTAATAGCTGTGAAGCTAAATGCCTGGACACTTGAATAAAGTTATCATTATTATAATCATCCTCGTCGTCGTCTCGTTGTCGTTATCATCATCATTATTACTATTTTTTGTTATTTTTATCATTTTTAGATCGTAATCAAACAGAGATAGCCTTGACAAATGACAAAAGTAAAGTCAGTTGTAAACAGCAAGCGACAGCCTGAGATAAATCAAACAATGAGACAAATCTTACCTAGGCTGTTTGAAGAAAATGAGAAATGAAGGTAACTATACCTGTTTGACTTTTTAAAGAAAACTTTAACATAAGTCCATTTCGTGTAATTTAAAGCATTTTTTATGCTCATTGAAGGACTTAACATAAACATTTCGCCCGAGTGAGGGCTACGCCTCCTGTCAGCAGCACCCACATTGTTCGACCAGTTAAGGTATCAGCGACTTTATCCTTGTCTGATCGCTACAAAATGTCTACCAGTGATTGACTATGAATTGAAGTTTGTCGAATTGTTGTTTTTAGTAAAAATCGATATCACTATGACAACAATAAACAAAAAAACTTTGAAATCGATAAAATCCGAATTTTGCACGATCTGGACCTGCTACTGAAAATCCGACACCAGGAACTTTAAGTGTGGTGTAGTAACAAATAACCTCCGTGAGAAGTAAAAGCCTGATATTTTCAATAGCCATGATAAAGCGTTTAATAAAATAGTTCTGAATAACTCACATTAATCTTAAGTAGCGTCAGAAGGCTGCTTAATATCATTTTTCGATGCTAGGAAATTTTGGTGTATTTTCTTTCTTGCGATCCTGAAAACTAACCTGTTTCCTCACCACCTGTCTAAGTGCAACTTTATTCTAAATTTTGACTTTTAGCGCTTTTCTGTATTATCTCTAAAACAGCTCGACAGAATTCTTTTTTACTCTCATGATGGCATTTTCATGATGTTTATAACAATGTCTAAACCTTTCTTTAAGATTGATTCACTTTAACACCTTTAAATTTTAACAGAAACCTAACCTAAGAACCGGCCAAAGCACCGCGTTACAACATTCACTGTTTTGACGTTATGCTAATTTTTCCACATCGATGCCCATCACACATACATACCTCCATGGCTAGTACATTTTAGTATGAATTTTATTGCATATTTTGATTGAAAACATAGACAATATTCACATATTATACCGTAACACAGCAAGCGCTATATCTACAGAACTTGTTACATTCTAACATGGTTGTTTATCACATACTGTGTGAATTGTTTCGTCCCCAACGCCAAAAAAGCTACCACTTCTAGTGCGTAGAATAATTATTTATTCCAAGCGAAGCGAGGCGCCGCAGACTCGTGTGGTTTATAATCTCGTAGCGCGCCAAGCACGTGTACCGCGCGCGGTGTTAGCGACCTACAAAGTCGGCCGGCCCATTCATACTTGTATACAGCTATTTCGAGAAAGATTGTCGGAAAAAATGTACACGCGACAATCCCGAAAGGTAATATGGGATTTGGTCAAGACGTTTTTCCTGACACTTTAGCTGTCGAACCTACTTTTGCTTCTTTCCTTTAGCACTCGCAAACATACGTCCATGGTCTCTCCTGTCATTCTTTTAAATTTCTTTGAAAAACAGTGAACTCAAAACCACCCACAATACCTTTCGGGGTTGTCGCGTGACTTTATGCGACAACCTTTAACGAAATAGCTGTATATCGCGATGGAGTCCACCATGGGAATAAATCCTTTATTCACCAAGCTTGTTCGGTCAAGGTGGCTTTAATTGGCCTTGTTCTTTTTTGCTTTTTTATCGACCTCTCTTCATCAATAAAAACGCAAAAAAGAACTTGGCTAACATCCAGTCATCTTGGCCTCACGCTTGGTCAATAACGCATATACACCTACATGTATGTCAATAAAGATTGCTTTGGAAATCTTGCTTTGGTCTTTGAAAGTCATTGTTTGGTGGTCACTCAAGCAAAGCATTGCATTGTATTATATTCTGTGTTTCAATGACCAAATCCCAAAACAACGTTTATTGAAATGGGTGCATACAGAAGCTATATTCGTGTTCTTATAAGATATTGTCAAAATTGCTTTGCATTATTACCTTAAATATGACTCTCTGCCTTCAGTCTAGTAAAGAACATCTGCATGAAGCTAGTTTTATGGTTTCATATCTTACCCGTAAATGGTCTAAAAGGCGCCCCTCCTGTCTATAACAAACGCCTACTGTCTGATAGAAGCCCTGCATAAAAATTGCTCCACCTTCTTATAAATGCAAATGTATTTTTTAAATTAGTTTCATCATCCGGAACTAAGAACTGTATACATGTATTCCTTAGTAGCGGTTTAATAAACAACTGCGTAAGTATTAGTCTTGATCTTCATCCCTGAAAATGTTTGTCTAACCTGTTTTGGGTTTTTAAAAAGAGTGAATATTTTACAGAACAACAACCGTGCATTCGCCTACACTCCCAGCAAGTACGGCTATGTTTCCATCTTTGGTCAACGCAATCTTTGGAGGAACACATTCTCTCTGCTCTTTTTTAGTCATCTGCTCTCCACCCTGGTAAATGTTGTGCACGCAGGCGCGACGTTTATCGTAGATTGATATATTCACAAAAAATCCCGGTTCTAGGCTGGAGATGACAACATGTTCACTCTCCGAATGAAACGCTAAGGCGTTGGCAGGAGAGTCGCCCTTGTGATAGAAATCACGTTCTGGAAGGTGTTTTCCGTCTTTATCGAATGTTACCACATGTCCATTTCTGTTTAATACCATTAAAAGACCTCCACTAGCAACGGTCATGTCCGTTGGTTCCACTAGAATATCTTGTCCAAAGCCCTTGTGGATTATAGACTTTCCATCACTCCTGTACGCATAAACTGTGGAATGTTTTGAATCATTCTTTTGGTTTTCTATCACGACAAAAAGCTCATTGCTGTCGTTTATGACTGGTGGGCAATATACAAGACCTTCCTCTAGTGGAAATCTCTTCAGAAGTTTACCGTCTTTGTCGAACAAGTCTACTTTATGGTGATATTTGTCTATCTTAGTCAGTACGAATATATTGTCTTCACGGTCAGTAACCACGCTACATATTTCTTCATCGACCTGATGGCGGGGAAGAGGAGAAAAAGACTTCACATACTTCCCGCTATTATTGAACACTTTGATGCAGCGATCGCCGTTGTCCGCCACAATGAAATGTCCATGGTGGTCTGTAGTAACATCTTGTGGTGAAATAAGCTTTGTGTCAGGCTCCTCGGCTCCAAATGACCATGCTACAGTCACTTCAGCAACGTTTGACAGAACGTCTTTTTTCCTGCTCTTACTGCAAAGCGCTTTAGTCACTCTAACATCTCTTAGTGGATCCAGTCGGTAAATAATTTTGTCGTCTTTGCGGATGATGATAGGAGGCCAACTCCAAAAAACTTCCTTTTCCGAAACCCGGTGGATAACATCGAAGAGGAGACGATTTAAGTAGCAGACATCCCGCACAATTTCTTTATCGAAAGATCCTTTACCTGTTACTAGTGAACAAAAGGAATCCTGGATTTGTTGCAAGGAATACAAGTCGTTGAGATATGATTTGCATGATGGTAATGCAATGGAGGGGTCATCCATATGCTTCAGTATTTTTGTCATGATGCAAATAGACATGGCTTGAACACGCAGAGTCGCTTTTAGTGAAGGATTGCTGAAAGCTTCTTTTGCTTCTCTCGACGCATTGCCGAAAGCCTCTTTTGCCTCAGTAACTAACTTGCCAGCTCTTTCATCCAAGTCAGTTACTTTGAGCGATTTCAAATTGCCAGTCATGGAATCCACAATATCTACTACTGTGTTCACGGCGTAGAACGTCGACTTCCCAGAGACTGTCACTGTTGCACTGTGAGTTTCGTCCTCTACAATCTTTCCAATTTTGTTTAAAACTACGTTAACGATAGTAAGGCCTTCCTTGAAGGAAACTCTACTTGCACTTAGTTCCTTTCGTGAAATTTGGTCAAGTTTCAACTCCAACTCGTCTGTTTCAGCAAAAAATAGGCGACGAAAGTTTCCGTCTCCAATAGATTCGTCTTCTTTGAGCTTTTTTAACACCTCTTTTCGCGCTATTTTCCAGACTACATGAGCTCCACATTTAAAAGCCAAAACTGCAAAAAATATCAGATCCATACTGAAAGTTTTCTTCGCAGTAAACAACGACAGACCTGCGAAATGCACCTGAAGTATCTAGTGAACCCAGGAGACAGTAAAATCCTTGAATATGTCAGGAATATTTATTGTGTTGTGACCAACCACAACACGAGCAAGCCACAAAACCACAAATTGTACTATTACTCTAGCCCTGACAAACAAACAATTCCAAGGTCCGTCCTTAGTGACTTTGACTCGACTCGACAGCCAATAAAATTATTCGGATTTGGCCGTATTTGCTACTGTTTTCAACTGAGTTATTGTCTTTTTTCTGAGACATCTTTTCTTTTCCGACACTGGCTCCATGGTAACTTCATTTTTTAAAAATAGTTAAGTAATACATCAAACATGAGATGCAGTGTTTCATCACCAGATGAAACACGGAGAAGAGAGTTGAAAATACGACGCGCAGCGGAGTATTTTTGACTAACTTCGAGGTGTTTCATCTGGTGATGAAACACTGTGTCGAATGTTTGATATTTCTTCTCAAACAAAATCATTTTTGAAGGATAAATTAAGGATGCAAAAATGAGAAGTTTTTCATCTGATATCCATTCACTCATTAAACATTAATTTCCTTTGAATTTTCTTTATGAATTATTAATGAGTTTGAGAACATTCTTTACAACGCCTTTTGTTCATGTGTTATTCACGCTCATCAAAATTTGTTTTTAATTATTATAAACGCAAGACTACTGAGCTAACACTATGGATTCTGTAGCCTTAATCGATAGTTCAGTTAAACTGTTCGTGAATAGAGACCCAATGGAAAAAAAGCACATGAGAGAAAGTGATCTCCGCCGCGACATGCTCGACGTTAAAGCAAAGTTGGAGGCACTTGCGAATTCTACTTTATTGTCAAGTTTTACATTTTACAGAGAAGGAATCCGTCGCCTTCTTAAACTCAAGAAAAATTCTTATGAAGGTGACAGGGAAAGTGCTGACAGACAAACAGAAGTGCGCTCGACAAGCATGTATCAGGTCTGCAACGACTTGAGACTACATTGTTTAGACGATGCAGACAAAAGAGCACTGGCGGCTGCAAAGGATGATTTCAAACAAGCCCGTATCAAGGCTGTAGAAGCTTTCAGCAATGAAGGCGTTGAAATATTGGATCGCATGCAAGCAATGGTTATTCGTGTCGCGTCGACCATGCTAGAGAACGTTGACCATCCTGAGGATGCGTTGAATGTGTGTATTGGCTGTCTTGAAGACCTTCACGGTCTCAAGTATGTGAGGGAGACTTTTAATCAAGTTGTTTATAAAGGCCTTAACAAAGTTTCTTTTAAAAGGGGGGTTCAAAAGCAAGTAATTGCTTCCGTCTGTCGAATAAATCATTTTATTCGCAATGCTGCACTGGCGATCGCCAAGGAAGGGGAATTGTTGGTTTTTCCCTTGATTGAAGTGGAAAACGAAAAAATAGATCCATTGTCCGACTCCCGAGTGGCTAAGGAAGTGCCGCACGTTTCTCTAACGCCATCGACCCTTAATGAAGAAGATAAAAAGAATAAACCGAACATACCACAAGGCATTGCTGTTAATTCTCAGGGACACTGTATGGTTGGAGACGAATGGGATCTAACCGTTAAAGAATATGATGCGAATGGCTTGTTTGTTCGTAAACTTTCCTTAACGCCCTGGCAAAAAGACTCGGTTGCGAGCATTGTGGATGTTGCTACTGATACCAAAGATAATGTGTATGTATTGTTTGAACTGGGAGAAAACTCAACAACTGCGCACTTCAAGATTTTTGTGTTTGATAAAGGAAGCTCACACACGAGACGCGACATATTATTGAAAGAAAAAACAGCAGAGGTTTCTAGAATGTCAATAAACAATAACAATGAAATCTTCATATTGGCAAAGAGTTCTTCGGGGATTGCCGTTGATGTCTATGATTCGTCGGATGGCCATTTTAAGACTAGTTTCGGGGAAAAAATATTAAACTCAGGAGCTGAAGACATTTGTGCAACCAACGACGGAAGAGTGATTGTTTTAGATAAAGATGATAAATGGGCTTTATCAGCTCATATGTTTCGTTCAGACGGACATTACATTGACGATCTCTTAAAGTCAGTAGAGAAAAAGAGAAAGCGCGTCTCCATCGTCACTAAACACGAGTTAAGGTCCTCCATAGCCTGTCATCAAGTGAGCAATAATTTAGTAATAGCTCTTCCAAGTCAACCTTGTGACAAAGGAAAAGAGTGGAATCCCGTGCGAATCCTGAGATACGACATGAGCGATGGAGGGCTGCTCCCCAGCATCTTCCTACATGATGTAAAAGGTTTTGTTTCTATTCGAGGCGTTGCAGTTACTCTTCAAGGACGCATTGCCGTAGGTTTACTTGACAAAGACGGAGGTGACAGTAAGATATTCTTCGTATAAATGTTTAAGCTTACTATGATTTTGCAGGAGTAGCCTGTTCCATGCTTCAGATAGTAAGGATGACGCGTAATAGTAAGAAGAAGGCGAAAATATGAGCGCGTGATCCTTTCTCTCCCCAGTTTCCTCCCGTTTTGTTTTCATGTTCGCCTTTCTCAATTTCGCGAACCCGACTATCTAGGAGCCTGAAACAGGTTAACACAGAGCGTACTCATGTGTAATGTCTCGTTACAAACGCTGGTGTCCAGAAACTACAACTTGAAATATACAACTGACTATAGGTTGTAGTTATTTCTATCTGACAAGTGATTCATGAACACTATAAATTTGCGAAATAATCAAAACATAAGACAATATAGAAATGTTGCAGAATGTTGATAAATCCCGACTCAACTAGGAGTTTCAATTTGAAAGTAAGTGCTGGCGTCAGAGCTGGAAGGCAATGAGGAGAATACAGTTTGAAAATAAAAAAATGTGAAGAAAATGAAAATTAACCCCCGGAATTAGGGTAGGTGAGCCTTTTTAAAAGAAAAATATGTTATTTCCGAGTATTTGTGATGTATAAAAGGGGCAAGCTCTTCGAGAAAATTTTTAACCTGCATAACACGCGCTTTATGAGCCAAGCGAGAAGCTCTACTCCCTCGTCTCGCGCTTTGCGCGAAATGCCGCTTTTGTTTCGCTTGAGTCATGAGGCGCCTGTTATGCAGGCTAGTAAATTTTCAGAGTGCAAGCAGATGATAAACGAGGCCTGAGTGTTTAGTAATTGCTTGTTTACATTTTTTAGATCTCTTTATTTGCCTGTGAAAATAATTTCTTCGAGGTCACAAACGGTTAAGTGATGACAAGATATTGATGAACACTTTCACAAGCAAATAAAGACATCTAGAAAATTATAAAGCAATTATTAAACACTCACCTCGTTTATAATCTGCTTGCACTCTGGAAATTTACTCCAAGACCATTGTAAACAGCGTGTAGTAGTGAAAGGAGAGGCTTCTGATTGGCTAACCGTAACCTTTGGTATCCTACAAGGTTCTTTATTGGGACCATTATTCTTCATAGTATACATCCATGATTTACTGGGGGTAATTAGTAAGGACAGTTCAGTCAATCTGCCTACTTTTAAGAAGTGACATAGATAAAATATCAGAATGGTGTAAGATGAATAAGATGACAATTAATATTAAGAAATGTAAGATCATGCGAATCGACCGAATAACCAGGAAAAAGAAACCTTTAGCTAAATGGGGAATATAATATAGAAGATCAACCTTTGGAAAGTGTTGATGTGCATAACGATTTAGGATTGTTTACTCTGCTGCTAGTGATCTCTTAAGGAACCAACATGTAGTTAGAATAACTGCTAAGGCTAATATGGTTTTAGGGTTCAATAGGACGTTCATTAGAGATGTTACATTTTTGTTCAATGTAATTAATGGACGTTATGATACAGACATTAAAACAAGCTCATATTTTGTAAGGACTGAAACACAGTTTATAATTTGAGGAAAAATGACACACAGGACATTGCCCCAAACTTTTATAGCATTTTTTAACCGTATTGTTCAGAATGAGTGTGGGGCATCCCTAGTATGGTGCATTAGTACTTTTGGTTGTCTCCTTCTCCTCAACTTTTCTTTAAAGTAGCGATTAATTGAATTCAGTTTATTATCTGTTTGTAATTTAGTGGAGTGAATCTGTAATAAATAAATAAATAAATTCATGGTTGTGGGGGACGCTGTCGCAAAACTACAGACGTTTGAATGGATCTTTAACCATGTTTAACAGGGGCGTAGCCAGCTTTTTGACTTGTTGTAGGCCAGTCCCTAAGGTGACCCGCTAATACACTAGACAAATCAGACCCCCAAGACTGTTAATTGTTTGTGTAGTTGAATCTGGAGTATGTGTCTAAACTTCAAGGATTCAAGGTATTGATCTCAGTACCACAATAAAAAAGCGCCCTCCTATAACGATACTTGTTACAGTCAATCCGAGTAGCTAAAATCGTCCTTTTTGCGGATGCTGCAAAATCGTCAACAATGTCTTCCGCAGTAAATGATACATCCAACATCGTTTACATCATGCTTGTGGATATGCATAAGAGCAAGTCCACTCAAGCGATCTTCTTTCATTGTAGACCTTAGATAGGTTTTAAGTCTTCTCAGTGTTCTGAGAGAGCTCTCTGCGGTTGATGCAGTGATTTGTAGAACTAAAAGTGCTGTAAATGCCCTGGATATATATAAATTTGGGAATTCTCGTGGTGACAAGCTCAATCTGCATTTAACTGGGTTCCCACGGCAAATTCAGAGCTTTTACTGTTTAAGTTTTTTGCTTCCCGAACTTGTTAAAAGTACTATTTTAACAAAAGATTTCAATCGAAAATTTCTTTTTCATTTTTGGCACTTTTCAATCTAGCTGGAGCCTCAACGAGGATTAAAAGAAGGAAAAAAACTGGAGTAATTGCATGTCTACATTCCGACGCAGTTAGCCTGTAAATCCAAGTTGTTATATCTGTTAGGTTTTGCGAAAGACTGATTGAATTTATTTGTAGCGAATAGTTTAAGCACTAACACCCTCCTTTATATTTCTAAAGATTATCCGTAGGACTTACCTTTCGTTTGTTTTGTTGAAGAAACTTTTGATATTTCGCGTTTGAGATGCCATGACACTGAAAATGCTGGCTAGTTTTCTAACTGCCATGTAGCAGGTAACCGCTGTTTATCAGCATTTTTTGACATTGCTCGTAAGATTCTGAAAAGCGTGCTAACTTGGTTCTTTAACGCTAGGAGATGATTTAATCTTGCTGCTTCTTTGTTATTTACAGACTCGAAAGTATTTCGTAAGAAATTTTAAGTGTCTTCGAAAATTTACAAGTCATACTACCGTGAAAAGTCAGGCAGACCTGGCCTACGGGCCTACAGGCTGGCTACGCCCCTGTTTACGAGAAGAAGTCATTACGTGATCCCTGTTCAACCTTAGAGCACCAAACTTGGTCAAGTAACCAATCACAACATGACCTTTTATATGGTGGTGTCAGTGTATCGATTAGTTTAAATTTGAAACTCGCCCCAGTTTCCTACGCAACTCCGAAATGGCCTATATACATTTTGAAGCTTCTTTCTACCGCTATTTTGAGAAAGGTTGTTGGAAAAAGTGCACGCGACAATCCCGAAAGGTATTGTGGGTGGTTTTGAGTTTACTGTCTTCAAAGAAATTTGAAATGATGGCATGTCGGAGGCCAGAGACATATGTTTGCGACTGTTAAAAGGAAAGCAACAAAAGTGGGTTCGACAACTAAAGTCATTAGGGTTAGGAACAGTGATGATCGTATCCCATAATTACTTTTCGGAATGGTCGTGTACACATTTTTTCTGACAACCTTTCTCGAAACAGCTATATGTCGAGACGAATTGGACCCCGTCAACAAGTGAATTAGTACTTATTAGGACAATTTTGCCAGTGAAGCAGTTATTGAAGAAGACTGGCGATAAAATTTTGCCATGAAACGAAGATCCTTCGCAAATCCTTCAACCACAAACTGAAGATAACACGAACTCGTCCCACCCCTCCCGTTCGGCAGGTAGCACTGTCTCAAGTAATTTAAATGTCAGTGTGGCTCTTGCTAATATCGTTGCTGACACAGGTGGGCTAGAGCATTCTGACAATTGGTTGGACTCTTGACGATCGATTGGCTTTTACCATCCCTCATCTATCACCCTTCTTATGTGACAAGCGTGGGGCTCAAATGGAAGAGTACACAAGTACAGCGTAGCTCCCCTCGCCTGTTACATTACTTGTCAATAACGGTTCAGGAGAATTTCAAAATGTTGGAGAAGCCCATATGGGCACATAGTACGAAGAGGCGGACGGCTATCTTTGGTCGAGATACTGGGTAATCATCGAACGAAAGGAGGCACTATCTTGGAAATTTAGTACTTAACTTTACGAGATTGGTATTTTGTAGTCCTGAAACGAATAAGAGAGACTCGAGGAGAAGGATGAAAGTCAGGATATTTGTCATATGAAAATCATGGAAGTCAGTATTTTGCTAGCTTTCGAACTCATTTTTGTTGATGGCGAACTAGGATTGGAGAGTAACTTTTGTTCCTTGGTCGCACGGGAACACTTCATTGGCAGGTTGCACACAATTACTTGACCAACTGGTGGTCTGAAAAATATGACATTAAAGAATTGCGAGATAGCGTTGCAAAAGATCAAATAAAGTGCCTTATTGGTGGCGACATATTTTAGTTTTTGCATTGCGAACAGAAAGGACAAATTCTGCATCGTGTACGCAGACATATAAAAGTACGAAACGTTCCTGGTTAATCGTCAGACTTTAGAGAGGATCTAACATGACCTTGACTTTTAAAAATAAAACTGTTGAACTTGTTGCGAACTAAAATAAGTTTGCTGTTTTCACCAGTGTCACCCATTCAATAGCTGTGAAGCTAAATGCCTGGAAACTTGAATAAAGTTATCATTATTATAATCATCCTCGTCGTCGTTATCATCATCATTATTACTATTTTTTGTTATTTTTATCATTTTTAGATCGTAATCAAACAGAAATAACCTTGACAAATGACCAAAGTAAAGTCACTTGTAAACAGCAAGCGACAGGCTGAGCTATAAATCAAACAATGAGACAAATCTTACCCAGGCTGTTTGAAGAAAATGAGAAATGAAGGTAACTATACCTGTTTGACTTTTTAAAGAAAACTTTAACATAAGTCCATTTCGCGTAATTTAAAGCATTTGTTATGCTCATTGAAGGACTTAACACGAACATTTCGCCCGAGTGAGGGCTACGCCTCCTGTCAGCAGCACCCACATTGTTCGACCAGTTAAGGTATCAGCGATTTTATCCTTGTCTGATCGCTACAAAATGTCCACCAGTGATTGACTATGAATTGAAGTTTGTCGAATTGTTGTTTTTAGTAAAAATCGATATCACTATGACAACAATAGACAAAAAAAACTTTGAAATCGATAAAATCCGAATTTTGCGCGATCTGGACCTGCTACTGAAAATCCGACACCAGGAACTTTAAGTGTGGTGTAGTAACAAATAACCTCCGTGAGAAGTAAAAACCTGATATTTTCAATAGCCATGATAAAGCGTTTAATAAAATAGTTCTGAATAACTCACATTAATCTTAAGTAGCGTCAGAAGGCTGCTTAATATCATTTTTCGATGCTAGGAAATTTTGGTGTATTTTCTTTCTTGCGATCCTGAAAACTAACCTGTTTCCTCACCACCTGTCTAAGTGCAACTTTATTCTAAATTTTGACTTTTAGCGATTTTCTGTATTATCTCTAAAACAGCTTGACAGAATTCTTTTTAACTCTCATGATGACATTTTCATGATGTTTATAACAATGTCTAAAGCTTTCTTTAAGATTGATTCACTTTAACACCTTTAAATTTTAACAGAAACCTAACCTAAGAACCGGCCAAAGCACCGCGTTACAACATTCACTGTTTTGACGTTATGCTAATTTTTCCACATCGATGCCCACACATACATACCTCCATGGCTAGTACATTTTAGTATGAATTTTATTGCATATTTTGATTGAAAACATAGACAATATTCACATATTATACCGTAACACAGCAAGCGCTATATCTACAGAACTTGTTACATTCTAACATGGTTGTTTATCACATACTGTGTGAATTGTTTCGTCCCCAACGCCAAAAAAGCTACTACTTCTAGTGCGTAGAATAATTATTTATTCCGAGCGAAGCGAGACGCCGCAGACACGTGAGGTTTATAATCTCGTAGCGCGCCAAGCACGTGTACCGCGCGCGGTGTTAGCGACCTACAAAGTCGGCCGGCCCATTCATACTTGTATACAGCTATTTCGAGAAAGATTGTCGGAAAAAATGTACACGCGACAATCCCGAAAGGTAATATGGGATTTGATCAAGACGCTTTTCCTGACACTTTAGCTGTCGAACCTACTTTTGCTTCTTTCCTTTAGCACTCGCAAACATACGTCCATGGTCTCTCCTGTCATTCTTTCAAATTTCTTTGAAAAACAGTGAACTCAAAACCACCCACAATACCTTTCGGGGTTGTCGCGTGCACTTTATGCGACAACCTTTATCAAAGTAGCTGTATATCGCGATGGAGTCCACCATGGGAATAAATCCTTTATTGACCAAGCTTGTTCGGTCAAGGTGGCTTTAATTGGCCTTGTTCTTTTTTGCGTTTTTATCGACCTCTCTTCATCAATAAAAACGCAAAAAAGAACTTGGCTAACATCCAGTCATCTTGGCCTCACGCTTGGTCAATAACGCATATACACCTACATGTATGTCAATAAAGATTGCTTTGGAAATCTTGCTTTGGTCTTTGAAAGTCGTTGTTTGGTGGTCACTCAAGCAAAGCATTGCATTGTATTATATTCTGTGTTTCAATGACCAAATCCCAAAACAACGTTTATTGAAATGGGTGCATACAGAAGCTATATTCGTGTTCTTACAAGATATTGTCAAAATTGCTTTGCATTATTACCTTAAATATGACTCTCTGCCTTCAGTCTAGTAAAGAACATCTGCATGAAGCTAGTTTTATGGTTTCATATCTTACCCGTAAATGGTCTAAAAGGCGCGCCTCCTGTCTATAACAAACGCCTACTGTCTGATAGAAGCCCTGCATAAAATTGCTCCACCTTCTTATAAATGCAAATGTATTTTTAAATTAGTTTCATCATCCGGAACTAAGAACTGTATACATGTATTCCTTAGTAGCGGTTTAATAAACAACTGCGTAAGTATTAGTCTTGATCTTCATCCCTGAATATGTTTGTCTAACCTGTTTTGGGTTTTTAAAAAGAGTGAATATTTTACAGAACAACAACCTTGCATTCGCCTACACTCCCAGCAAGTACGGCTATGTTTCCATCTTTGGTCAACACAATCTTTGGAGGAACACATTCTCTCTGCTCTTTTTTAGTCATCTGCTCTCCACCCTGGTAAATGTTGTGCACGCAGGCGCGACGTTTATCGTAGATTGATATATTCACAAAAAATCCCGGTTCTAGGCTGGAGATGACAACATGTTCACTCTCCGAATGAAACTCTAAGGCGTTGGCAGGAGAGTCGCCCTTGTGATAGAAATCACGTTCTGGAAGGTGTTTTCCGTCTTTATCGAATGTTACCACAAGTCCATTTCTGTTTAATACCATTAAAAGACCTCCACTAGCAACGGTCATGTCAGTTGGTTCCACTAGAATATCTTGTCCAAAGCCCTTGTGGTTTATAGACTTTCCATCACTCCTGTACGCATAAACTGTGGGATGTTTTGAATCATTCTTTTGGTTTTCTATCACGACAAAAAGCTCATTGCTGTCGTTTATGACTGGTGAGCAATATACAAGACCTTCCTCTAGTGGAAATCTCTTCAGAAGTTTACCGTCTTTGTCGAACAAGTCTACTTTATGGTGATATTTGTCTATCTTAGTCAGCACGAATATATTGTCTTCACGGTCAGTAACCACGCTACATATTTTTTGATCGACCTGATGGCGGGGAAGAGGAGAAAAAGACTTCACAAACTTCCCGCTATTATTGAACACTTTGATGCAGCGATCGCCGTTGTCCGCCACAATGAAATGTCCATGGTGGTCTGTAGTAACATCTTGTGGTGAAATAAGCTTTGTGTCAGGCTCCTCGGCTCCAAATGACCATGCTACAGTCACTTCAGCAACGTTTGACAGAACGTCTTTTTTCCTGCTCTTACTGCAAAGCGCTTTAGTCACTCTAACATCTCTTAGTGGATCCAGTCGGTAAATAATTTTGTCGTCTTTGCGGATGATGATAGGAGGCCAACTCCAAAAAACTTCCTTTTCCGAAACCCGGTGGATAACATCGAAGAGGAGACGATTTAAGTAGCAGACATCCCGCACAATTTCTTTATCGAAAGATCCTTTACCTGTTACTAGTGAACAAAAGGAATCCTGGATTTGTTGCAAGGAATACAAGTCGTTGAGATATGATTTGCATGATGGTAATGCAATGGAGTGGTCATCCATATGCTTCAGTATTTTTGTCATGATGCAAATAGACATGGCTTGAACACGAAGAGTCGCTTTTAGTGAAGGATTGCTGAAAGCTTCTTTTGCTTCTCTCGACGCATTGCCGAAAGCCTCTTTTGCCTCAGTAACTAACTTGCCAGCTCTTTCATCCAAGTCAGTTACTTTGAGCGATTTCAAATTGCCAGTCATGGAATCCACAATATCTACTACTGTGTTCACGGCGTAGAACGTCGACTTCCCAGAGACTGTCACTGTTGCACTGTGAGTTTCGTCCTCTACAATCTTTCCAATTTTGTTTAAAACTTCGTTAACGATAGTAAGGCCTTCCTTGAAGGAAACTCTACTTGCACTTAGTTCCTTTCGTGAAATTTGGTCAAGTTTCAACTCCAACTCGTCTGTTTCAGCAAAAAATAGGCGACGAAAGTTTCCGTCTCCGATAGATTCGTCTTCTTTGAGCTTTTTTAACACCTCTTTTCGCGCTATTTTCCAGACTACATAAGCTCCACATTTAAAACCCAAACCTGCAAAAAATATCAGATCCATACTGAAAGTTTTCTTCGCAGTAAACAACGACAGACCTGCGAAATGCACCTGAAGTATCTAGTGAACCCAGGAGACAGTAAAATCCTTGAATATGTCAGGAATATTTAAGTTGTGACCAACCACAACACGAGCAAGCCACAAAACCACAAATTCTACTATTACTCTAGCCCTGACAAACAAACAATTCCAAGGTCCGTCCCTAGTGACTTTGACTCGACTCGACAGCCAATAAAATTATTCGGATTTGGCCGTATTTGCTACTGTTTACAACTGAGTTATTGTCTTTTTTCTGAGACATCTTTTCTTTTCCGACACTGGCTCCATGGTAACTTCATTTTTTAAAAATAGTTAAGTAATACATCAAACATGAGATGCAGTGTTTCATCACCAGATGAAACACGGAGAAGAGAGTTGAAAATACGACGCGCAGCGGAGTATTTTTGACGAACTTCGAGGTGTTTCATCTGGTGATGAAACACTGTGTCGAATGTTTGATATTTCTTCTCAAACAAAATCATTTTTGAAGGATAAATTAAAGATGCAAAAATGAGAAGTTTTTCATCTGATATCCAATCACTCATTAAACATTAATTTCCTTTGAATTTTCTTTATGAATTATTAATAAGTTTGAGAACATTCTTTACAACGCCTTTGGTTCATGGGTTATTCACGCTCATCAAAATTTGTTTTTAATTATTATAAACGCAAGACTACTGAGCTAACACTATGGATTCTGTAGCCTTAATCGATAGTTCAGTTAAACTGTTCGTGAATAGAGACCCAATGGAAAAAAAGCAAATGAGAGAAAGTGATCTCCGCCGCGACATGCTCGACGTTAAAGCAAAGTTGGAGGCACTTGCGAATTCTACTTTATTGTCAAGTTTTACATTTTACAGAGAAGGAATCCGTCGCCTTCTTAAACTCAAGAAAAATTCTAATGAAGGTGACAGGGAAAGTGCTGACAGACAAACAGAAGTGCGCTCGACAAGCATGTATCAGGTCTGCAACGACTTGAGACTACATTGTTTAGACGATGCAGACAAAAGAGCACTGGCGGCTGCAAAGGATGATTTCAAACAAGCCCGTATCAAGGCTGTAGAAGCTTTCAGCAATGAAGGCGTTGAAATATTGGATCGCATTCAAGCAATGGTTATTCGTGTCGCGTCGACCATGCTAGAGAACGTTGACCATCCTGAGGATGCGTTGAATGTGTGTATTGGCTGTCTTGAAGACCTTCACGGTCTCAAGTATGTGAGGGAAACTTTTAATCAAGTTGTTTATAAAGGCCTTAACAAAGGTTCTTTTAAAAGGGGAGTTCAAAAGCAAGTAATTGCTTCCGTCTGTCGAATAAATCATTTTATTCGCAATGCTGCACTGGCGATCGCCAAGGAAGGGGAATTGTTGGTTTTTCCCTTGATTGAAGTGGAAAACGAAAAAATAGATCCATTGTCCGACTCTCGAGTGGCTAAGGAAGTTCCGCACGTTTCTCTAACGCCATCGACCCTTAATGAAGAAGATAAAAAGAATAAACCGAACATACCACAAGGCATTGCTGTTAATTCTCAGGGACACTGTATGGTTGGAGACGAATGGGATCTAACCGTTAAAGAATATGATGCGAATGGCTTGTTTGTTCGTAAACTTTCCTTAACGCCCTGGCAAAAAGACTCGGTTGCGAGCATTGTGGATGTTGCTACTGATACCAAAGATAATGTGTATGTATTGTTTGAACTGGGAGAAAACTCAACAACTGCGCACTTCAAGATTTTTGTGTTTGATAAAGGAAGCTCACACACGAGACGCGACATATTATTAAAAGAAAAAACAGCAGAGGTTTCTAGAATGTCAATAAACAATAACAATGAAATCTTCATATTGGCAAAGAGTTCTTCGGGGATTACCGTTGATGTCTATGATTCGTCGGATGGCCATTTTAAGACTAGTTTCGGGGAAAAAATATTAAACTCAGGAGCTGAAGACATTTGTGCAACCAACGACGGAAGAGTGATTGTTTTAGATAAAGATGATAAATGGGCTTTATCAGCTCATATGTTTCGTTCAGACGGACATTACATTGACGATCTCTTAAAGTCAGTAGAGAAAAAGAGAAAGCGCGTCTCCATCGTCACTAAACACGAGTTAAAGTCCTCCATAGCCTGTCATCAAGTGAGCAATAATTTAGTAATAGCTCTTCCAAGTCAACCTTGTGACAAAGGAAAAGAGTGGAATCCCGTGCGAATCCTGAGATACGACATGAGCGATGGAGGGCTGCTCCCCAGCATCTTCCTACATGATGTAAAAGGTTTTGTTTCTATTCGAGGCGTTGCAGTTACTCTTCAAGGACGCATTGCCGTAGGTTTACTTGACAAAGACGGAGGTGACAGTAAGATATTCTTCGTATAAATGTTTAATCTTACTATGATTTTGAAGGAGTAGCCTGTTCCACGCTTCAGATAGTAAGGATGACGCGTAACGCGTAATAGTCAAAAAAGGCGAAAATATGAGCGCGTGATCCTTTCTCTCCCCAGATTCCTCCCGTTTTGTTTTCATGTTCGCCTTTCTCAATTTCGCGAACCCGACTATCTAGGAGCCTGAAACAGGTCAACACAGAGCGTACTCATGTGTAATGTCTCGTTACAAACGCTGGTGTCCAGAAACTACAACTTGAAATATACAACTGACTATAAGTTGTAGTTATTTCTATCTGACAAGTGATTCATGAACACTATAAATTTGCGAAATGATCAAAACATAAGACAATATAGAAATGTTGCAGAATGTTGATAAATCCCGACTCAACTAGGAGTTTCAATTTGAAAGTAAGTGCTGGCGTCAGAGCTGGAAGGCAATGAGGAGAATACAGTTTGAAAATAAAAAAATGTGAAGAAAATGAAAATTAACCCCCGGAATTAGGCTAGGTGAGCCTTTTTAAAAGAAAAATATGTTATTTCCGAGTATTTGTGATGTATAAAAGGGGCAAGCCCTTCGAGAAAATTTTTAACCTGCATAACACGCGCTTTATGATCCAAGCGAGAAGCTCTACTCTCTCGTCTCGCGCTTTGCGCGAAACGCCACTTTTGTTTCGCTTGAGTCATGAGGCGCCTGTTATGCAGGCTAGTAAATTTCCAGAGTGCAAGCAGATGATAAGCGAGGCCTGAGTTTTTAGTAATTGCTTGTTTACATTTTTTAGATCTCTTTATTTGCCTGTGGAAATAATTTCTTCGAGGTCACAAACGGTTAAGTGATGACAAGATATTGATGAATACTTTCACAAGCAAATAAAGACATCTAGAAAATTAAAGGGACACAGTCAGCTTTGAGACCGCGCTGGCCTGGACACTAGTTTTGTTACTTTTGAAAAGCGTTTACCTCAACCCGAAATCAAAGTTACGCGTCGTAGACATCTACAAAATCCGCTTCAATCGTGCTTTTTGGTTCTTTTGATCGTTGATCTTTTACTCAAAACCTGTTCTGAATATTCTTTTAGTCATCTTTCAAAATTATTTTATCGTATTTGGCTAAAACGGATTGAATCAAGTGTCCAATGGAACATGGACAGAAGAGGAGGTAAACGTGAAGGCGCCGGGCGGAAGAAATCGCCTGCGTTAACGAAAATAACGAGGAAGATCAATCAAAAACACTGGAGAGCCAACCACCATTCCATATATTTGGAAAATCGGGTTTTCTCAAGCTGGAGAAAGATTAAACAAAGAACTACAATTTCACTATTTTGCATCTCAGGGTGTCTTTGTAGGCCGGAAGCCTTCTGACTGGGATTAGACGTCGGTGGTCCGCGATTCTTCGACTTCGGACGTTTCGCTTCTCAGAGACGTTTCGCCTTCCCTGGACAAGTCCATCGGTAAATTATCCGTGGTATTAAAGAAAATCAGTGCCTTGGTATAAATTACGCTCTATAAGAACTATGTAGACTCGCGTTTACTTCGATTCAAGAGGTTTGAAGATTCACTGATGATTTGCCGACGGGATGCGCATCTCACTTTTGGATTCGCGCGGGTGATATGCAAATTAGCTGAGAAATGGTATCCAATGCACATGCGCACCAGCTGACTGTGTCCCTTTAAAAACCAATTAGTAAACACTCACCTCGTTTATAATCTGCTTGCACTCTGGAAATTTACTCCAAGACCATTGTAAACAGCGTGTAGTAGTGAAAGGAGAGGCTTCTGATTGGCTAACCGTAACCTTTGGTATCCTACAAGGTTCTTTATTGGGACCATTATTCTTCATAGTATACATCCATGATTTACTGGGGGTAATTAGTAAGGACAGTTCAGTCAATCTGCCTACTTTTAAGAAGTGACATAGATAAAATATCAGAATGGTGTAAGATGAATAAGATGACAATTAATATTAAGAAATGTAAGATCATGCGAATGATAGCTAAATGGGGAATACAATATAGAAGGTTAATCTTTGGAAAGTGTTGATGTGCATAACGATTTAGGATTGTTTACTACTAGTGATCTCTTATGGAACCAACATGTAGTTAGAATAACTGCTAAGGCTAATAGGGTTTTAGGGTTGGTTAACAGGACTTGTAGGGGCTTAAAGGACATTGATACTATGAAAACACTTTACTGTAGTCTTGTGAGAGCTTTATTAGGAAGAGATTCATGCGAAACTTGGACTCTTATACAAAACGTAACATTGATAAATTAGAGGCAGTCCAGTGAAGAGCCATCAGACGGATTACTAAGTCTGATGATGATTTATGATACTAGACTATCTAAGTTAAAATTTTCGTCGTTATTCAATAGGAGGTTCATTAAAGATGTTACATTTTTGTTCAATGTAATTAATGGACGTTATGATATAGACATTTCAAACAAGCTCATGTTTTGTAAGGACAGAACACAGTTTATAATTTGAGGAAAAATGACACACAGGACATTGCCCCAAATTTTTATAGCTTTTTTTAACCG